GGTATTTTCGATGGTCATCATGCCTGCTCTGCGGTGGGAGAAGCTCAGGTCTTGTGCATGCCAGTGTGACCTCAAAGACTGGACACGGCTGTTGGCCAGAAACCCGCGGGCTGCGTGACCCTGCCAGTACTTGCTCTACCTGAAGAGCCAGTCTCCTGATGGCCTCCCTCTGGTAAGACTCTGAGCAGGCCGGAAGTGTCAGCAATTCACAAGGGTTCATCGTCGTTATCCCAAGCAACCCGGAGGCGATGGCACATCGCCAAGCTGCGCTTTGTCGCCGAAACAGCATCAACCTGTGATGTGTCACTTTCCGGTCGTGCCTGCCAGACCCAAGAGGCAAGTTGAGGGGATCGAAGATCCTTCGCAACTAGATTGCAACAGAATGCATACATGTTGTTTCAAGAGATCCATTCGAGATGATCCCTCCAGTACAAGAGTTGCTAAAAGCCACAAGACCACATAGTTTCGTCTGATGCTGCACTGATTCCTGCTATGTGGCAGCCGATCGGAACTGTAGAGTAAAGCGATCGTACGGTGGCGAAATGTCGAGGGCACATTGATGCCGAGTTGCGTGCAAAGGCCCTGTTATGTACGTACAATAAGCAAGCCCGTGAGCATCTGCAGCCAAGACTGCCAAGCCAAGCTACCTCAAAGGTCCCTGAACGTTTAACACCTTGCGCAATCTGCATCTGAGCAAAATCGAGGCAGTGTAAGGTGCAGGGGACACACAACGCGTGTACTCGTACCTGAACGTAAACGTGCGCTCGACCTGTTGACCGGTGATCCGGCCCAGGCCGAAGTAGCCAAAACCTGCACCGCCCAGCTGAGATGGCCTTTGAGCCAGTCCGGCCAACAACCGGGTGTGCCGGAGTGTCAGAAGTCCAAAGAGGCCTCTAATAAACTCACGAATCGCGAAGGAGACATACAGGTGCCGATGCTGTGATGCTCCGAAGCTGTTTGCACATCTTGGCATCATCGTTTCTTTCTACGTGCAGTGGACTTGTCAAGCATTTTCATGGATTTTTGTTGTTCTTTTTGGGAGGAGATGCTTCCACACACTCCCTTAGTACAGCTTCTGGAGGTTGGCCTTATCTGCCGTCCAAGCACCGCTCAAGGTCCCGAGCCAGCAGAATGTTGTTGTCGAGCTGGCATGCAAGGGTGCATGCGGAAATACGATACATCCATAAGGTGTCAAGTTTTTCAAAACAAGCGTATAAGAGCCTTTCATCAGTACTGTGCAACCCCGTTCATTAAATTGGAACCAGCGCTTTCTGTCGGCTGCTGATAGCCACCGCAATGGTTGCAGAAGAGGCCGGCTCTGCGAAAGCTCAAAGGCCGTAGTGTAGTTATCCGTAGTCCACTGGATGATGGGAGATGGAATGAGCACAACTTTGTTGCGAGTGCACAGCATCAACCAGCATTGGAGTCGATTGAGGAGTCGGCAGCAGCATCCGGAGAGGCGGAGGCTCAACCATCTAGAGGAACTCTTTGGAGTGCTGTGGGACGCCTCTTATTCGCTTGTACATACTGCTGAAGGCTAAGGGTTCTGATCGGCAAGGGGAGACCCGAAGTCTCAGAAGTCGACTAGCGGGGCTGCACTGGAGTTTGACAAGACCTAGAGACGCTAGAGCTGCGAGAGCTGCGAGCGAGAGAGGGAGAGAGAGAGAGAGAGCTTCAGTTCATCCTCCACTCTGTAACGCACGCCTTCGGGCGGCCCCCTTGAATAAAGGGGGTTAGGTGCGCAGAAAGAAAGAAAGAAGAGAAAGAAGAGAGCACGAAGAGAGAGGGAGAGAGAGAGAAGAGAAAAAAAAAAAGAGAGAGAGACGGGGGGCTCTCACGTGCGCAGAAGAAGAAGAATAAGAAGAAGAAGAAGAAGAAGAAGAAGAAGAAGAAGAAGAAGAAGAAGAAGAAGAAGAAGAAGAAGAAGAAGAAGAAGAAGAAGAAGAAGAAGAAGAAGAAGAAGAAGAAGAAGAAGAAGAACAAGAAGAAGAAGAGATGCAGTGGCCTGATTTCTGTGCTTGAATGGGAAGGGGAAAGCACGACTCACAGGTCTACAGGAACGCTTTCCCCAGTACCGGGCACAGGGAGAGTGGACCACGCTGCCGCCACACATTACACTATCAATATTCCGACCCCTCGGAGTCAAGTGCAGGAAGGAAGGACGATGCAGGGGACCAACCCGAAAAAACAGCGTGTTGCGTTGGCTGTGATGCTCGAGTGGACAGTAAAGTGTGGGGGGCAGCCTGGTCTAGGTAATGCGATGGGGAGCGGGGGGAAGGTGCGAGACTGTCCACTGGCGTGCGCTCTCTGCAACCGACCGACATACCCCGAAAACAGAGGCGGGCGAACTCGCCCGGGCCTGACCCCTTGCCCCACGAAAGAAAGACAGAACGAAAGAGAGATGCATCAGCCTGTCTCCAGTCATATCCCTTCGTGTAGTCGTGATCGGTCAGCAAGTGCCATTGTCACATATTGTCACCCCGTGCATTCCGAGGCCATCCCGGTTGGCGAAACCGTACCGCCTGCCCAACCTCCGCCAGAGGCAGATCAGTGATGGTTCTGGCATGTTCGGCTCCGCACGTGAGAAAGCAATGTTCATGATTCATGAATGGTGTTGACAGCTGGCTGTATGGAACTCCAGGCATTTCAATATTGCTTTCTGACGCCTTCTCACTCTCACTCTCACTCTCGCTCTCGCTCTCACTCTCACTTTCACTCTCTACTCTTACGCTCACTCTCACGCTCACGCTCACGCTATCTCACGCCCATTCTCACCCTCACACTCTCTCACTCAAACTGGCTCATGGCGGGCATTGTCCGATGGTCTCAGTTCAAGGAATGGCATTCCGCGTGCATTGCAGGAAGCGGGCTTGGCTCACGCCATTTCGCTGGCGATGCGTGAACAGTGCTTCACCTACAACGGGCTGTGCACTGTACTTATACTGTCGCACGTATCGGTCTGATGGAATGAACACGTTTGATAATTGTGGTCTGCCGCAACCAGGCTGTCGCATAGCTACAGCTGATGCTATTAGGCTTGTCATCCGAAGCCTACCGCCATGTAAGCAAAGCTGCGCTTGGCAGCGATGCATGTTTGCTGCTTTTCACGCATCTGCGTGAGTCACAAGGTACTCGCCAGACTGCTCAATTTACGTGGGTGGCCTGGAAGGCGAGGATGAAATCTGGCCAGAACAGCATCCTGGCAGATTGAGCATGAGGGACATGATCAGACTGTTTGGCAGCTTCTTGTTGTAGGTATTATGTGGTGCCTCGAGTGCGCCACGCGCACTGAGGCTTTACGAGCACTTCAAGGAGTGCGGAGAGGCGCAAACTTGTCATGTGTCGCCATCCCACAGTGTCACCCAGTCTCTGAGCAGCATCTGCTGCTGGCTCGCGGTCAGAGTAGCAGGTGAAGCGAGTCTGCATCAAGATTGACAAGGCTTCTGGTGAGAGGCCTCGGAATGCAGTCAGCAGTTTCTAACAGGGGGGCGTCATGAAGCACTGAGATGCGCTAAAAAAATAGCAGGGCATGTCTTCTACGAGAAAGCATTCTGCTCTGGGTTTTTCAGGTTGTTTTCGAGAAATCATCGTGTTTCGGATTCTTTCTTCTTAGAGCTCATGTGGGCTCAGGCCTTGAGGAGGCAGGCGAAACGGAAGAAGTCAGAAGAGCTGAGCTAAGACAGATGTGGCAGGCATCTCTGCAACGCGTAGGTCCGAAGGCACTGGGCTCCAACAGAAGAGGCAAAAGAAGAAGCGTAATTTAACGCTACGCGACCCGCCGCGGCCTGGCCCAAAGAAACACGAAACCCTGAAGAGGGTTTGAGGAGGAATTGAAGAGGAATGGAGTATGATTCGAAAAGAGTTCGATTCATTTGAATAAGAATTTCAGTAGGACCTCCATAGTAGTTTGTAAAGCATAGTCTCACTCCCCCCAATAGCTTGCCTCACAGGCAGAGGCTTTGACCTTGGGCTACATTTCTGGTTCCATTTCCTGGCACTTTTTTTGCATTTCCCGGCTCTTTGTGTTGTACACTACATTTTAGAGCCACCTCGGGATCACCTGGTTTTCACATCTCTGGCACATTTGTTTTTGAGATTCCTGCGGCATATCTATGGTCCACGGACGTCATACTCCTATCGGAACGCGCCGATGCGTTGTGAATGGCATTTAGTAGCATTTAGTGAAAGGAGCTTGGGCTTTGCCACTTTGGGCTTTTGCCTAAAGCAAGTGAGTTCAGAAAGCTCCCACACAACTGGAGAGAGAGAGAGAGAGAGAGAGAGAGTGAGTGAGCGAGCGAAAGAAAGAGTGAGTGAGCGGCCCATGGCCTCGCGAATCTTGACATATTGACATCACATTGGCTTATGGCGTAAGAGACCACTGTTTATCTTTACCAGAATCAAGAAGTGGTCATGTACGAGTCATGTCTCAAAGCCCAAAGCAGGCGCACCTCCACAGAAGTTCTTGTTTGCACAGAGGGGAGAGACAAGGGCCGGACAAAAATCGGAGCTCTTTGCATGACTGGGGCTTTACCTGTAGCTGGCTGTGCCAGGATGGGCCATGCTTACGTGGATTTTGCCGAGGAGTCTCAGGCAGAGGTGCAGCCTCTCCCGTACATCCCAGGTCTTCCTAGCTAGGCCCGGCTAGGCGAGATCCGGAGACGTCTTATGGTGGTGTCGATACGTCGGCAAGGCTTGCAACGACTTCGGGCTTATCGATGGGTAAACTCTGCCAGAGCTGCTAGAGTTGCTAGAGGTTTCTGCTTTTGCTTCTGGCTGCGTTCATGTATGCTTCTGAATTCTTCCGCCGCGCTGGCTGGTTCGTTTGTAAAGGACAGAAAGCACGCCAGAGCTATCCTTCCAGTGTACCTTGTTCGCGGTCATTTCTTTCCCGAGAAGCGGCTTGGGTGAACAGTTGCTCATCGCCTCCCGACATGGACAAGGGCTCCGTGGACACTTGCTGCAGAGTAACTGGGCCCTGCCTGCAGTGGCCATGATTTGCAATGGTGCTGCAGCGCGCTCTACTTTGCACCAGCCTTCTGCATCATGCAGGCAACCTGATGGAGTTTTAGCCCATCAGATGTCCTCAGCATACACCGACCGTTGTGATGTTCAGATCATGTACGGTCGTGAGCACATCTTAATCACGTGTTTCTTGTTTCCTGAGACCTTTTGTGTGACCAGCTTTGTGACAATATCGGTTGGGTTATTGCTGCCTCACAAGTATTGGGGTGATTTTGACTCGTCCAGAGCGTCCTTCTATGCCCACCTGCGGAGAATCCCGCAGAGAATATCGCAGAGCATCCCCGAAGCGACTCCAGAGAATCCTGCAAAGAATCAACAGCAAGTATCCCGTTGAGTGAGCATCCCTGGAGTGTCCACCCCCAGAGAATCCTGCAGAGAATCCCTGGAATGCCCATGTGCAGAGTATCGTTTGAGTGTTCATTTCCAGAGAAGCAATCCTGCTACCCGAGTCTGGGATATCTTCTGTATTGCGCCACTGAATCGCTGAAGTCACTGTTGGCATCTTGTTGCGATCTGTGCCTTCACAGGCGCAGCCTCCGTCTCTGTGGCCGGCTTGCATCAAGCTTCTGGGCCATGGGGGCAAGGGCCGGTTTCTTGTTTCGCACCGTTCCACGTTTTGGAGAAGGCCTAAATTCGCGGTCCCAGCAGGCTTTAGTGGAGGAAGCTTGCGTCCCAACTTGCTAGCGCTGCTTTGCAGAGTCTTGCAGAATTACGACTCTGAAGCCCGCAATCTAGATCTAGATGAGAACTGTTTGCCGTGGGAACCATTGGTTGGCTTGCTGTGTTCGTCCGCAGTCCCGTGATCAAGCCTAGCGTGGCCTGCCAACTTCTTTGCCTCTCATGGCAGTGATGGCAGTGACTTCAGTGTTGCTGTCCTGTGCTACCGTTTCTGTGGTGGCATATCGTGAAACCTTGGTGCACCTCCAGCAGGACTCGATAACTTCTTGCTGCTGATTGCGCTGCCTTTGTTCAGGTGTCTGTGAGGTGCAGTGCATGTAGGTGTAGCATAGTGCACATCAGGAGCTGAAGCTCGAGTTCCATGAGCAACAGCAGTTCCGTGCAGAGCTCTTGGAAGAGCTGGATGCTTTTGAAGCAGCAGGAGGCGGCGCGGTGCCCCACAGAGTCGGGGTTTTTCTGTCTGACATGCTCGATGTCGGAGCCGAAACGCGCTAGCAGCCCTTCAAGATCCCTCGAAGCGGAGAGAAGCTACAGAGGCCCTTAGAGCACCACAACAAACCATGTGAGCAGTCAACTCCTGAAGCGCCAAAGCTCCGAACTGAAAAAGCTGCGCATGCAAACCTTTAGCTCGAGAATCTCCGAAGCATCGAGCTGACAAACCCATGTTTCGGGATTCGACTTTGGTGCCCAAACTTCACGGACAGCAGTGTCTACACGGACGCATCCTAAAAGCCTCAAGATGCCCCCCCGTCTGTGTAACATGCAAAGGCTTCATTAGTGGATCTCTTGCCATTGGAACTCCAGAGCGGCGAATTTCGAGACGCCAGCCTCGAAAGCCTGCTGCAGGCGATGTTCCCCTGTTTGGCAACATGCGCCGAGGCGCGTCGCTCGCGTGGAGCTGTGAGTCGACTCAACTCAGTCCTAATTGTGACTGCACAAAATTCCCAGAGCAATCTGCCGGTCAAAGAGGCAACTTTGCGAGGGCCGCCCGACTGTTGGACGAGGATCCCACTTCAGATTCTTGGTGGAGATTGCTGTGTTTGGAGCATTCGCGGTTCACAAGTTCCAGGCTGAGATTGTGTTGGTGCTGGCACACCACAAGGTCCTTCACCGGCTGAAAGCTGGTTTCCGGGAAGGTGGGCGGGGCTGCGGACATTTTGCATTCTGCACTTGTTCTGTGAAATCAAAGAATCCGCCAAATGTTTCGAATTGCCTTTCGAATTGCCTGGCCTCAACTGGCTCCGAGCTTCGTCACGCTTCGTCCATCTTTGCCCAGTGCGTGTGCACAGGGCAGAACATGGTGGTTGTGGGAGCTGGTGGGGTCGGCAAGACAGAGACTATCAAGCTGCTCCGCTGGGAAACTGGGGAAGTATGTGAAATACACATGCTGTGAAGCGGTGAAGCTCAGGCTGGCAATGGAGGATCTCAGGAAGTCCAAGGCAGCATCTTCTTCCACCTTCCCAAAGCTTCCTTTTGCGACATGTGATGCAAATGCGAGGCCAGCTTTGACCTGCGGTCTTGGTACATGGAGCAGGTGTGAGATGTTGGGAGGGCCGTGACGGCTCGTGCTGTGAGGGTGACGCGATTGTACTCCAAGGGGGCTGCAACTTGCGTAGAGTATCACAGAGCTTACAGAGTTATTCCAAACGTTGCCGCCTCGGCCCTTGGGTAGGAACCAAGCCCCAGCTCGTGAAACCAACCCCTCCTGCTCCAACAAAACCTCCAAAGCTGCCGAACGGGGGGGGGGGGCAAACTGCGAGGGCGGGGAAGCACGGTTCACGATGCAAACCTCTGACACCCACGGCGGGGGCCGAGGCTGAATTTGCAATTCCACGGAGCCCTGAAGGTTGGCATGACCAAAGAGAATCGGGGCGACTACGTCAAGGGCTACGGAGCTGATGGCAAGTCAAGAGTCAAGGAGTGCCGGAAGTGCCAAAAAGCTGAGAGAGTTGAGCTTCGTAGAAAAGTCCTGCATAAGACCGTCCGAATGGCGCCCTCGCTGCAGGAAGAGCAGCTCCAACTGCTTCATGCTCGCCACTGGCCCGAAGAAGGAATCTGAATCGCCCTTGTTGAGTGAAGCCCACTGCACAAATGAGAACTGCCTTGATCTAGTCATGCTACGTGCAACCTATGGCACAGCCGGCTTGCTTTCCAACTGAAGCTGTGCGCAGCAGTGGGGATGGTGAGCTTAAGTGCTATGTATTTTCAAGTTGTGCTATCAGTAGGTAGCCTCTATCATGCAGCAGCCGGCACGAAAGTGATACGTATTTAGTCCTTGAACTCATGCTACAGTCATTAAGGGGAGCGCGAGATCAAGACTGACATTTCAGAAAAGCGTGCCGACATCCTCTTCTTCGACGAAGCACCCCGGCTGCCAACGACCTTGCGAACAAATGTGTTTCTTGTGGTTCAGTGTTATCAAAACCTGGGACTGCAAGAACCACTTAATTGTTCGAAGATATTCAGTGGCAGTTACATGCTTTTCTAGATAGCTAGCAGAATAAGAGCACCTTCCCCGGCCTTCCCACGCCTTATAAGCCTTACACATGCGACGAGGATTTCTGCACAATGCATATCGATCTCCAACCAATGAATTTACACACGAAGCACGGTGTCTCAAAGAACTGTAATTTTAACGCTACGCGACCCGCCTCGGCCCGGCCCAGCGCATCCGCGTGAGCATGGTGATTCCGCAGCGCCCAAGTCGCTGGACCCCAAGCAATAAGGGTTGGGTTGAGGGTTGAGGGTTGAGGGTTCCGGGTTTATGGTTTATGGTTTGGGGTTTGGGGTTGAGGGTTAGTTCAGGGCTCAAGGTTCACGCTTTGGGGTTGAGGTTTTTTTTGGGTTTAGGGTTCGGCTTGGAGTGATCGTAGGGTTGAGCCAGGCCCCTTAAGGTTTAAGGCGACTCTTCGGCACGGGTGGGGTAGGGGGGGGGGGGGGGGGGGGGGGGGGGGGGGGGGGGGGGGGGGGGGGGGGGGGGGGGGGGGGGGGGGGGGGGGGGGGGGGGGGGGGGGGGGGGGGGGGGGAAAGGTCGAAAGTGGCTTCTGCACGTCGCCCTGGGCCCCCCTCCGGAGCCCCCTAGTGCCGGGCCCCTGGCGGAGCGTGTTCAGGGACCAGAGGGGCCGCAAGGCAGGTCAGCCTGTGCTCAAAAACCCACTATCCCCCCCTCCCTCCTCCTCTTGCCCGTGAAGGGTGGGGGGGGGGAGGGGCGGCGGTGGGGGGGGTGGGGTGAACAAGGCGGGGGGCCCTGCTGGGAGGGGCTTCAACTGCCTCTGGTCCTGGCGAACCGTCCGCTTGCGGACCCCGGTTTCCCAGGGGGGTACCCATTTGAGGCCAAAAAAAGGGGTCCGAAAAAGGGCTTTGGGTGTGGGGGGAGGATTTGGAGGGGGGTGCCTGTTCTGACAACCTATACACCTCCGGCCCGAGGCCTCGGCGGATAGTAGCCTGGGCGGTGTCTGGGGCCTTGAGCCGAGGCACAAAGCGTATCACAGGAGACAGTTGGGTTGGCCCTGTTCAGTCAGAGCGTGTTAACCGTGGTAAACGTGGGGGGAACGTCGAAGTGTCGCAATTGGCAGCCCCGAGGTCGACTTGGGAGCCGGCTTCCTGAACCAAGATGAGCTTGATGCAATGAAGGCACCCTTCGAGAGCAGATGCTGTCACGTTGCTGCAGAATGCTGCAGATCGGCCGCCCTGACACACGCCAGTTGCTTCTCCAATGGGGCAACGAGCTTGCACCTTCCAAGGCCAAAGTTGTTGTGCCTTGGCAGTGAAGCTCTGCGATGTTTTGGCCGAGGCACCAGTAGCCACTCTACAATGTGCAAGCTAAGCGTGCCAGGTGCTCCATCCTTTGGTTTCCATCCAGCCTGCAGTGCCCGAGACGGCATCCATGACTGCAGGTTGCAGCACGTAGCGGGGCTAGGTCGTGTTGAGTTTTGAAGGCTCGAGTGCTGACAGATGTTGTGTGAAGTGCGCGCATTAGGAGTGTGAGAGGGGTGTTTCGGGAGCGGGGCATCGGGAGAGGAAAACGGTCCAAGAGGGCGACGCCAAGCGCAGGTAGAGTTGGAGGTTTCTTTTTCCGTGACAAAAGGTGTGTGTGTGTGTGTGTGTGTGTGTGTGTGTGTGTGTCTCTGTGTGTGTGTGTGTGTGTGTGTGTGTGCGCGGATTTTCCTTCGACTGCGTGCCGGATCATGCCGGTCGGTCGTGGTCATGTGCAGATATGTTTGGCTAAAGAGCTGCAGGTGCACACGGTGCTGAGCGAAGCTGGCTTCCCGTCTCCAGGCATCGGTGCTCTCTGGCCAAGCTTCAAGAAGCATGTTCATGTTTACAAACACCCTGTGTGGTGTCCGGCCCTCTCCCCCCCCCCCCTCCCCCAGAACAGTTGAAGCTGATGTTTATCCCTCTTCAACCGGCCCCCGGATTTTACTTGATTTTATTTGGGGCGAGTTCACATAAATTTACAGGGCTTCGACAAGACAGGAAGAATCAAGAAGAACTGCCTGATGGGTTGAGGGTTTGGGACCCCCCCGGCCCCCCCAACCTTGGAAGGGACTACGGTCTGTCCCCCTTTAAATCCAAGGGCCAGGCCTTTAATAGATTAAGTAAATTAAATAAATGAAATATCCAAAGCCGCCCCAGCGAGGACATTAAGGCGGGTCCCAAAACAGTGACCATGCCATAAGCTCCGGACGGCTCCTGGACCACCCTTTTGCCGGATTGATCGGGACAATCATTTTTTTGCATGGTTGAAAAGAAGAGAATTTCCCTGGTTCCGGCTCAGTGGTTGGGACGAACTGCCTGCCTTTGTGATTCAAAAACCCCGACCTTTAAGCCAAGAGGCCCGGGCATCGATCTATTGCTGGCCTGAAAAACCAAACCCCAAAGGCCCCAAGGGTTGAACCAGATCCGGGGAATGACTTGGCTTTATAGAGGACCTCGCCCTGGACCCCCAAATTGTCATAGGGTTTTGCATAGAACTTGCTTTATATAAGGGACCCCCGCGAACAGGGCACAGCAATGTCACAGCCGTCACCTTCACAAGCACTCAAACAGGCAGCTTTTCAGCATTGCAGCGACGCGCACAGGCGATGCTACGTGGATCGACTTCAGCCAGCCATACAAGAAGGTCCAGCAGGCCTTTGGTGTGGCAGATGCCGTAATCGAAACATGTTGTGAGCTTCCTGACATTTCCTGACAGCAGTTTGTGTTGTGATCCCATGCAGGAAGCCATGATTGAGGGCATCCTTGCCTCAACAGTGGGTGAGGACGACGTCACGCTGCTTGGCACGACGCGTTGCAAACTTGTCCCGTGGCATCTTGTCAGAGCTACTGCACGGCACTGCTGTAGTAAGCCGAAACTTGGTCCAAGGGACGAACTTGTGGATTATTTCATGGGTATGCCGAATGCGTACTTGCCGTTCCTGATCAACAAGGACACTGCACGGGCTTTGCAGCACTGGACACTTTTGTAGTGGACAGCAGCTGACGCCTCGATCAGGGCAACATTTTGGACGTGCTCGCTGGCAAGCCCAAAGAAGAGGCAGCGGATATCATGCGATCCACAGCAAAGAACCAGGCCCGGATGCATGTCATAGACGGCGTCTGTACTCTGCACCTGATTCTGCCTGGGACACGAGTTGAATACGTTTGCTGTTCTGTGAACTTGCAATTTGCTGAAGGTTGGTGGGAAGCTTATCAAGATCAACATCGGCTTCCAGGCCAGTTTTTGACGGTTGACGGTGTCTATCAGAATGCTTGACCGTCAGCAGTGCATGATACCTTCCCCAGTTTGTACCAGCATGCAGCTCAGATAGGCAGCTTGATGGTGCAGGTCCAGAACATGAAGCTGTCTAGACTGTTGCAGGGGAAGTACATTGCTGATGCAATCTTCTTCCTGTGTTTTGTCCTGCAGGCGTCAGAAGAAGCTCGCGCGGCAATTAAAGCTCTCCTGGTCAATCCCCACGCAGAAGTCCAGGCAAGGAGCGTTGCCGACCTGATCTTTGCTACCGCTTGCTGTGACACAAGGGAAAGGCACGTCACACTGGCTGTTTGCTGTCCATTCTGCTGCTCGAGGTAAACACACAAATCTAGTTCTGCACTTGCTATTCGTAGGAGCTTGCAGTGCAAGGTAGATGCTCGGAGCAGTCTGCTGCAATGGTTGGGCTATTTTGGGCTAAGGGTCTGCAGGCTTCTGCCGCTTCTCTCTTTTTTCGCCCGCTCTTGGGGCGGCCTCCTCTGTGCTGGATGCCGCGGTGCAGCCTGTCTCCACGCCCCCATGCATTCTTCTGCTCTTTTGGGGGGGGGTGGCCCTTTTGAAGACCTTTCAGGCATGTTCAGGCCCTCCAGGCCCTCCGGGTGCAATGAGGTGCTATCATCTAGTGCATTCTAGTGCTATCTAGCTTCTCATCGCTATGCGACAATCCTGCGCCGTGGAAGGACTCGGCCGGCCTCGGTGCCGTGGCGGCCATGGCCGTGCAGAAAGGACGCCTGGGCCTTACGCGTAGCAACGGCTGGCCTTCCGAACTGCGGTCAAGGACTTTGTAAGTCTTTGTAAGCCAAGTGAATCCGCTTGTGCTACTCCACATGCGAAGGTCAGGGTTACTACATTCCGCGCTTGATGAGAGAAGGATTCTTCGACTATTGCAGAGACGCATCGGACAAGGACAAGGCGGCAGTGAGGCCCATTTGCGATTGACCACCACAGCCTTCTCAAAGACTGGAAGAAACTTCCATTTTTGCCATTGCGGTCGTGTGAAAACAAACCTTGCACCGGACTGCCTTGCTGTGGCGATGTCGATTCAAACCAGTCAGATCAGTCTGGCCCAGCACTTGCACATGGCTACATCATGGTACATCGGTCCGTGATGCCAAGGCACCGCAAGTTCTGTTCATGGCATCAGACCTGATGCATGCGGAGACCGAGAACAACTCATCGCAACCCGACTTGATGCATGGTTCCATGTGGTATTGTTGTCCCACGAAGCACTTGTCGACGCGCAGCAGCCAGGTCCACAACTACAAGTGGCTTGTCCAAAGACGACGAGTCGGACGATTTCAACTGCGCCCACAAATGGTTGCTTGGGGCAGCAGACAGAGCACGGGAAGCTGAGCGGACATGTAAAGAGAGCCATTCTTGAAAGAATTTCGACTGCTTTGTGAACCTCGCCTCCGTCGAGTCTATTGTTAAAGCACTAGATTCTACAGTGTTGGTCTGGACACTTTTGGCCTTGGTGCAGTAAGGTACAATGTCTGCCCGGACCACGATGGGCTATACCCTGCTCCAGAGAACGCAGAAAGCCCCTCGGCAGACACTTCAGCACAGGGCATTGGCTCGGCCAGCCGAACCAGCGCCCCGTGTGTTTTGCCTTTTTTGCCTTTTTGCTGGGCCAGCCGAGCAGAATAAAGTGCTCCCTTGGACGGAAGGGACGGGGCCTAGATGGAGCCTTCTTGAGCCCTGCCCGCAAGTGAGCGAGTGACCCGGGGCGCCCCGATTGTTTTCTTCTTGCGCCCGAAATGCTGTGAGCGAGTGGCTTAGAGCGTTCCGCAGAACAACAAAACGCATCCTTGGACCGCCTTGATGGAGCCCCGCCCCCCTCTCTCCCTCCCCTAACCCTGCTTTCATTATGTTCTTCAGCGTGCAAGACTTGATTTGCAAAGAAGATTTGACATGAAGAGGATTCTCTGCAAACTCGATGCAAATGGGCCGCCCCCCCCCGCCCCCCCTCCCCCCGGCCCCGTTTTCGCATGGGTTTCCTGCACATTTCAATTTCAGCTTTGGCTGAGTCTAATCTGACGTGCACGGGCTGGAGGTGCGGACGACTTCGTCATTCGGCTTGATGCGACTCTTGACTTCCCACTGTGGTCACGGCATCAGAATGTGGCATGTTAAGGCTACGTTGAGGCCATTAGGGTTCTGGAAGGAGTACAGTGCACCCTGCACACAGATTCCTTGTCAAGCCGTTCTTAGTGCCGTTCTAACATTGAGCAGTCTTCAAAGCCATTCGGAAGTTCAGTTTGACTCAGTTAGACTCAGCTCATAAGCTCAGGACTCAGTCTGTTTGGATGCAGGCTGGTTGGCTCTTCATGGCATCCGCAACTCGGTTACAGCTTTTCAACTGTGCGCGAAGCCGCGAAGCGTTCCCCCAAGTGCCCACATCTCCGCGCTTCCGAGTTTGGTGGTGGCACGTCCGTGCTACTTGCCCGATGTCGCCTAGTGGCAAAGAAGCGCGTTGAGAGACACAGGTCCTTGTGCAAGCTCTTTTCGTGGACTCCGCGTTCGGTGAGATATGTTTACTGTTGTGTTCCTGTCCACCTGCCTTGTGCTGTGGTGGCATCTGCTCCCAGGCTTTGTCAAAGCTGAGTCTCGCCTGTCTTACAGGTGGTCACGCAAGGCAGGGGTGTGCTTCAGTGTCCATCATGAAGACCCCTCTTCACCAAACAAGCGTTGAAATGCTGCAATCCGCTTTTTTTGGGCATCAGGCAGAGTCGTGGTTTTCACCCGAAAGAGAGCACGTGATGGAATTCATTCTTGGGGCCGGTGGCCCAGCCATGTGAACTCCAAACGATCTGGTACTCGAGCAATTCTGAATTTTCCCTGACTACACTCTCGGCTACACTCCCATCTGGCTCAGGTTTTGACGAGACTTGGCCGACCTTTAACGGCAGGGTGCTGTGAGCCTCTTGTGGTCATGTGGAGACGCGGGCGGTCAGTCTCCTTCTCCCTGCTATGAAGTGGGCGCTTCGTGTTTGCAGCCCTGCCTCTACCTTTTGGGCCCGCGGTCACCATAACCCTCTCTGTACTGTGCCCACCGCGCCATGTTGCACCATGTTGCACCACTTGAACTTGTACTGCACGAATCAAGGATCATCTCGTTTCTGGACTTCGCAGATGCTACGTGTGAGCTCGACAGAGGGAAGCGGTATTTTGAGACTTGGCACCTCTTCACGCCAACCGGAAGTAGCCGGGATCTCTACTCACATCCATTGTTCCAAGTAGCTACTCCTTATCATTGTGGTTGTTGTATGTTGTTGTGTGCACGTTGCTATTGTTTGGAGGAAAGATATACAAAGAGCAGCTTCTTTTTCAAGCAGCACGTTGCATGACGCGCCTGCACCTAGGACAGTTGGAAAGATGCAGCTTGGTATTTTGAGCATTTGATGCTTGGACTTTCATTCATCTGAGCATTGACCGTGACTTATTGTTGATGGAGTTGTTGCTCCTTGAAAGTACTACGGAATGATGATCGCCCTCCAATTTTCAAGAAGCAGAAGCTGCTCGCAAGCCAAGCTGATACAGCCTCGTGAGGACTGCCATGCTGCTTCTTTTGTCGGTGTCTCTGCGGCTCTACACTGCCGATCTGCGGCATTCGACCTTCCCTCGTACGCCACTCGGCTGCAAGGGCGAGAAGGGCATCGTTGGGTGAGCATCAGCTGGGATGTTCACAAGGGAAAGTTGATGGGAAGGGCATGGCTGATTGACACCGGCACGAACTTACTCGCGTTTCACTTGAGTTCAAAGCATCATGAGACGCCAAGATTATTGAAGCCTAACATGGCCACCTTCACGTTCCGACCTGGTTTGTGACATCTTGCACCCGAGTTCGGGGCTAAGGCGGTACTTCTTTACTTCTCCGCTTCTTTGGTCAGATGTCCTTGCCATGATCCCCACGTTTGTGGATCTAATGTTGCCCCAGGCGATCGCTTGATGCTTTGATGCTCTGCTCACCATGAGTAGGGAAGAAGTGTCTGTATTTCAGCCTCGCTTCCATGCCCCTGCAGTATGCGGACCTCTTTCCGAACCTCATTTGGCTGCGGATTCCTCGTATGGTGGACGTGACGCTGCGGGCAGGACACAGCGAAGAAGGTGCAAAGTTGGACGGAGGGTGCCAGTATGTGCCAGTCTTTCGTGCCGTGTTGATCGGTCGAGTTACAGGTCTTGTTGTGAACAGAGTGGGACAGATGAAGGCTTGGGTATTCTGGCGAAGCTTCTATGGTCAAACTGGAGTTCTTTGTCTGAAGCTGGAGTGCCCCACTGGGCAACCGCCACATTCATCTCAGCAGTGATGAGTCCGATGGTCACGTCATGTCCTGAGTGTACAATCCGTGCCAAACCTTAGCGCATGCCCAAGGCTTGCTGCAGATTTCAGCTCCTTGGCGGAAGCACTATGGTAAGTACTATGGGAGCACTCTGTGGTCCCTGTCTGTGCCATCGTCAGAGAATCTCTGTGGCGCTCTGGAGGGGGTTCAGAGGTCCACTTGCTCGGTGCCATGTGGATGTCTTGCAGCACCGTTCATTTCCTGACGCTCGGCCTGCAGTGGCCTGTGCAGAGCAGATGCAGGTGACCTCAGACGGTAGTTTCAGTTGCTGCTGGCGCAAGGATCCATTATAGGGCACTTCATGATGCTTTCAGCCACCGGGTTTCTGGGAACAACCGCGAATCCGGGAACTCAGGACCGAACGGGACAACGAGGAGTTCTACTGGGGAGTTGAACCAGGCCAGGAGTCGGCCAGGAGTCGGCCAGTATGCAGCATTATGCAGCATTCTTCTAAGGTTTCAGATGCAAAAATGTAGCGTCATGCGGCATTGGACCGCAGAGCTTGGGATTTCTGCTGTGCCGAGACTTCTACGCCAGGCTACCACAGGTACGTCTCCATCCCTTCGGCAATGTACTATGCTACCTGGACGTGAAGCGCATTCTATGAAGTCTCTGCGAAGTTGCCGTCTCTAAGGCTTTAATTGACTTCCATGGCTTCTTGCTGGCACAGAGAACCCTCCTGGATTTTGGGCCTGCCAACATTAAGCTTGAGCTGTCATCTTGCTTGTTGTAGTGTTTCCATGTGATGTGCTTGGCCTGGAGGTGAGTTCCCGAACGCTGACGAGTTCTCCCGACCACTTGGGCGGATGAACTGCATGGTGCCTTTCCGTATCTTTCCGTCGTCCTTGTGCCAGTGTTGAAAGCTCTTGTCGTGCCGGTCGTTTTCTCAGCCATTTGAAGCATCTGAAGGTGATCTGCCTCGTTGGGACTGCCTTGCTGAGCGTTCCTGCTGGTGTTCTTGGTGCAGCTTTCCAGGCCATGATCGTAGTTGTCCTACATTTCATGCATTGCGTTCGCTGGGGTGGTGGGGTGGGTCAGCCGCAAGTCTCACACCGTGCATTTGCCTGCATGCTTGTTTACGTACAGCTCGAACTTGTGGCCACGCAGATCGCCAGGACCACATCAAGTCCAAGCTCTCGCACAGAGTTCTGCGTGTTGAGGACTTCAGCTGCTTCAGTTGCAATCTATGTGCGCAGTGTATTGCAGTGCATAGGGCCGGCTTGACTTATTGACAGGAAGGCAGCCCGCCATGTACTGCCGTGTGGGGAGCGTGCATGGTTGGCCTTGTCGCCGGTGCCTTACCTCGGTCCGTGCACTGTTTGAGGACAAGGGCCGTGGCCCTGTTGCGATGTTTTGACATGGCTACCGACCCACTTGGGTGAAGTATGGTCCTGTCACCTGCTATGCGAAGTGGTGATGCAAGTTGTTGGAGTTGTTGGTGGGTTTAACAGTCAGTTGCAGTAGTGTTGAGATGCATGTGCATGGTAAAGACTTGTGCAGCCATTCAGTTGTTGTCGACCGGGAACTTCGTCTTCCTCACCACCGTGTACCAGCAGCCGGTGGGAGAGTCAGACACGGAAGGCGACTGAGTTTGCAATTACGACTTGCTAACTTTGTTAGGGGGACTGAGTCTTTCGACTTGCTAACTTTGTAACTGACTCTGCGTTGACTTTGTGGCTGCATCTACCATCATCCAATAGTATTCCTGCATGAGACTTCCCGACATCCATCAGCTCTGCAGGCAACGCCTGTTCCGAAGAGTGCATCATAGTGCAACGTTGACGGCCAGCAGTTGAATCGTTGCGCAGTCCTGCATGCAGTCCTGAATGTGCCCAAGGTCGTGCATATGCTGCAAGTGGGTGGCAGGCTGCGGCGAAGTGACCTCAGTGCCGTCAGCATTTTGGGGGCCGGTGAGTGTCGACCCGAGACATGATCATGTGGCACGCTGTGGCAAACTCCCAAAGGATCGCGCCTTGTCGCTACCTCGACGTCATCTTGGCTGTGCCCTTCCTGGTGCCCTGTAAAAAGACATGTCCCCCGTGTTTTGAGGAGCACGGCTCCAGCGACCACTTTCGATAATGGGTTTGAATGGTTGCAGCCTGCCTGTCAGGTCGACTGGTCGCAGCAGTTGCTTTGCACAGCGTGCCTTGGCTTATGAATTGCGATGAAGCCATTGGCTACTCTGGTTTGTGGAAGCCGTGTGTAGCACCCTTGGCAGTTTGTAGAAGCGATGGGTGGCGACCGGCTCATGAAGCTAGGAACATTCGCAGCTACCTTCTGAGTGCAGATCACCTTGCACCAGCCTTACAGCCGTGTGCGTCCGTGTATTGAGCTTTTGGGCCTTAGAAGAGCCAGTTACAGTGGGCCTCTTGAGGCAGATCTTCTGGCCTGGTTGCCTTCCTACTTCCTCTACATCTCCCTCCTTTTGCATGGCAGCTGTCAGGACAGTGACCGCAGCACAGCCTGAAGTGCCATGATTCCTCCAGCCATGGGGCCATGGGAGGAGTTTCAGGGCAGCCAGCGTCAGGCAGATTACAGCAAAGAGCAGCTCGCAGCCTGATGCACATTGTTCTGCTTGTGGAGCTTGTCTTGCCCATTCTTGTCACAGGAATTTGAGTCATGTGAGTCCGAATGAGTCCTGTGCATGAGACAAAATGTGAATGTGATCCTGGCACATCTGCAAGGCATTCCACGGCATGTGTATGTTCCGCTGGATCAAGTTGGATGGTGCCCAGGCTGCAAGCTGAACACACACACACACACCACATCTCTGCAGCCAACGATCATGTGGCCCGCAAAAAATCTCCGGCCTGACTGCAGGGGGGCTGGAATTGAGTTCTTGAGGCGGTAGCCCTCTACACTCATTCGAACCCCAAACTGTAGACAAGAATCACGTGTGGTCTCGGCCGGAAATCGAGGGCGAAAGGTGCCGTTTGAACCTTGTTTCCAGCAGATGTTGATGAGATCAGGTTTCTTTGGAGGCATGTTCCGGCAGCTCCGCTATGTCCTCGAAGAGAACTATGTTATCTTCAGGATGTTCACGTTGCACACTGCGTGCCTCGCATCGTTCTCGTCTTTCAGTCTGCATGTCGGGAGGATCACCTTCATTCTTGCGACGGCCCTGTGGATATATGGGTCTGTGCTCATGTACTATGCAGAGCGCGAGAACCCAGATCAGGGCCTCTCCTCCGCAACCTCATCTGCCATGTCGTGACTTGATAGTGTCTTTTAAGCACCAACAAGACCTTTTCACGCAGGGTGAGAACGTAAGTGACACAAGGTACTCGGGATCACTTCCGCACGCTCCCGCTTTCCTTTTGGATGACTGGCCTGGACTTCACCAGCGAAGCTCCAGTGAACGACCACTCCGCCCAGGACAGCGTCACATTGCACTCCTGACGATACCCTTGCAGAATTTAGCAGGATGTGGAAGGAGTCAGACTATATGCACATGTCACTTCGCAGTTCCTTGCACTTCGCTCCTGGAATCAAGGGGAAGGCCATTCACACGCTCATCATGCTGGTGGGTGTTGGCGCAACTTGACATGAATGTTCTTTGCCATGTCTCTGGCTTCTGCACGCCTCAGATGACAACTACTGAGTTGTAATCGGGCGGAGTGAAGGTCAAGTCCGGAAACCACACTTGTGTCTGACCAAGTCCCACCCCGAGTCATCCACGGCCCGAGTCGGGGAAATCTCGGGAGCGCAAGGCATCGAGGGAAATGGGAGAGGAAGAGGCAGCTTCGCACTCCTTGCCCACCAGGACCTGGCACTGTACCCATCAACCGATAGAGTGTCCACAATGGGGGGTCTGCACACAGCAAATGCGTCAGCAGATTCGAGTGAGCAAGCCTGTGCCAAAATCAGTGATGCATTGTCTTTAGCCTCTCGATTTCGGTCGCCGGGGTTGGTCTGGACTCACCTCGTGTAGTGCTTGGAGGCAGGCTTTAGCAGCGAGGGGCTTCTAAGATCCACGGAAAATTAAGACTTGCCGGTGCCTTCGAGGAATGCAACAATCGAGTGTCTGCTTGGAAACTCGTTGTCAGGACGTACGCGCAGGTAATGCAGACTGTTCGTAGACCGTCAGTGTCTGCGAGTGGATGTCTGATGGAGTTCTCGAAGTCTTTGTGGTTGATAGCCAGCTACTTGCCGTCCCCAGTGGGCTTTCGGGTCTTTTGATGTGTGCCTTTTTCCGGCCGGATGTCGCAGCAGATCATCCACATGCTTCTTGGTCTTCGCACGTCAAAGATTTTACTGCTGATGTAAAAGGATGTGTGAAGACAAGGTGTTCACAGTTCCCATGGGTGTCTTCGGTGCTGCCTTCCGGGAGCGCTGGGGTCCCAATTAGAGTTCATTGAGCTCCAAAGGCTTGCAGTCGTTGCAGCCAAGTCCAGCAGGTCTGCTCAGACACGCCTGCGAGGTCTGGATGAGATGCATGCGGAGCTGTTGCGGTCCAGGTCGGCATTCATGACAAACGCAACATGACAGGCAAGTGTGTTCTGCAAAGGCGATGTAGAAACCAGGCCGCCAGTTTGTTCTTAAGCTAGTATCAAGTGTTACATGGAGCGTCAGGCCCAATGCTCCTGTGGTCAATCGAGCACAAGTCCGCCGCGGCTCGAGCACAGCGGTCCTGCTGGCGCAGGCGGCAGGGAAGCGCAGATCTAGTGGCATGCGCAAGCCTTTCTTGCTAGAGGCCAGACGCTGTCCACTTTAGCGCTAGGTATTGACCATGTGGTGCTCGGCAGGAGGAGTTCGACAACATGACCGCGGCTTGCCAAAAGCGAATGTTTTCAATAAACATCAGCATCGGGAACCGGAGGGTTTCACAGTCACTTGAGATGAGTGAGCAAAGGAGGCCTTCGACACACTGGCGCAAGAGCGGGCGTCTGGAGTGTATCGATGCTTGGTATTATTTGGTGATGAAGGATGGCCCTCTTAGAGTTATTGCAATCTGTCAGAAGCTCATCTTGTCACGTCGTGGTCCTGCCTGTTCTGATTGATAGCTTCGGTCTTTGCATCCAAACATGACGGTATCATGCAAGACTTCAACTTGTGCAATGCTTTCAGGAGACGTTCATGACGTCGCTTGTTTGAACTACAATGGAAAGTGTTGGGTCCAGCTTGTCATCCATGAGATGTCCAGGTAGATGACGAGAACCTGATGAGTTTGCAGCCGGGATCGCGGAAATACTACTGGTACAGGCCCACTTGCAAGGTCATCTGCAAACATTCTTGCTGTGAGTGGCCTGCGTGTGCCTTCTTATGGCAGAAAGATCCGCATTCAGCACTCCCATGCGGTCGCAGTTTTCGGTGCTGCTGGTTGAACAGCATGGTGTTGCTTCGGTTGGTTCACCGGTTGATCTTCTAAGACTTGTTGAGTGGATATGCGGGTTTACTTTGAAAGCAGAGAATGATCGGGATTGGCCAGAGGCTTCTGATGGGCAAGCGGCATCCGGGCAGCTCGGCTGCCGGGAGCTTTTGCTGGTGTGTGGGTTCGGGACACTCGCACCAGGATCCGCCAGCCAGGTGGATGCGCTGCCGCACTGCATGCGACGGCAATGAGAGACGGCTTTAGAAGCGTACGTAAGCAAGAAAGGGCGGCATCTCTTTCCCTCGGTGTGGGTGTGTGTGTGTGTGTGTGTGTGTGTGTGCAATGTACTGCCATGTACCTGGAATTGGACAGATTTGTCTACATCATGCCTAGACTCTTCGTGCAATCGGACACTCCAAGCTCGCCCATACATGCTGTCCGAATGCATCAGGCTCAGGCAATGGTGCAGGTGCACGATGGCTGCCCACTTGCAAGTACTTTCAAGTGCAAGTAAGATTCAGCGATGGTGTGGTTAACCATGTCACGCGCCGTGAAGCCGAGGCTGCAAAACGCCATCGTTGCTGTGACTGCACTCTGCTGCTTTACCTCCTGCTTGGAATCTGGGCCACCAGCTAGTGGCAGCTAGTGCTACAAGTGAGGCTTGTGGCATTGTCATTGTAACAGTGTCACGAAGCTGAAAGCTGAGGAGACGCTGGCCTTCTTTGAGCCTCGATGGCAACAAGTGGAGAAGGATAGAGACGGTGATCTTCCTTTAGCGTCGTGTGTCTTTGCTACGCGAAGAATGCAGAATTCTGCGTTTGGCATGCCATGCGGACGTAGATTTGCAATGGCTCCAGCTCGATGGATGGCCTTGTCGAACCGAGGACGACTGCGAGGCGACCGCAGCTGCTGCCGAAGACTTCGACACAGGTCAGATGCACATGGTGTCTGCTCGTAGCTTCACAGTGAGCCTATGTTCCTCGAGAAGGCCTGGGCTTCACTCTGCAAGCTGCGGACTGCAGCACTTACCGCCAGCTGCTTTCGGCTGTCTCTTTGCACCTTGATCTGCATCTGCAGCTCTTGTCCGCTACGGGCCGTGCAGGAGTAGTGCAGGTGCCAACCAGTTGCTTTCAAGCACGCAATCAGCTGATGGGTGGCAGTTTCTGTAAGTTTTCGCTTAGGGTGTAGGGTCGTCGAGGGAGGTGCTCTGGCCATACTCTTGATTTATGGGGGCATTCCTGTAATAGGGATTATGGCGTTTTCGGATTTCTTGGGGCAATAGTACCCTTTGTTTTGGGAAACGCGCCCATAACTGTGGCCATGAAGCTTCCATCGGACGATGACGAACCAGAGAAACCCGCAGCCGAAACACTGCCCCCGAAGCGTCTAAAGCATTTTCGCCAAACAGAGGTTACCTAGGAAAATGCATCCAAGTGGACCAAAGTGTGCGTTTTAGTTCTCGTTTTGAGCCTTCTCTGAGTCTGGGTTGCTCTCATGCCTTCACGATGCGCCAATAAACGGAGCATATATTTAAGGGGCTGCGCCCAGGGGCGGGCAACGCCCCGAGGAGGCACCTCATTTCCAGGTGAGGTGGGGGTCGGGAGTAAAGCCAATAGTGACGGAAGAGGGGGGGGGGGGGGGGAGGGCTTGGGGAGACGGTAAGAGGGGAGACGGTAAGGGGTGAAGAGGACACTATTGGTCTTCACTGACGCCGCCCCGCTGCCGCTGGGATCGGCGGATATATATATATATATCAGACATATAGTATACATATATATATATACATATACATATACATATATAGTCGCAAGGCTCTGCTTGCTGGCGTTCCTTGTGGAGTTTCTTGCCCGCTGCTGGTGCCATCCACGGCCTTGGAAGATGCCCCCCTGCTCAGTAAAAGCAGAAGTCAGCTGTTCTGCGCATCATTGACGTTCAGTCAGCGTTTCCTGCGTTTTAGGGTTCAGGGTTTAGGGTTTAGGGTTTGTTGTCAGCCGGATAAGCTGAGAAGAGTGTCATCCCAACATGCCCTTTCCTGCACCTTACTCAGGTTTTTGCACCCAACTGGCGTCGCGGATGTTCTGGTCATCTCAGGTCGACTTGCTTGTTGATGTCCTTGACATTCAGCTGTGGTTCACTGATTCACGGAATGTAGTACATCCATCGTTGATGCCCTTTCGATTCCCTAGATATTCCGCGACATCTTGGCTGACATGGGTTACCTTGCCGAGGCTCTCTCCCCATTACCTTGGCTTGCTTGGGAGGCAGGGGGGGGACCTGCCGAGTCGAGTGCTCGAGTCCTCGAGTCCTCGAGTCCTCGAGTCCTCGAGTCCTCGAGTCCTCGAGTCCTCGACGTGTGCTTGGGGGAGGCTTTGCTGTGAGCCACTGGCAGCGGAACTTTGCCATCACCTTGCGACTTTGGCGGCTTGCTGCCTTGGAGCGCTTTGTCCCAGCTTTTGGCGACTTCCTGGAGGTGCCAGAAACGTTCCGCACGGAAGTAGGATGTTGTTGCAAAGGCGAGGCTTGCTACCGTTGCATGAGCTGAGCTTTATGGTGCGCAGGTACTTGCTGGCCGGGGCTACCAGCTTCTGCAAGTCTGCTATGTACTCACGAGCTTTTGGTTTATCCTGGCTGCGCTTCTTGGACGAACTGGACCTGCCATGGCTCATCACGAGTCAGATGGAGCTCTCTGTCGGCTTAGATATTGGGCTGCTTCATGTGACATTTGCGACTTGGAGTTTCGCAGTCCGAGGTACAATTGGTACTTCCTCCACAGCGAGTTTCAAGTCACGAGTGAAGACAAGAGCTTTGCTTGCTGGTACTCGAACTTCTGGCCCCCAATCTTGAATTGCATTGAGGGCACTTCGATGGTTTGCTATGGGGTTGCGGGTTACTGGGGTGAACCTGGATTCATGCATTCACGCAGCGTGCACACTTTGGGGTGGGGAGATGCTGAGGTTTGCGATGCAGTTCACGCCCCTCAGCTGATTCGACAAAAGTTGCCTTGGCTGTTGCAGAGGCTCGTGATGCCTCTTCAGGTGGGCACACTGTGGACAGTGTGGGACTCTGCGGATATTCTGCCGTCCGTGAGACCACTTCCAGATCCGAGGCTGATCCACATGAGCGGCGACTACCCCATGACGGAGTATCCCGTGAAGGTTCGGCTCGTCCACGCGTGCGGCTCTGTTGCATACATGGACAGCTGACAGCTACGAATTCAGCGCGGCGCAATACAGCACAGCTGGTGCGCAGCGGACTGGAGGCTCATTGTTCTCCGCCTGGGCCTTCGTCACAATGCCTGCAGCCATGCTGACATCGGTGATGTCCTCAAGATCTTTAGAAGTGCCAGTGGACAGCGAGCCGTCATGGAAAGGGGTTGATGCTTGCCGAGGCTTTCCATGACGCCTTGGAGAAGAGGCGGCTCCTGGCATCTCAGAAGCGAAACCAGGCGTGCTCCAGACTGATTCGTCTGCATGGTAGCATCCACTTGCACAATGCACAGTGCACATCGCACCGCTCTCATCGCACACCTTGCAGGCCCTCTGCAAGATCGTCCGTCTGCTCCGCCGCATCATACTCCGGCGGCGCTTCAGGAGTGACAGGGTGTGTGAGAGTTGAGCGCTGAAGCTGCATGAAGTCCTGCAGCAGGCGTCTCAAGAGTGTTTCCGTCGGAATTGCTTCTTTTCTACGTGCTTGGAAGGGGCGTCGCGGATCGGGCCCTGGCCCAGCACTCGAAGCAGCTCACATCCGTTGGCCTAGCACGGCAGAAGTGCCTCAACTCAAAGGCAATGGCCCCAATGGCTGTGCTGCACCGGTGCTGTGAGGTCCGTATAAGGCATCTCTCACGGATTGTCATGGTGTCGACTTGTGGGAGTGCTGTTTCCGCGGTGTTTTGTTTAGCCGAGGTATCCTCGCTCCTTGGCTGTCGTCCTTGGAATAGGTAGTGAGTGAGCTGTTGGTCATGTCTTCCGATGCTGCATGCTCTTTTGCGCACACCTTGGACATCACAGTCCAACAGCATACCTAGCTGAACCTGCACAGGTCTGGCGTGGCTGTTGATGTTTCTTCATTCCGATGGGAACCTGGACTGAGTTGTGTTAGGTGGAAGCGATGTCCAGTTCAGCTACACACCTGATTCTAAGCAATAGGAGAGCCGGATTTAGGCTTCTGTTGGAGTCATGGCGAGAAGCGCCCATGTTGATGTAACTAGAGTGTCAGATTCTTATTGGTCGAGACCGCGACTCCAAGGACGTACCTCTTTGCCGCGCCCCTACTTTCCATGGTAGTGGAATGGCTGCGATCGGCCAGGGTGTTGTGCCCGCCCAGCTTGTGTTGAGTTGCAATTGAAGCATTTCATTCGCACAATCAGGAGCTCGTGCTTCAATCTGGCTGTTTATCAGGTCTTGGGAACAGCTACTCTCGTTCCCCAGCTGCGGCAAAGGTTAATGCAAGCAATGAGACATGACCTTGTGCTGTTTTGGTGCTCTGTTTGTGTTGTTCGGGCTCGTTCTCTGTCAGTTCCACATCGGTGTGGCCAGTCTGCGCACCATCCCCGAGCTTGAGCCGCAGGTGCTGACTTGTTTTCGGGGAGCTTCTTGTCATTGTGGTCCTGACATGTCCTGACATCTTGCTGTGTGGCGAAATGTCACAGCTAGAAGACACGCGAAGATGTGTGCCAGCATACTCGTTCTTGCAAAATGCCCACACATGCTGTAGGATTCTCAGGAGGTACAGTGGTTGTGTAGAGAAGTGAAACAAGCACTTCTGGCATCAGGCCCTGTCAAGTTGGCAACCGCACGCTTCGAAATGGCTACGTGTTGCGATCTTCGTACAGTTCGGCATTTGCCTAGGTGTGTACGTCGAGAACAGACATCGTTTTCTGGCTTGATCGCTTCATGCTGAGACATAAGAAAGCATTGAGGACCAGGAGGTTTCTGGAGGTGAGCTGTCCATGTGCTCTTGTATGGATGGTCGGACAGGGGGGCGCCCTTGACTGGCATCCCATTCAGGGGCTTAGCTGATCGCTCAACATGCGATGTTGGGAAGTTGTGCTGCGAATCCACTTAACGAAACGGTGATGTGGGACTTGGGCACTTGGGCTTCTGTGTTGCGTGACCTCCTCCCTCTCTTGTGGTGAGCGGAAGTCGGTGGATGCCTCCCTTCGGTATGGCTAGTATTGGACGGTTGTATTCTCCCCGCTCCCTGTGCATTGCGTTAGGGCTGGGAAGGAAGTCAAGGGTTCGCTTTGACTTGTGACGGGGATGCTTTGAGCTAAAAGTACCTGCTTCTTTCTTGCTGTTGTGTTGGTATAGCCAGAAGCATAAATCAGCAGAGGTATTTAGATGCTTACCGCCGCAGCTCATACCTCCCCACGGTTATTTCGCACTTCCCCCCTCCCCCCCATCGGGCAGGCTATCGCGTGGGACGTGGCAATGTTTCCTCTCATCCTCTTCTTTGTGCTGAACTTCGCGGGTGCCCTGGATCAAGGAAGCAAGGGGGGCCTGTGGCCAACCATATCGCCCCGCTGCGCTTTTGTGCGTCGTAGCCTGCCGCAGAATGGACTCCGACAAACACCAGCCGGCTCTGCTAACAAAGGCTTTAGGACTTTATGGACGATGTTCAGCGCAGCGGAAGAGTTCATAAACACCTGAGACTTGTCTCCAAAGGTCGGGGATCCACGGCCTTCATGAACCCCACCTACCGCTGCTCAACGCTCTTCTTCGTGACCAGCTTCTCGCAAGCACAGGGATGGCAGAGGTACCAGGGAAGATGCCTAAGCAGCAGGAACAAGCAGCATGAACTGACATCAGTGAGTAATTAATCCCCAACTAAGAAGCATCTTTTTGCAGTAAAGTAGTCGGTTCATGAACTGGAACTCAGCATGAGAATTGCAGGGGTCATCTCAGGCTATCAGCGCCTTCTGCAGCTTCTGGCTTTCGGCCTGTACTTCCATCACCTGGCTGCCCCCAATGACGAACGAAGGCCTCGTGGGCAGTTCTTTTTCGCTTTTCACATTTCCCGTTTTCCCGAGTCCCAGAGCCCACTTTGAAGCTCGCTGCATGGTACCATCACCTACTGCCAAGGGGTTTGCTCTCTTGACGGCAGGCTGAAGCGGGCCTGTGCCGCTCAAATCAGCTTCATTGTGAATTTTGGGCGCCTTGGCACTTTGCTGACACCCACTCCTCATGCCAATCCAGCTGCACTGTCGCTGTCGACACACCCGGATGTTGAAGACTAGGCAGATTCTGGGTACCAGCTCGTTGCTGAATTTGGTCTGGGCTGAGGCACGAGCTTGCCCATCTGTGCTATGCTTCTGACAAGCATGATGTTTTCCTGCCTGCGACTCCATGCCCCATGAAACCTTGACCCCTCTGCTGCGTGAGATTCGGGAGTCGCTGATCGTGATGAGCTTCGCCAGAGACCTAGCAGACGATACCAATGGCGTGAGAGTGGCGAGAGGAAGGTGGGCAAAGCTTTTGACAGGAGATACAGTGCAACATAATTAGGGCTACATTTGAGCATGTGCCCTTCTTTGTGCGTTTTATTCCGTTGTACTCTTGCAGTATCGGATTTCAACAACACTCCCGTCACCGTCGTCGGCATTTGTAGCCGAGCTGCTGCCGTGGAGCAGCATTCGTTCCTGTGATACTGCTAGCTGCCTCCTTGCTCAAGCGAGACAAAGCCCACGATGCCATAGCGGCTGCGTGCAATTATTTGTGTATCGACGGCAGGGCCGGCAGAGACATGAGCAAACGATGACATGCTATGGCTAGCATGGCTAGCCGATGTGTTGGTCACTGAAGCCTTTGTGTGGTATTCCTGAGGGCAATTGCGGAACTCGCAGAGTACCGTAGAAGGTGCCTCCTAGAGCTCCGTAGTCATGGCCCGAGGCCAAGGCCTCAGATGCGCCATGCTGTGGGGACCAGCCGCTGCCATGGACTCAAGTGGCAGACAAGGCGCTGCATACCACGCCGACAGAGATGACAGTGGCTGAGTGCCATTTGTGTGCTCGCCCGATGCCAATGTCTGCTCAGGGTTCCCGGTGGCAGACAACCTCTCAGAGACAGAGAGGTGGTCGCCTACAATACTGCCCCTAATCTGAGTTGGAGGTTTGTTGCCTTTTTACGTCGTGTTTTCCACCACCAATGCGACCAAGCTGAAGCAAGTTTCTCACATGATGTGGTTGAGGCCATCAAGGCGTGTGCCAAGTCGGCAGCCTGGGCAAAAGCCCTACAGCTACTATCCGAACTTAAGACGATGCTTGGAGAAAACTGGACACGGCGAGCAACGGCACGTTGCATAAGTGGTTGGGCTTCGTTGGGCTTAGTGACTGAGGCTGACTTGGGGAACTTGGGCAGAGTGTAGGGTGCAGTGCACCATTTCTTGTGCTAGGGATTGCCGATGTCAAGTGCGGGCCAGGGATGTAGAGCGTATCGTATCGAACGGTGATATCGCAAAGGGTGCAAAGAGGCACTTCATGTTTGCGATGTCTTTACGTCTAAAGGCCCATGCGTGCCACTGGAGGACACAGCTGCGTCCAACGATCATCACCTACAACACCGCAATCAGTGCATGTGAGAAGGGTCGCTTGGAGCATTGCCACACTTCGTCACAAAGCCTATTCCTGCTGAAGACGGCTTCGGAAGTTTCGAGCTCACGGCTAGTCAGACTTGTGTAGTGCGGGATTAATGGTTACTTGGGCCTGTGTTATCGGTCTTTGAAGCTGTTGCGATGTTCGAGGGCCGCTCTTCTAGTCTGGGCAGCCGTAAGAAATCGCAACCTCCAAAGCCAGCATATCCTCCACAGATCTTGAACGGGTATGCGGAACAAGGACGAATCATTCTTACTGCAGGCTGTTTGTTCAAGGAGGCCAGCTCGCGCAGCCACAAAGGCAGTTCTTGTTCTCTTCCAGCGCTGCCTTGCACATCTGCGATCAGGCCTTCTCTCCCGCCTCATCCCCCTGCATCATGCCCTCTATCGCCGTATCTGTCGCCCCGACACCATCGCACGCCACATCACACGGTCATTTCACACACCCCATATCACGCCATGGCCTTCGAATCTGACAAGGCATCTGCAGCCGATGTTTTGAAGGAGTGCTTTGGACACGGGGGCGACTTCACTGTCGTGGTGGAGGAGTGCCCTGAGTGCCCTGAAGAATGCCGCGAAGGGGCGATGGAGATGGAGAGGCGTTCCGAGTTCAGCCGTTCCGAGTTCAGGGTTTGGTCTGTGCTTCTGGCCAAGTGGTCCAAGGTCTTTGATACAATGATTAACTCCGATGCTTTTGCGGAGTCCTCACAGGCCCAATTGGTCATCAAAGACTTCTCGGCTGCTGCCGTGGAGACTTTCTTGCGTTTCCTTTACTCTGGAGTTGTGGAAGGTAGTATCCCAACCCTCGTAGAGGTTGGCACACTGGCAGACAAGTACCAGGTGGACAAGCTGTCCGCTCTTTGCTTTCGAGCTGTGCAGAACAAACTGAGGCCTGAAGTGGCCTGTGAACTCTTTGCATGCGCAGATCGCTTCCAGGTTGCAGATCTCAGGCGTCAGGCGCTGGAACAGATCTTGATCCATCCCAAAGAGGCACTGAAAACCCGGCCAGTGCTCAATCCTCGCTTGTTGAACGAGGTTCTGGACTCCCCGCTGCTTTGCATTGAAGACGCGGACTTGATGGGCATACTGCAGGGTTGGGGCAAGAGAAAGGCGTCGGCTCTGGAAAACGACTCTATACAGCCACTCATCGACAGTCGTGTCTCCAACCTGCAGAAGAGAAAGCCCGGCGAGCACAGCACCGATGTGTTGCAGACGCTGTGGGGCCGATACACGAACAACTCGAAGACAGACACGTTCCTGGGCTACTGGGTAACACTTATTCTTGGGACCCCTTCTGTTTTGAATGGAATCTACAGGTCCATTGATGAAGGCAATAGGCTGGCCATGCTACAGGGCTGTGCGGCGAACTCTCGAAACTGCTTGCCACTCCGCTTCAGCAAGGGCTGGGTCATTTGGATGCTCCCTCACCACTCCGTGTACCTTACAGGCTTCTCGTTTACTCATGTCATATCCAGCCAGCTGCATTTCGAAGTGCTTTGTTCGCAAGATGGCTGTGATTGGCACCTGGCCCTGGCTTCAGACAAGCACGAGATCCCGGCGAAAAAGACGATAAGCTGCAAACAGCCTCCTCATCTCGTCAAGTGGTTCAAGCTGCAGGTCCTGGAAGGAGAGTTTATCAATAACTTTGGCATTCATGGCATCCTGCAGACGGACTGATACTGATGTTGGCGACGGACCAGTTAACGGGCAGGCTGGCGAAGGCCCAGATATACTTCCCTTTTGCCACCCAGGCTCAGGCAAGCTGTGTGCTGGCAAAAGAGGGTGCTTTTGTGGTCTGCATCGCATGCTTAACTAATAAGTACATGTTCCGTCCGGAGAGTTTTGAACCGATCAGCGTGTATCTTCGATTTCTGAGGCAATGTCTGGTCACAGGCTTTGGCCTTGCTTGAAGACGTACGAGCAGAGTTACTTCAGCTGCACGTCATATGGCTGCAGGCCAAGCACAATAGATAGCCATTCTGTCAGCGGTTTCGGGGAGCAGCGGGGTGCTGCCCATCACCTCGTCCTTTAATCCACCTTGCCGCCGAGGTCATCACATACAATGCGACGATCAGCGCATGCGAAAAAGGCAGCATGGGATGTTCATAAACGGGCAGAGCAACCGCATGCAAATTCAAGCGGATCGCCCCTAATGGTTGTATACGAAGTCTGGCTCTTTAAAGTTAGTTTCCTTGTGAAAAAGTAAGCTTGCAATCAAACAAACAGGCTAGGCTGTATGTTGGGGACGGCAAAGCGATAAGGAGTCGAGCAAGAGTTAACTACCCAACAGACATGCAACCCTTGAACCATTGGTTGCATGATTTGCATATGCTGTGTCCTTTTTCGTCTCAGACGCAGCATCTGTCATCACAGGCATCAGATAAGCGTAGCCTCCAAGGCATGCAGCCGGATCATGGACGAGGACGTATTTAGAAGCACCTCCGCCCATGTGAGTGATGATCCGTCGACGCGGTGCAGCCCAGCAATGGGACAGCGGGCTGGAGCTTCTTTGGGACACCTCTGCAACCAGACAAGGCGCAAACATTGTTCTCTTCAACTCCACGATCACTGCATGCGAGAAGGCCCGGCAATGGCAGCAAGCATTGCTCTGCATCTCCATCTTGCCTTCGCGATGCATGTCGGCAGATGCCATCAGCATGAATGCTGGCATCAGTGCGTGCCAAAAAGGCTGGCAATGGACACGTGCGTTGCAGCTTCTCTCGATGATGTCGCTGCCGACGGCCGCGTCCGATGTCATCAGTGCCAGCGCGGTCACCAGTGCACTTGCAATGAGAGCGCAGTGGCGGAAAGCAGTTCGGCTATTGTCGAAAGCACCTGCAGTCTCATGGGTACCAAATGTCATCACATACAATGCCACCATTAGTGCATGCGGCCGAGGTGGTGACTGGGCAGCAGCGCTCCAGCTGTTCTCTGGCATGTCTCGACGAGGCATTCGGCCCACCGTGGTCAGCTTCAACGCCGCCATCAGTGCATGTGAGAGTGGGGGTGGATGGTCAAGGGCGCTTCAGTTATGCCAGGACGTGCAAGCGACCAAATTGACCTGGAACGTCATCACGCTTACTTCACTTGTCAGCAATTGTGAGCAGGATGAGCAATGGCAGATGGCATTGCAGGTGATTTCCATCATGCAGGCTACAAAGCTGTCACCAAATACGGCAAGCTTCAATGCTGCCATGAGTGCATGTCAAAAAGGTGGACAGTGGCAAGTGGCACTGGAACTCTTCTGGAGTATGAGCTTCGAATCAGTAGCCCCTGACTTGGTGAGTTTCAGTGCTGCGATCAGTGCCTGTGTGAGCAGCGGTCGATGGCAGGCAGTGCTGGTCCTTCTCTCTGCTATGGTCCTTGACCGAATCTGTCATGATGTGATTAGTCTGAACGCTTCCATCAGTGCATGTGAGAAAGGCAAGCAGTGGCTGATGGCGTTGCAGCTGCTTGCCAGAATTCCCAAAGCAAAGGAGCAGCCGAATGTGGTTAGCCTCAGTGCAGCGATAAGCGCATGTGAGAAGGCTGGTCGGTGGAAGCACGCCTTGCAGCTAATGTCGGACATGCCCTGGAAAGGGGCGCCTCCTGATATCGTCAGCTTTAATTCCACCATGCGAGCAGCTGTTAGGAGTTGGCAATGGAGGGCTGCTCTTTCTGTGTTATCAACAATGCCATCAGCCAAGATGAGCCCAGACATGGTCAGCTATGCCCTGACGTTGGACGCCGTTGAAACAGACGGACCTTGCCTTGTGGCGGTGCATCTTTTGTCGCAGGCTTCAGCCCGCCTCTGGACGCATTCGCTTTCGCAGAGCACTTAGAAGATGCTTCTTGCAATGCACAGTAGAAGTAGGGAGATCATCTCTGAGAATTCAGAGTATGCTGACAAATTCGGTGCAAGCAAGTGGGAAGCGATCTGGCATCGACTTGCTGCAGCAGCTGGGTGTCATCAACTTCTATGAATGCATGCCAGGTCAAGCCTACTTCAACAACTCGGTTTTGCGTCAGTAGCAAATCGATGTCTTCACCCTTTCCCTTGGGGCGCAGTATCAATTTGTTTGTTTAACATGTGCATTGAGCAATGTTATGCATGCTCTTCAACATTGAGCTTCCTTGTATGGACGACTCGCATCGAAGCAAAAATCAGGCTGTCTCGCTGACGGTTGTTGCCACACTTCCAGACCTTTGTCATTGTTGCATATCTGTCTTGCAGACCCTCAGCCCGACATGGCATCTTCTCAACAATCTAGAAGATCTCGAGTCACTGTTTCAAGGGTAGGCGCAATCGAGCTTTTCATCGGACGTACCAGGCTCTGAGTGGCCGCGTGCCTTGGCACTGCTGGCAGAGCTGCCGCAGGCGGGTGTTCACAGGGTGCCTCACAGTGTAGCTGCGAGCTGGCAACGTATTTCTAGGAAGTTGGTTCGCAGGCGGCTCTGGACCGTGACGTAATCTCCTTCAATGCCTCGATCAGTGCTTGTGGCAGAGGTAGGAAGGGCGTGCACATGTTAGGGCTGATGTAAAGATGATCAATCTTGGTGATCGTCACAAGGCTCTGCTTGGGCTTTGGCTGCCGCCCTGCTCATGCAGCTACAGGCACTCAAGCTGCGGATCTTGTTCCTCTGCGCCGTGCGTGGTTTTACGGTTGGGCAGTGCTGTTGGCCCTTTTGGTGTCCCGATCTGATCCGACATGCACATGCGGCCACATGTGTTACACATCGGAATGCTGGCTGAATGAGAGGAGACAAACCTCCAGATCACCGTAGTCACATACGGTGCTGCAATTAGTGCCGCAGAGAGTCGTGGCAGAGAAATCAGCTCGATGGTGGGAGAAATTTGTAGGGACAGATTGGGACATTGCGAACTTGCAGATGTGTTCTGCCTACACCTCCAGGAAGGGACAGCAGTGGGAATGGGCGTTGGAGATGCTGCCTGGCAAAACTGGCTTGATATGGTTTGATGGTTAGTTGCTCCTGCACGTAAAGTCGTTCTGAACCGGCCCAGACATCCCCAGATGAAAGGCTTGTGTCTTGACACACCGTAAATCGTGACCAGTGTCTGTGGAAACTGTGACGAACGGAAGCGTGCACTGACTGCTGGATTGTTTATTAGGCTTTCGGAGATGCTGGAGCGACGTCTGCTTGGCAATGCGACTCAGCTAGCCATCAAGGGTTTTTGGTTGCTTCGTTTGCATGCGCTCTGCAACTCTTGTATGGTGCTGAGTTGATCACGCACAGTGCAGCAATCAGTGCCTGCGAAAAAGCTGGGCGTTGGCAGGAGGCATGGTGCCCTGGATCGCATGGGTGAAAAGTCTGGGTTGCAGAGACATGTTGGTTCTGTGCACCCGCACACATCCGAGGCACTTGCTGCTGGAGATTGAGGGCCTGAGACAAAACCTTGACGAGATATCGCTGATCCTCAATGCGTTGGTTTGCAAGTGTTTGGGAGTTTGGGGGCTTTGGCGAAAAGTATCTGTCAAATCGCTGCTGTTCCAGCCATTGCTGAGGAGTGCGGTGATCAGCGCCTGTGGACGGGAATCTCAGTGGCGCCATGCCATCGGTTTGCTGGAGGACATGCAGAGACGTCACATCCAAGGCTTGCCCCGCCCCGGTTGCCCCCCCTTTCCGTCCCAAACCCTAACCCCCCACCCCCCGGCTCCTGAATGAAGTCCCTGAATGCCTTGTAGCCGACGAGGTGGTCGCTGTAGAGGTTGAACAGATCATGATGTTTTGGAGAGACTGCAGATCCTGCCCAGCAGGTAATCTGATTACCTACAACAGCGTCCTCAGCGGCTTTGAGAAAGCGGGGCAGTGGCAGCTTGCCCTGCACTGGCTCCACGAGCTCCATTCTGAGCAGCTGGAGCTCGATGCCTCGTGGCACAAGTCTTTGGCCCCAGAAATTTTGTACTTCTTGTACCTTGTACTTCCTTCGAGGTCCCTTCTCCTAAGGGGTCGAGGGGGATTTTGGGTTTCAGAGGCGCATAGGCCAAGGGGATGCTGGACGAGGCCAGGAAGCCACCAGCAAAGACCTCCCCCAGCCAGGTTATCACGTACAGCGCGGTGATCAGTGCTTGTGAGAAGCATGGACGCTGGGAAGAAGCACTGCTAGTGTTGGTAGACATGCAGAGGCTGGGAGCCGTTGGGGTGGGGGGGGGTGCAGTGCTCGCTCCCACATCCTGATGTTCGGTATAGCAGGCGGCGGCTGAATGGCAACGACATCACCTACAACGCATCTATTTCAGCGTGCCAGAAAGGTGGCCAGTGGCGCCTGGCTTTGGCGTTGCTCGTTCAAAACATTTGCTTGGTGAGCTAAAAAGTTGACGGTGTGTTTTGGAATGTTTTGCCAATGCTCTCACGGAAAGCTGACGAAAGGCTTCTTTGCGCCTTTGACATGCTCGACTTGCAAAGGGATGCGGCTTGGCTATGGCTATGTGACTGTGTGTCTTCAATGTGTTGGCATTGATGGCTTAATGGGAGGAGAGATCATGCGTGTAGCGACACTTTACCCGCCGGATAGTTCTAGGAGATCAGCTACAGTGCCGCCATCAGTGCATGCGAGTGTGGTGACTCGGCGGATACTTGTAATGGTCTGCCGCTCGGATGTGGGCAAGAGGTTCTGCCACGGACGGGGTTCGTCCGAGCTCGCTAGATGCAGATGTCGCTTCCAGGCGTTGCCAGTGACTCCTTGTTGGATTCGGCAGTTGAGGCTATCAGTGGCAGAGATCCTTGCTTCTCCTGGCCGATCTGCTCTCCTTCAAATTCGAGACCAATGTCATCACGTGCCATATTTTACGCAGCGCCCACGTGCGAGTAGAAGCGACCGAAACTTTTAAGTGAAAGCTGTGCTTACCTGAGTCGACGTATTGTCTTTGGCTGCTTTTTGAATTGGGGCTTTCCCCATCTTTCCTGCAAGGTACAATGCAGCTCTTAGTGCCTGCTCCGAAGCTTTCAGCTGGGAGCAGCCACTTCTTCTGCTGACAGACCTTCAGGAAATACCACGCGGGCTCGAAGTTTGGTCCCTCTTCTCCTCTTCAGAACTTGTGCCAGGACCTGAGGCTGACAGCCAACACGATCACCTGCAGTGCCGCTTGGCATTCGAGAAATTTTGTTGAGTCTAAAGTTGCCACCGTGGCCGGCTTGCTGGGAACTGCTCTGCGGTTGTGTGTGGTTTGCAGCCTTGTGCGTCCTCACCGAGGTCGCAATCAGGTCATGCGAGATGACGACCCAGTGGCCTGAAGCTATGCTGCCCGGTATACCAGTGGCATACCTTTATGCACACGAGGCATGGGCCGAGGAAGCATCCTTGCTCTGCCAACAAACAAACGGCTGTGCACGTGTGGTCTTTGTTTGTCCAGGGTTTTCCAGGGAGCTGTGCTTTCCAGAGGAAGACCAAGAACCGAGGTTCCTGCTTCACGACTTGCAGGGCAACAGTTGCCAGAGCAACATGCTCACCTACAGTTACTCAACTGCACCTTCACCGCAGCACTTGCACAATTGCACAGCATGGCTCATGCCCGACGCTTCTGAGGCTTTGCTGTGGGAGCGTGCGGTTCTGCAGCTCAGGGCTCCAGCATGCTACCCCTGCTATCCGAAGTGCGGACTGAAGCACGAAGACTGCTGCAAAAAGGAGATTTCAATGAAAAAGCTGCTTTGGGCCGTGGCGTTCTCATTCTTCGTGTACCAGCGACAGGCGTTGCCCAAAACGTTGCCCAGGTCTCTGGAACTTTCTGGGTGCTGAGCGCAACGCTCTGGTATCTTGCCGAAGCCTTGCTGCCCTGCATTGATGCCCTTGGGATCACTTAGGACTTAGGCATGCTTGGGCCTTCAGAGCGGGTCCCGTGCAGCCCCTGCCAGGGCCCAGATCAGGGTATGACGGACATGTTCTCCACGCTGCAGCCTGGACCTGGTATGGTCGCATGGTATCGCATGTCTTGTCGCCAGAGTGAGTCAAACTCAAACAAAACGATCGAAAATCACCGAAGCCGGGAGACAAGGTACTACACGTGCATCTTCCTGCTTGGCGAGTGGTGCTCCTTCGACTTTTCGCCGGTAGGAGCAGGTCGATAACTTGAATGGGTTTTGTGACAAGTTCGGGGGAGAGGAGAGAAGGGGGTGTTCCCCCTTGATTGCATCTCGAGCGGCGAAAAGGATCCCCCGTACTTCCCCAATGTTTTACTGTGCGTTTTTGCATTGTCCCGTACGGCCCATGGCATTTACCAAACCTTTCATGTTCTGTGCCTACGCAGTATTGCTTGCTTGCCGCTCTTTGCTCCTGTTTAGAGTTTGTGCGTTTTGATGCCTGTGTCGGCTCTGAGCCCTTCTTTCTGCAGGTCTCAGCATGCTCTACTCCATCGTGGGTGTCGGCTTGAACGCCATGCCCATGGCTGCCGTTCAGGATGCCCTCACAAACATGCCACTTGGCCCAGAGAGTCACATCCGCCAACCTCAAGCAAGGCCAGAAAGATGCGTCACCGAATCTGTTTACAACAGTTCTGCACAGAGCTGTGATTTTGGGGGGCCACCCAGGACGGACTCAGGCACGATTCTGGGGAAGTCCTTTGCAACTGGGCGCTTTTCCATGGTAGCCAGCCGATGCAAGTCAAGCAGTGCTTGTGTTTTCTGATGCAATACATACCCGTAGCTGGTTCACTACAATTACTACAAGCGCAAAAGGCAAAGCTGATCAAAGCTGATTCTGAGCGGCTCGCATGCTGCGATGCTCTGGAGGTGCCTACCATCTGATGGTTGAGCGGCGGAGGCTCATCCACTCCACCAGCGGCTTGGCAGCTGACTACACGCGGCATCTTTTGCTATTTCAAGCCGGCAATTGTCGGCAAGTTTTTGTTCTTGTTGCTTTCTTGCAAAGCCTCTGCGCCTGGCCGCTTCAAAGCCCGGAAGATCTCAGAGGCTTCGGGGGAGCCAAGGCAACCTGCGAAGCTCTGAGGAAGCAGATGCGCTCGGCCCTTAGCCACTACCGATACTGCCTTGGGCCTTTACTCATGTGGCAGCTTCTCTACCCGGGCTGCATGATGCATGTCACCGCATGTCTGAATTCAGGAGGCTCGCCAACTACAGGCCGCGGAGAACGGAGGTTGAGATGCAGGTGATCGACAGTCTTGACCAACCCATCTTCTGAAGCTAGAGAAGCCAGTGCAAAGTTACACTGGAGAGCCGAAGTTCATGTTCGATGTGTGAATGTTCGAGAGATCCTGGGCAAGAAAGCTGAACTTCCAGTTGCTAATGCATCTGCGCAGCTGGTCCAAAGACGACCACATGTGTAGGCAGTCTGCCTCGCACCACATTCCCCATGTGACGACGAACTTGTGGCTTGAGCCACCGTGTACATATAAATATAAATAAATATATATATATATATATATATATATGTGTGTATAAAAAATATTTGTGTATACTATTTTAAAACATATATGTTATACATATATATATATATATGTATATCTGCTTCTACTATATTACCAGATTTACATATATATGTATATGTATATACATATTTGTATATCATCTTATGCTACGAGCGTCCTGAACTCCAGATGCTGCAGAAGCACGAGCAGGCAGGGATCGTGGGACGCGAGAAAAGCAACTCTGTGCTGAATCCCGCTTCGCGCTTCGCGACTACAGTGTTGGAAGGATCTGGGTTAAAGGGTCTATATCATATGATAGGGCTTAGGGTGTAGGGGGAGTGGTGATAACACATTAACACATACCCTCAAAATACGATCATATACATATCTATGTATGTATATATGTATGTCTGCATGTGTACATGATTTCGGGCTTTGGTTTATGAATCCGTGTCATCCACGCAGATTGCAAAAGCCCTGGACGGCTCGGAGTTTCTGGGCCGGACGATCAAGGCCAGACCTCGTTCCGTTCTTGCTTGAGGGCTTTGAGGGTCTTCCTTAGCATTGGGGTTTTGGGAGTTTCCTGAGAAAGGTGGACAAGAAGAAGGCCACCAAGGGAAAGGGCGATGAGCAGCCTGGCTGGCTTAGCCTGTGCGTTGCACTTGCAGATGGTATGCGGTAAACTTCCGGTGCTTGCATCCTAAGGAACGGCAAAGGTTGGGGCATGTGGGGCATGATGGGTCAGACGCCCAGTGCCGAAAGAACCGCTGCAGTCAATCCATTCTCCTTCTGAACTTTTGTGAGCAAGACATAAGTTCTCCGATTATAAGATTGCATTGTGCTACATCGTTCTCGGCTCTTCCTGGGAGGCAAGAAAGGTGGAAAAGACATGGGAAAAGGCCCATTCTCCAAAGGGGCAAAGCTCCAACATTGCAGTCAATGTAGCTCTCTGAGCTTTTGTAGAACCACATGCATGCGCCAGGTTGGTGGGGCGGTGCCTGCTGTCACGCTTGAGGTTAAGATGAAAGGAGTTGTGGTGACATGAGGTGGTTTTGGTGTAGCGAGGCCAAAATTTGTTGTAGCCGTTATAATCTCAGCGGCCTTTGTGATGCCAGCAACACTGTGACGCTACTGGCTTGTTTTTGCAGCAGGTGACCCACGATGCCACCATACATGAAGCCACTGCACACGATGGTAGCCACAGGGGTGGCTGTGCTCATGGACAGACCCCGAGACTCATAGAACATGCGACTTTATGTGGATGGCAAATGTTTGCCAGGTTGGTGGGGAGGAGGACAGATCCATAACATCCTGTACTGTACTGTAGTGCACCGCAATCTCTGGCAATCATAGAGTAAACGCACAGGAGTTTGCATCGCATGAGTTAGTGCGATTCGTTGTCGGTGCATCCTTCGGAGGAAAAGGATGGAAAGGATGGGGCCCGTACTAGAACATCGCCTGGCCTGGCAGTTGCCTCACTGATCTCACTGCACGGTGCGTGCTGGCATTGCTTACCTTGTTACCTGGTACACAGTGGTATTATCGCAAAGTCTCAAGAGCCTATATAGACAGCTACATGTTTACTGGCAGTGATCAGGCAGTGCCTGCATGCAGACCAAGGAATCTGTGCTTGGTCGGCTGTCACGGACCACTGAGCCCGCTCTGGTTCTTGCCGCGGCAGTCGCAATGCGTAGATTACCGTGCCCCGCTGGCTATCGTGCACGCCTCAAAGGAAGGATCTGCTGCGAATAACAGGTTCATCTGGCAGGAAATCGGGGGAGCGTGAACATGCTTGCATGTGGTTGCTAGCGACAGTTAGTGCATTCTTAAGCTGTCTCGGCCGTAGAATTTCAAAGCTTTAGTAGGCGGTCAGATCAACGATCTTATGATGATGCAGCAAGCATGCTGGGACGTGTTCGCTTGGCTCAAGGCACTGCTGATGCGTAGCATGCGCAACCACACAAGTACGTGTGCCTAACTCGTTCAATATCTGCGCTGATCTAGAACCTTACCGAGCATGCCGTGAACGTTGTTATAGTTATACTGGACACCCAACCTCGCAGGGTACGCTTTTGAAGAGAACACGCAGACACAGCGTGATTGTGGGCATGAGAGCAGCCAGCTCCCGACGAGCTTGAGAGGCTGCTGGCTCCTTGTTGTAGGGAAACGGCCTGCACATGGCATTGTGAGGCATTGACTCTGCAACTGCCCCGACTTAGGGGGCGGTCGGAGTTCTGCAGTGTTCCTTGCAAGCGTCGTTCCTCCGCATATCTCCGCATCGAGTTGCCATCGTGGGTTTCGCTATCCTTTCCACCATGCCACTGGGCTCTACAATGTTTCTGTGAAGCTGAGGCTGTCCCATATGAATGACTTCAATGTTCAACTAGGTGAAGTAGCAAGTGTATACGGCTGACCCAGAATGACCCAGACGAGCTCGATCTAGATGCTATTACGCCTGCCAGATCCAAGAACAGCCGTCAGAAGACCAGCCATCGGCTCACGGAAAGAAGTTCTTGTTTGAAGCGAGCAGTGGATGCAGCGCGGCGTTTCTGTCGAACTTGGCGGCCGGTACGGTCCTGTTCAGCTTCCAGCATCCGTGTGGCCAGCCGTTGCAAGTGCGATCGAACCTCCTTGGGTGAGAAATGGCACCACGTCTTCATGGTCCAAAGGGTGTTTCGTCTTCAGACCTCGAGCAGAACCTTCGACTTGTATGCGCACGAATCGCAGATTTCTGTCACGTGCTTGAGACTAGTTACCGGCTTGGAGGGAGGTCATGCCGAGTTGTCGCGTCAACACTCAAAATGCCAGCTGTCCTGCGTCGTTTTTGCCATCTGCCTTTGCCCCTGCGCTGGGCAGGTTGCAAGATGAGCTGGTATGGAGTTCCTTTCTGCGGCTACAGCTGCGAGCCTTGGCCCCAGCCGAATCTGCAGACATCGCCAGAGTTGACTTTGCGTGGAAAGCATCTTGTTCTCATGTGGCTGCTGGGGAGGGGAGGGCTGCTGTGAACACATTCTACCCTTCCGCCGTCTGGCAGAATTCGGAGCGCAGCTCGCAGCTCACATTGGAAGTGCTGAACCAAATGGCGGTGCCATGCGGTTCCGATGAGTCGAGGTCGATTGATTCGGGACCAACTTTCCGCGAAGTGTGGCTTGCTGTGAGGTTTTCGCCGTTCCGCGGGAATCTGCTAGCAATCGGCACCGGACAGCTCACCACTCAGATGCTGTGGGCCTCGTGGCAATCGTTCTTCGGATTGATGCACCGTTGCAAAGCCTGGGACACTGAATCAATTTGGGGGTTGTGCTAAGGTATTTTGGGATTGTGGGCAATGGCAAGCTCCACGTGTTGGACATTGCCGCTCCAGGCCTTGCACCGAACTGCCAGCAGTTGCCCTATCTAGGACTTAGAATCATTCACATGCCGTCTGCTGCTGCTGCTGCCGCCTGGTTTGGCATACTTCCTTCAAGGGGGTTTCAACAGTCGAGGTAGACAACAGCAGGAGCACACGAAACAAGGAGTCCTAAAGTTATCAACTCGTCCGCCGCGCTTCCCATGCCAAGAACCAAACCCAAGCGAGTCACCTATCCTCTCTGCCTCTGCCTTGAGTTGATACACGAGATTATTCAGTCAAGTGGGTTCTGCAGTGCCGACGATCGAAGAGCATGTATATGTGCCGTTTTACGTAATCACATCCTCGAGCAGCGCGCTTGTGCACTTCAGCAAAGCTGTCAGGTGGACAACCAGCATATGCCTCAGCTGAGCTTCCAAGATGAGATCGTGGGCTCGTGGGCTGTTGTGGGAGTCTGAGGTCTGTGAGTGGATGACCAATCAGGCCGTCTACGACGTGGCCTGGAGCGAGGCCATACTTGCAGAACGAAATTGCGCAGTGTCTGCACCAAAGAGATGCGAATGTGTATCACAACATCGACACATTCAGAGCGCAATTCTCCGGCACATGGGGGCCTCGGAGCGATTTTGACCCAGGTCAAGTCTGCCATGATTCGATCCGCATATGCCTTGCGTCTAAAGAGACGAAGCAGTTGAGACAATGTTAGGTGACATGAGCCACCTCGAAAAGCTTCGAACTTGTGGAGGCAAACGAGCACGTCCTGCTTACCGGACAGGCCGATGGGACTTTGAAGCTCTTTGCTTGGCACTTAGAGCTGTTTAGAGCACTTTCCCAACTCAGCAGATGTTGCAAAATGGCCCTCGCTCAGCGGCCTGAGCCTCCCATGCTCACGAAATTTCTGATGGTCCCGAGTCCCGAGTGTTGAGGATTGGACCAACCCTCAGGGTCCCATCATGTCCCTGGAGGAGCACTCAGCCGAGGCCGCAACTGTCCACAACTCTTACACAATGCAATGGAAGACTGGGACAAAAAAGGTTAGGTTGGAGTTGAACTTATCTGAAATCTCGAAAATCTGAGACTCGGAGTGCAGCCAGGTCTACGGTGTCGACTGGAACCTCAACGAGAAGCATCTCGTCAATCCCTCGAACTCCAAGACTGTGTCGTTTTTTTTTTTTTTTTTGGGGGGGGGGAAGGGGGTGCAGCAACCAGCTTCTTCGCCACCAGCAGTGTTCATAATTATAGGAGCATGAAGACGCTGAAGACTCGATGCTGAGATTTCTTCGGCGGCCTGGGATCATTCTGTCAAAGTCTGGGACGCCATGCGTGGAGTCCTGGGCTGAGTTCTGCGGGTTCAGGCAGATGACATATGCGAAGGCCGAAGGTTTCCAATTCCTTGCCAACAGTTCTCCACTGTCTTCCATTGTGCTGCGCAGGTCTGCCTCAGCACCTTCCGCGCCCATCAGAACTTGGCCTACGCTGCAATCTGGTCGCCAGCCAGGTGCGACTAGTTCTTCCGGTTAGTTCTTCCGGGGTGCACCCAGGTGATAGGTAACTCTGGTTCTGGTGTGGACTCCCAGTTAGGCCGGCGTGCCTTGCCAGTGTCGGCGGGGATGCCATGCTGCACATCCAGGAGCTCTTGCCGCATTCTGCCTCTGGCGAACCCTTGGGAGCCTGTTTTGACATTAACAGGATCTCAACGCGGGAGAGATGCCCGTTCAGAGCATTCAGGCCTTCGTGATGCTTTGATGACTTAAGTGCCTAACGACCCACGTAGAGACTTATCCGTCAAGACAAGGATGTGCAATTATGACTAGTTGCGTGTGCCTAGCATTCGATTGATCTCAGAACGAATTTATGCAAGCGACGTACTGGTATCAGAGTTGAAATCGCCGAGCAATGCAGAGTATGCAGTTCTCGCAAGGGGAAGGGCGACCGGGGCTTAATCGAACAAACTCAAAACAAACGACTACCATGCACTACAAACCCAGCTTGGTCTGCGCGTTCGAAATCCACAGCAGAGTAAAACTCATGGCTGCTTCAGATAGGGAGAAGGAACTTGAAGGCAAATGCGACAGCCACAGTGATGGCAAATGATTGTACAGTCCGAGTTCAGTCTGGAGATCCATGCACTCAGTTGCCTCGGCAGCCGGGCCGGCCCCAGGACAGGAAAGGAAAGAGGGTTCGGAGGTTGGGGGAAGGGGTTAGGCATTTGCGGGGGGGTGGGGGGGGGGGGGGGGGGGGGGGGGGGGGGGGGGGGGGGGGGGGTTTCGCGTTTTGAGGCGCTCTTTCTGTGGGTCCGGGACATGCGGGACCCTCCACGGCATTGGTTTGCAGCTCCTCCACAGAGCGGGGGCACAAGGCTGCAAGAAGTCTCGTCTTTGCAGGAAAGCGGCAACTTGAAAATAGGCCATGTAGGCAAAGCAAGCTTTGCTCAGGATGCAGCAAGAAGCAGAAGAGACCGAAGCGACAACCGACAATGGGGAAGACTCTCGTACTTTTCACGACTACTGTACATGTGGAGCTTTCCCATATTCCTTCAGTAGTGCCGTGTACACACACAACACCTTAGAAAGAGAGCTTCCCCTTCTCAATTTATCTGAGGAGCTCGGGTTTACAGGACTTTGCGCTATCCTCTGCCAAAGAAGTTCTCACTGTGGTTGCTTGATCCAAAACTGCCAGTCAGGTCCCAGTCCGGGGGTTTCCACAAAGGCTTCCTGTGTGTCGTCAGTGGCTGTCCGCGAAGGTTCCGCACAACAGCGCGCGAAAGGAAATTTGATTTTGTTGAGCATTTTCACGTCTGCACCCACAAGGACCATGAGAGGAATCCCGGAGTAAGGAGTTTAGGTCGACATGCACGTATCGGATAAGCACGCCTTTCGAGAACGGACGAGTCCTTGGCGCGCTTGTCCCAGATGACGCCACCAAGCCATGGACCACAGTGCGGAACTGCAAAGACCTTGCTGACCGATGTTGGTTCATAGACCGACCACCAGCCAGCGACCATGCAAGCGCCAGGCTCACCAGCATGAGATCCTGACAGTCGACTGGCCGTTGCCCCATTTGATCGTATTTATCTATGAAGGGGGCAACTTAGTGGACAGATTTGGCACGGTGTGGGATGTGTTATCTTTAAGTTGAGCTGCCGTGTTTTTGACCAGTGCCTGTGGGTGCCGAGGAACAAGTACAATGAGTTCATGGTTGTCACAGGTAGCCGCACACCAAGGTGTCTGCAAGTACTGGCGTGTTGAATGTCCTGTGGTGGACGCTTCGAAGCACAAGTCGTGGTGCCTCGCGAAAGCTCGCTTCAGCCTCTGCTTCTTTGCCGCCAGCACCACCGAGGTGTTGACAAGACCATCCGCACTTTTGACCTGCGCAACTTTGGCCAGCCCCTGCAGGCAGCACCATATGGGCATCACCCATTCCCCCGTGTCTGCTTCATGCGACAGAGGGGACAGCACTTGTGCAACAAGTCGACCTGCTGACTCATTGATACTTCGGCCTCACTGGCTATCGCGGAGCTTGAGCCCTGTCCCCCGGTAGATTCTGCACGGGCATCAGCTTGCGGTCAAGCGAGCTTCGGCCCAAGATGTGACGGAAGTTGTGGCAAAGCTGCAAAATGTCAACAACTGTTGTCTAAGGTCAAGTGCCACCCATACGTCGAGACACAGATAGTGAGAGCCTCAAGTGTGTTGGACCTGCGCGAGCATCTAGGGAACATTAGGGAACATGATTTCACATCCCAGCTCATCAAGTCTGACTGATCCGTCATGATACGCTATGACCTACTGGCGTTACTGTATGTGAAGGTCTCCTGCTCTTATGACACAGCAGTGAATGTCTTCGACATGACCATGGGTCAAATGTGATGACCTTAGACTACGTAGAGTTCATTGTGATGGCCAGCAGCTCAAAACATCGTGGCAGAAGGTCACTTCCATACGGACTGCTAAAGCTGCCAAGGATTCAGCACTTCGACCAACACACAGAGTTCACTTTGGGTGTTGACTTGAGCTTGTTTGAGGCAGGTGAGCCTGAAAGTTCTTTAGAACTGGCATGAATTTAATGCTACTGTGCGCCGCCTTAGCCCTGGGTCGGCTTGAGGAATGCCTTGGGGAGCCTGGCGGGTCCCAGCATCGAGATTCTAGTGACTCTAGTCTCGCCTTGCTGGGCGGTTTAAGGGCATCCTAATGGTCCTAATTTAGGGTTTAGGGTCCTAAAGGTCCTCGTGGGCCTAGCGGTCCTAAAGGCCCTGCATGGGGGAGGTGCGAGAGGCCTGGAGGTGCTCCTGGGAGTTCCTAAGGCGGGAATTCAGAAGTTCTTGGGGCGGGCCCCGAGGTGCTTGAAAGCGAAGCCTAGAATCTAGAATCCACCCAGGATCTAGAAATATCTTGAAAGAACGGTCGGAAAAGGGTTCGCTCGTAAAATGGAGAGGGGATGAGAGGGTGGGGCTCTTTAATACAGCCAAGGCCAGCGGCCTGTGAGCCTGCATGAGTGCTTTTTGTTGGCAGTGCACTTGTAAAGGTCAGTCGCCTGCAGGCTGCAAACTACTTGCAGGTCTAGGCTGTGTGATTGCAGCGCGCAGGAAAACGTCATTGCTTCAACATCCTGGGCGCATCACTCAGCCGCATCACAGCTTTGTCTGATGAATTGTTGCAGCTGTTGCATCGGATACTTCCTTGCCCGTAGAACAGGCAACTTACCACTGCCTATGGAGACCCCTTTAGGAGTGCGCAGCCCTTCACGCTATGCTTCTCTAAAGTCGAGATGGCACGAGAGGTCGAGTGACCTCGAACGGATGTCTGTGGAAAGACAAGCAATCACTCGGGACAGATGCGACGCCCGCGCATACAGGGGCAACGTGACAAAGCGGCACACCCGCGCCAAAGATTTGGATGTCCAATCGGCTTTGAGCTTGCTTGCACGAATTGCCTCAGTGCAGACTGCGTTTACTAGCCGCTCTGCTGTCACAGGCAGACCGAATTCCTTTTTCATCTTGTGACATGTGGCAGTCACATGATGATGGCGCATGAATGTGCATGGCTGAGGACTGTACCGCCTGTGTCTGGAATCTTGCTCAAGGCCTTTTCCTTGGATGTTTCCCTCTGGCAGCTCTGACTAACACTAGATGTGGTTGAGAGGCATGTGCAAAGTTCAACAGCGGACCAGAGCTGAACATCTTGTCATGCAGTCGCAGGACCACCTCCTCCGCCGCCGCCAGCGATTGCGCTGACCTTGGCGAAGGGCACTGGGCAGGGTTTGTCGCTTTTTGGAGAATCATTGGTCGAAAAGTCCCAGGAGCACCCTTAGAGCACCTGCCAGGTGAAACGTGTTCCTCGGCAGCCAGCCGGAGCACAGTGATGCTTTCAACATGCCGTGTTGGAGCGGCGTTGATTTAGCTCTGGCTGTGTCCAAGAGTCAACATGTCATGCTACCACGCAATATAGCAACGCACAGCCAGAAAGTCTCACCTGTCGTTATGTTAATGGCTCTTGTCTGCACAGGCAGGCGCAGGGCATTGTCCAAATGATTTTGCGTCGGCACCCTGACCAGGGTCTTATTACTCCCAAGTGACGTCCCTGGTTCAGTGGCTGTTGAACAATATGGGAGGGGGGGGAGGGGGGGTAACTTGTACATACATATTGCTACGTATCCTTTCAGCTTGTGCCAGATGACTGTCTGTTGGCAGTAGGTTGGCTCAAAGTTACCCGGTTCCGGTGTGGCCAGGGCCCAGGAGCTGCTTTTGCTCCACAAAGGCAGATCCCGAACATGAAAGAACATGAGCCTCATCATGAACCTCGTGCGCAAGACTGTGCTCAAGAAAGCGTTCATGAATGATTTCGTGCAGGCGGCGACAATGGCCGGAACACGACAGGCCACGTGAAGCCTTCAAGATCCTGCAAGACCTTAAGATCTTGTCTACGTGCAAGGCATGCGCCGAAAAGCCATTCAACGGCTTCATGTAGATATTCCGCGCCTGCGAAGAAGTTGCAACAGTTTTGAGGTGAGCCGTGCTGCGGTTCTGCCTGTGGTCCTGCTGGCCACAATCCTCGTCTGCGTGACCAAGCTTTGCTTCCTGGCAGCATCTCAGGCGCATGTTGGATGCATTCGCCGCCTCGTCCACAAAGTATAGAAGGCTGGGCATGCCCATGTCACACATTTTCGACACTTGTCATGCAGCTGGAAACGGCTGCACTTGACATCATGTTAAATCCTCTCATGCTCAGGTGCTTTCACCCTGCCGGTTCAGCCCAATAGGAGGCCATGCCATGTCAGCAGACAAAGAGCTTCGCGTGGTATATGCACCTTGTGCCAGCCATGGCTTCTGCTTTGCCAGTCAGAACTGCCAGGCGAGGCGAGCGCTTGCAGCTGCACGCTGAGGCAGGGACAGGAGAGAGACACGAGACGAGAGGCAGTGCAACATTCAACAAGGGTAGGCCCAGAGCGAGCTGGTTGCCGACAGTTGCCTTGAGCAAATTCTGGAAGCTCTACGCTGGACTTTGCTGGACAGGGCAAGTGCATCGGAAACTGCTTGCAGCCGGATGGTGACGTCCTCGTTTGCTTCGGCATAGTCATACGAACCCTATCAAGATGCAAGGATGCATTGTCAGGGTTCGAGGGTTCAGGCCAAAGGGGTCATCAAGCAGTTTTAAGCAGATTACGGCATGGCTCTGTAATCTTAGTCTTTATTTGCTCAGGCTCATGGAAGCCCACAGGTGAGATTGACATTCAGGCCACAGCTTGGCCCTGCGCATGTACACTTCTGTCCTTAGCAGGTCGATCTTGGGAGTGTTCGTCAGATTGCTCTAGCGATGCAGCTCTGATGATGTATAATTACAATCATTACAATCTTCGTCGCAACATGGACCGACATTCGTTGGCATATGGTGGCTACTCCGCTGTGTTGTCGCTCGGTTTCAAGCTTACCTATACCCAAAGTGGTACAGACAAGTGCATGAGAGCCCAAAAGTGGCATCTGATGTCAGCCTTCCACATGCGGACAAGATATTGGCAAAATTGCCACCTCAAGCGTATCAAACCTCCAAGGAAATTTGTTTATAGTTTTTTAGCACCATGGGCAATGGCTGCTCTGAGCTCTGGACAGGTAAGGGGAGCAGTGTTTTGCCTGTTCTCAGTGGGACGCGTTAGGACGTGTCAACCGTCAACCCTTCTGAGCTTCGTGAATCTGCCAGACTCTTGCTGGGCTCCGCTGCACGCCTGGCTCACCAGTGGCCGCCGAGGTGCGACGCCACGTGCTGCGAAAGTTTACTCGAAGTCGAAGCATGACGAATCGCAGCTGTTCTCACATTGCAGAATGCAGTCGTGCGTACCTACGCTGGCCTTTTGCTGGCTCAAGTTGCAAGGCGACCTCGTCCTCTACGGCTTTCCTCAAAGACCTCGTGGGCCCGATGCCACAAAGGCATTGTGCATGCTTGACGCATGCGTGGAGCTGGGACATCAATCGGAATTGTTTCCAGCTTGCTGATTTCAGCGGGTGCAAGATGCTTCAGTGTGCGTGCGCAACACGATCTTGGTTCGGTCTGATGTAGCCTCAACACCGCACTCTTCATGACGGAGGCAAATGGGAGCTACGTCCTGTGTGGTGCGTCTTGTCGGCAGAATCCGGTGCGACCTTGGCCAGAGCCGCTGACTTGCTGTGGAAATGCCTAGCACATCCCATCTGCCCAGGAACACCATGGGCGCCCAGTGTTTCAGCATGTAAGTGGGACAGGCCGGGTATTGTCCGAGTGTAGGAGCTCCAAGATTATCAAGAGCAATACATACTTGCGTAGACGCGTAGGATTAGGAACCGACCTGTGAAAAACCAACTTAAGACTTGTCTGTTCAGAGCATCTTTGGTTGCCACTGTGTTTCATGTGCACTGGCATCATACCTTTGATAGTGAGCTCGATGTATAACACCCATTTCAAGGTAAACTTGAGAAGGGACTTTCCAAGCATGCACTAGCAGCTGTATGGCCAGCCCAGTGATCACAACTATGGATCCACAAGTTCTAGTCAAGTCTTGACCGGACGCGTCAATGGTCAAAAAGGTCCTTTCAACACAGCCCCTTAGGAACGTGAGCAGCACAAAAAGCTCAGACTTCGGGACAACGCTCAAGCTGCTTGTCTTTGCCGGTTGTTGAACTTGCGTTGCTTGAGGACGCATGAGGTCTTGTAACTATCCAGCAGAGAGTTACAAGCGAAGAAGCCGCAAGGGCAGAAGACCATGGATGCAGCCGAATCAATGCATCAGAGGGGGCTGCTTATGCATATGTTGTCTCCATTTGGTAAGGATCTGTCTATATATGCAGTTTCCCATCACATTCCGTACGGAGGTCTCAGAAGGGTGTGCAGCACCTTGCCTGTGAGCAGGACCTTTCATTTATTTCTGGGACGAGCGCGATGGCGACAACTGGCTGGGATCTTACAAGCTACGAAAGACTGACATTCCGCACTGTTGCTGGAAAGCACTGCCGAACGATGCCATGAGCTGCGCCTGCCGTACGACACAGGGAGTATGGAGTTCTGTGCTGCCAGAAGCCCCGCAGCTAGGCGTGGCTGGTGGTTGGGCCCCACTGTGGGTGCCGCAGAGGTTTGGGCATACAACGCGGAGGTGGAGGCACCTGCACATAGCCTGCCATGCCCACGACCTCGCTCTGTCTCCCTCTATATGTCTCTCTCGCTCTCTCTCTTTCTCTCCTGTGGGCTCCAGTCCTCACCTGGGGTTCAATGCACCCCATCGTGCAGGAAGGACCTCTGCCACCGACACAGTCCTGGCGCAGCCCATGGCATGGCCCGATCCATCCAAGTCTGAAAGTCAAGCATGGCCCCCAGAGTATCTTCGAGTGGGGCGCAGCATGGGACGGGCACGAAATGCATGTCTCACATTGTGTCTATACAAGAGTCGGGACGAGCGGCGGAATATGACAATAACATCGCAGTACTTGAGCCCTACTGTATTGGGTTCCTGATGTGTTTTGATGCTATTGCCGTGGTTGTATCTGCATGTCGTCTACACGGTCTCTTACACCTTCACCTGTCCCTGGCTTGGCAGCAGGATGCAGCAGCATGAACATGTTTCTGTGCACAAAGGTACATCTGGCCTCGAACTACGCTGAAGGCGCTGATGCAGGTTGGCTCATCACACGGCATGTGCCCAATGTTGGCTCGCTTGCATGTGGCTTCCTGGCTTTTTCCTCTGCAATGTAGGTCTGAGTCAGGACCGTTCTTGCCTGGCTCATCATTGAAGTCTTTCTTTCTGTGTCTGTTGAATCCTGTTTCCACAGTTGAATATTCTTAAGCCCAAAGGCGAAGACTGTGGCTGCCGAGCCTGCAGCACCAGAGGTGCAGCGCGTGGCGTCGTCCTCAACCATTAGACCCGCTAGTAACACTCAGAGCACACTGCTCTAGTGCTTTTGAATCTCTCTCTCTCTCTCTCTCTGTTTCATTTGGACAGCAAGTATTTAATAGCATCCAGATCGCATACAGACCGCATCTAAAGCAAGGTTCCGGACTGGCTTCAGAACCCTGGCGAGGCGGAGGCGAGAGCCCGCTTCCATAGCGCATGCCGCACCGGCCGGGCCACCCCAGCAACGGAACGTGCATGTCAGCGGAGTCAGCGGTCCAAGCGGCGCAACCCGGACTTTCCAGTCCGCCCAGTTGGGTTGCGGATACGGAAAGCGAGCATGGGTCAAGGAAAAAAACTGGAGAGCAGGCGACGCGTCATCCCGACATCTTGAGCAGCGTAAGGGAGCTTGCTGCGGATCCCTGAAGCCTTGTTTGCCCTGAATAGCAGCAAAGTTAAAGCTTGCCGAGTGAGAAGGCTGTTTCTGGCACTTGTTGTGCGCCGCCAAACGAAGCTTGTGTTTAGGGTGGCGGTTCCCAGGCGGGTCCCAGGGTGTCCCAGCAAGGTAAAGGTCCAATTTCAGCAGGTGGATGCCGGATGCCGGGTTGGGAAAAGGGGAGTCGCAAGGAGACCTTGGTCTGCTTGTTTCAGAGCGCTTCTCGGGGGTGGAGGCGAAGTCATGTGGTTTTGACGTCTTCGCTTGCACTCATGGGCTTGTTGCACTCTACTCCCACTTTGTTCTTGCACTCTTGTTGTGTTCGTACGCTGTTTTAAAAGTGGTTTTTGTGCGTTTCTCCGCCAAGTACATTCAGAGGTTGCCCTGACAGAAGACTCGACACAGCTGGGTAGCTGCGGGGCCTGCCTGCCATGCTTTTCAGAAAGAGCACGGTGCCAAGAGCGCATCGAATGTGGAATTTTCTGCACTGTGCACGAGCGGAGAGAGCTGAGCGCAAGTGGCGTGCAGCTCGCAAGCCAGATCTGTCTCGAGCCGCTTTGGAATGCCGAGCCCAGAAGCTTGTCCGTGAATGGAAGGAGGTTGTTCGGTACGCCATGCCTCGGCAGATGTAGTGGCTTCTGTGGACTGGCTGCCTTTTCTAAAGCTTCCCGCATAAGGAGCACATTGCACCATCCTTTCAATGAGCAACTCTTCACTCGTATTTCCAAGATCCCAGGTGTGTTTCTGGTGAACCTGAAGCGTCTTTGCCGGCACTACTTTTGCCGGGCTTGCGCCAAGCGGACACTTGCCTGGTAGATCAGCATGGCATGGAGATGAGCATGGACTGACTCGTCGTAGCATGGACCAATGGATGCCATGTGCCGCACTGCGAGGATGTTGCTGGAACAAACAACTCTGGGCATTCGCCCGCTTCAGGAGGAAAGCGGCTGGCCAGTTTCGCCCTCTTTTAGAGATGACCCATGCAACAGTTATGTGCAAGAATTGCAAGTTCTCAGTGTCAAGGCCTACCGCTGGTAAACAAGGGTGTTGACATGCCATGACATGCCATGACATGCCATGCTGCATGTGCTCAGTTGTGGCAGGAGATGCAGATCGGGATGCTCGAGGCTCGCCTGCAGAATCTCTGGGTGTCCCAACCTACTGCAACTTTGCCGCTTTCATGCGCATGCTCCGATGTCCCATGAGATGCCTTAATTAAGGATGGTCTTTCTTCAGTGATGGATGGTGCAGGAAGGCGAGTGGGAGATCTCGCGATCTGCTCAGCAAGTTGCTTGCATCACTTGGCCGAGAAGTCTGAGTTGGTCACTCGCCGAGGTTTGGTCCGAGACAGGCCAGCGGCTGTGTGCCGGCGAGATGTTCCTGGTTCTGACTCAGTGGCTCGGACGTGGTGTTTTTCTGAGACTGTGACACACCACTTTGCAACTTCCGTCGTGCTGTAGACCTTCGCAGCTTAATGTTTGGTTCACTTGACCATTGCGCCGGTGATGGTCCACGTCAATCCCACATGCTGTGAGCTGAGGTTGCAACGTTTGAGGCACCTGGAGGCTGCCTTGTCACGTTGCCACAGCAGCGCTTTGCAAAGCATCTGATTCATGACCGTCCATGTCACCGCAGCTGCTTCTGTGGCACTGATGCTTGGGAAGGATGCAGAGGAGGTTTTCTGATGTCGCACGGAGATGGTGCGGTAGTTTGCTGTGACGTCACTTTTGCAAACCGGCTGTGCCAAGACACGGGCTGCAGGTGGGCATGGAGTTTCGCTTCAAGGTGCCTGAGCACCACATGAGCACGCATCATGCACACATTCAACGTTGCACCTTCAGGGCATCATGAGTGTCCCAACGTTTTTGCTGGCAAGGAAGGCGAGGCCCTGGTGATCCGACGAGGTGGGGCAACAGCCTGCATCTGTACATATATATATATGATATATGGTTCAAACATAGATATAATTTGAATATGAATATAAACATATACAGGAAAATGAATACATAACTATGTGTTTATGTATGTGCATGACTGATAGTGTTGTATATACACTTGTATACAAGCATACATGCCTGTTAATGATCGAGCATGCAAAGCCGGAGCAACATTTGCTTGACTGTGCTTCGTATGCTCCTCCATCGGCAGTATGGGTAGCAAGAGAGAGCGCAGCAGCTGCAGAATACCGCCAGAACTCTTCAGGCCCAAATTTCATGGGTGCCTTGGTGTGGTGTCTTTCATCAACGGGTGATACGTGTGCTGCTTGAGATAGTGTAGTTAGCGCACCCCTTCCCCCCCACCCATTTGCGACACGATGAGTATGATGTATGGTTTTGTAGCAATACCTCTTCATGATGGACGGTGTGTTTTTTAAGCTTGTAATTCCTTTCGGAACGACCCGGACCTGGACCCGGACCCGCACCCGCAACTCGCGGACCCCCCGGACCCGGACCGGACCTGGACCTGGGATCCGGACCCGAGCAAGAAACACCATATCGCCCATACTCTGCAGACGAGGGGTTGTTGGGTCGTGAACAAGTGATGTCCTCACCCGCCAGCTTCTCGCCTTTCAGCTCGGGTCTACTTGTCTCGTACTACTGAATCCTACTGCTGTTGCTGCTCTTGCTCCAATTTGCCTCCGACTACAACTTGCGCTTTTGCCACTTTTTGCCGCTGCCATTCTTGGCACTGCTGCCACTGCTGCCACTGCTGCCACTGCTGCTGCTGCTGTTGCCACTACCACTGCAGCCACATCTCGGGCCTCTTGAGTGCCTGCAGGAGTCTTGTTGGGATGTCTTCTGAAGGGAGCCTGGCGTACACTCAAGCGGATGACGCATGAGGAGCCTTAAGGCGTCAGCTATTCATTCCGGGCCTTGCTTCTTACATGGAGATGCAAAACTGACCGTCCGGTGCCCTGCAAGGAGTTTCTGCAGGAAGGTCTTGAAGATGTGGCGGTCACCAGCCGCCTGGGCCTGGGCTCATTTGTTGAAAAACAGCAGCATTCTCCACAAGAAAAGCCGTTGATTCTAGAACGTGCATCAGCTTGCAGTAGTTCGGAGCATTCTCCTTGGGAGCAGTTGGTAGTTGTAGTGTAGGTTACACATGTGACCTTTTGTGGCCCATCACTGAGGCAACATAAAGGATCTGCGATCAAAGCCTGGAGCCGCAGTTTTTCACGATCACTGGAATGGCCAGGGGTTTCGAGGGTCAAAAGGAGCTTTGGATTGACAGGTAACAGATTCCCGGGTCTGTGCAAGGATGCCATGAGTCGGTACATGCATGATTGGTCGCAAAGTTTGACACTTGAGTTTGTTGTAGCTCATCGACTTAACCCTTGAGTTGGGTCTACTTCATCCGCAAATCATGAGAGCTGTCTTGTCTTCTGGTATATTCTTGTAACTTTTGTGTTTTCTACTTTTGCTAATACGAATACAATTAAAGCTGTGAGAACCATCTGATAGTGGTTTCTCACAGCACCCGCCTCGCAGCCTTGGGTGTGGAACGCTGATTAATCCGAACAATACTCTAAAGAAAGATCTTGCAGGATTCTCTGAAAACTCTTCTGCGAGCATGTGTCAGCGAAAGACAGAGGGAGAGAGAGAGAGAGACAGATTCCCCTGAAGAAGAAGAAGGAGAGACAGAGGGGGGGGGGTGGGCGCCGAAGCGCGCAGAAGAAGCAGAGACAGAGAGAGTGCCTGCCAGTGCCTGGCCTGCGAGGTTTATCGTGTACAGCGGCGGAGAGTTCAGCTGCTGGACCGCGTTTCAGGAACACCAGGAACCCAGAGCTGGATGCGCCTGTCAGGTCTTGTGCTGAGGCGATGTGAAAATTTCATGTTGCAATCCAAGGCTGCTGGACTTGCAAGCGGTGCTCCTTGGAGACGCTTCGCTGCCTTGTAGCCTTGATGTGGGACCGAGATTCAGTGAAACTCAGGGCTCAAGATGCCCAGCTGGGTTGAATGCACCGGCTGCAAGATTTCCCAAGCACAGAAATGAATTCAACAAGGAACACCTCCAGCGATTTCAAGTGCAAGCTGTGTCGCTGAGCTGCACGAAGCGAGATGGGTCAGTGCCAGTGACATGGTCGACTGCATAGCCTGAGCCACGACTGCCGAGCATTTCTTGAAAGGTGGGGGTCCGCCGCAGCGACCGGAGGAATCCCAACCGAATTTCAATCCTATGGGTCGTTAAACGCACAGCGCTTCCTTCTGCAACAGGACGTGCCGGAGCAGAACTTGCCGCTGGACCGCTTCGGAGCTGCGGCGCTGAGGACCGCCCCTCCGCCAAAAGCATACAGCACCTTGGGCACCCAAAGAAGAACCCCCCCCCTACTCCGTACCTCTGAATCTCAAGACACAACAGATCGGACGCCCTACTATGACTATAGGACACCCCCCCCTCTGGAGCAGCCTTGGGGTTCAGACTTCAGAATGCTTTTAAGACTTTGTCTGCTTTACACGTCGAAGCTGTCAAAAAGCGTCACAGGAGTCGCTTTGCTCTCCGGCCGCAGCTGCATTGGGCAGTGCCTTTGCAATGCCAAGGGCCCAGTGATGAGGGGTTAGCTGGCATTGGCTTTCAATCAGCTGCAGGCAAGGCTTCAGACAGTGTGCAGCAAGTGTCTCTCGAATTGTCTTAAGCCAACATCTCCCAACATAGGTCCTTAAAGCAAACCAAGGTCCCCTGTGTCGGAATGGCGGTACCGCTTCCGTCACCCCAATGCCGAACCTGCGCGAGGCAGTGTGATCAGGTATTTGAGATGTAGGAGCGACGTGGGTGACTCGTTGAGGGCAGTGTGTTGTGGTTTTGGGACCTCTTCCGACTCTTCCGTGTTAGAAGGCGCCCTTCGACTGGTTCAGCCTGGTGGATGTGGCTGGAGCAGGGAAGCTAACCCTGCCGCAGCCTCGTGCTAGAACGGTCTACAACGCCTTCAAGGGTCTTCAGAAGTTGCGCAAGAATAGCTTGGATGAGTCGTACATTGCCAGCCAGACATCGCAAGAACAGAAATCGGTAAGTCGCTTGTGTACCCTTGTGTTTGCGTGCATGCAGTGGGGCTTGATGGCTTGCGCCGAGCTACGGAGCTATAGTGCGTTGATAACAAGGACTTAACAGTGCGCCACAAGTTGCAACTCCTTCCGGGCCCGATATCGGACGGCGTCTTCGAAATCGAAGGTTCTACTTGTGTCTGTACAATGTAGCCATAATTCGGTTAATCGTAAAATACCACACTCCCCAAGTTGGCACGCACCAGCTACAGTTGCTGATCAACGTGACCATAGGCTTTAAAACTCAAAGACATGACGAATGAAAGCTTCTCATTCCCAGTTCAGTTGAATAGATGAGGCTCATCTGGGCCGTTTCGTCTGAGGTACGAGTTGGCGGCCGGTCTGGCGACCGTCTTGCCTTTGAGTTCAGAGCGCCCGGACCTCGGTGATCGGTGACAGGAGAGAGGCCAATTCTGGTCGGAAGCCCGGAAGCCACTATGCCGTCGTGACAGCTTTCGGTGTAGCCTTGCTGCAAGATGTTAAGGCTTGGAGTCAGAGCTCCAGCATCAGTTTTCTGGGCTTCAGTGGCCCATCAATTACGAGCAGTTTGCACAGCAGGACTGCTCTGGCATGCTGTCAAGATGTCAGCGTACAGTGGGAGCCGTGAACGTCAGGAGGGCCCAGCGCATTGGGCCATGAGACAGCTGGAGGCCTTCCGGTCTGCATTGCTGCCATTGGCTACCCTTACCATCAAGCATCGCATCGGTGATGTCGCCACGAGGGCTCAGACAGGTCGTCCCGAGCCGGCGACTTGGACGGTTTCCGCCTTGACAGGCGCTACATCGCCACGAAAACGGTGCTAGGCGGTGAGCCTCGGTGAGCTTCGCGACGCGGGCTTTAGAAAGTAGTAAACCCGGTTAATCAAGAGCCTATCCAGGCTTGCTTATTCTAAAGCCTGTGGCATATAGCGGCCCTGACACTCTACAGTACAGCATGTCAGACATCGTCGGACTCGTCTGACCCAGCCGTTTGCCACACCGCACGAAAACGTGACGGAGCAGTTTACTTGACATGCGTTTTGCCCATGTTTGCTGCTTCCTTTTGCAAGCCTCAGGTTAGTTTCAGTTCCTCACGTGGTGTGTTGACAGGGCCCCGAGGAGGAAGCCCTTGCGCAGACGGTGTGGGAGGCACGCCGATTTCTGAACGCATAGTTCTACAGGGCAAGGCCAGGCAACACCGTGAAAACTAGTAGCAGCTGTTGCGAGTGGCTTATCTCTTAATTGACCTGTGATAATCAGCGATGGATGGTGATCACTCTCCTCGAGCATGGAACGATAGACGAACAGCACTTTGAGTTTAGACTGGAATGCGATAGCTCGTGACTGCTACTTTTTAATCGGTTCGCTGCTGGGTGGCCTGCTCACAGACCGTATCACGAAGTGCCAGCTTGTGTGTAGTTCAAGTTTAAGTCCGTGAAGTATTGCATAATGCATAGAAGTTGCTTGAGCTCATGCTGCCTCTATCTAAATCCCGCCCTCAGATTCTCCCAGGCTTTGATTTGATTTAAGCCTTCCTGGCACAACAAACCTGAGAAGAGAAAGCTGCGTATGGTTGGCGCCTTGACGTGTCTTGACCATGCTTTCAGCTGCATCAGAACGTGTAGCTCCCGTGCCCACCGTGGAACGCAACAGAGGGCCAAGCCAGGCCTAGGCGTCAGCTTCAATCCCATCCAGGCGTTCCAGGAGCAGTACACTGGTGCCGCAGAGCGCGGCATGTGCCAGCTGTGGGTGTTAGGACTCTGCACTATGCCGGTTGGCTGTACTTGAGTTCACTTTGGGTTTAGCGTTACGCGTAGGTAGGTTGCACATGCAAATAGAGGTTGATTGATAACATGTTTGCAGCTGCTCCCATTCTCTTGCCAAGTATCGACGATGTTTGCAGCCTGGTGTTCCCTCGTTTTTTCCGCCAGTCAAGCTTGAGGTACATGGACACGCCGGTCGGGGAGGATGACATCAAATACAGATGGAGGAACTGCCAAAGCATTCGCACCGCTAGTGCTGCATCGTAAGTTTTGCTTGCTGTTCCAGCTAGGCTGCCGATTTCCGATGTCCTTTGAGTATTTCTGATTGCGACGTTGTAGGAACGCCACCACATATATAGGTCCACACCCAACTTCGGAGAGGCGACTCCGTGACACCTTTGGCATCACCAGTGAGGAGGCCGTCCGACCTCCCGGTAGTTCGTCAGAAACTCGAGTACTGGACTCCTAGCAAAGTATTGACCTCTCGCAGTTTCAAGTAACCACGGAGGGATGCAGGGACTGTGAGTGGCTCGCCCGGCAGCATTACACCCGTGCTTGTGGAGACCGCGCGGGCCAGTGTGTTGAGCAGTTGACGGTCTGAAGGGTTTGACGTCAAGCACTCCTTCCGCCATTCTTCCTCTCTTGCCCTCAATTACCTCCACTCACGTGGACCCATGGCGGCAGCTTGCGCTGCAGATCACATCAAACAGGAGATCCACCTGACAGGCTGCGGACATCATGCAGACGGATGCACTTCCCCTAGTCATCGACTCCAACTACGTGCAGGTCCAGACTGCTCAGCGAACGTAAGTGCGGGTTTGCTTTCGAGCTCGGCGATTGCAGGCTGAGAGGCTCCTAGGGCATGCGTGAACTATTGTTTGGTGCGGAATTTCTTGCGGTGCCAGTCGCCGCACGCAGTCGGTGCCATGACTGCGGCCATAGAGCTTTGCACACATGAATGCACGGGGCAAGAAGATTCACATTGTTTTCATAGCAGAGCATGTTGTCGACTGGCAGCATTAGGACATGCTAGTATGCCGAGGGCCAAACGGAACAACATATGCATGGACACGAACTGAAGGCAACAGGAGCTCAGACAACTGGAGCCTGCACAGTGCCAGCAGCTATTTCGCAAAGACCTTGGAATAAGAGGACTTGTCGCATCATTGTCATGCGTAGCATCTCCCAGTGCAATGATTTCTATTGACCGCGCCGTTGCCGCTTACACCTCAGTCCGTTTACTTGATGGATGTTGCTAGTCGGATGCTGCAGTATGCCGCTGTGCCTTCTTGTGGAAATTAATGTCTCCCAACGCCGTTGGGCTTCTGTGCGTGGACCAGGTTCTGGTTGCAGCCGTTCTGCTTCAAGGCCTGTTGCGCCTGCGCGGCAGCACTGAGGCATGCGCGGCATGAGCCTGCGCGTGACTTTTTTGGACATCGCCTCAGTAGTCACCTGTGGTTCCAGGTTCGATTCCCAATCGTTCATGTATGATTGTAGTCTATGAATTGAATAGTTGTCCGTCATGTACAGCGAATCACAGTGTAGCCCACAAGCGTGATCCAGAGCCTCGGCCAGCAGGTGTGGCGAAGCAATGTGGCCGCTGAGCTCTCCATGGTGCTTTGATGCAGCTACAGTTGGAGTTCTCCACAATGGCTAAGCAGCATAGGGGGTATGGCGATAGGCACATGAAGCCCTCGGTTGCTGTGGAGGCAGCCTCCCTGCTCGAAATGCAGGGGAATCCGGCGGTGGAGGCTACTCTGAGCGCATGGAACTCTTGAGCACGTTGTGTGAGAGGGTGAGAGTGTGTGAGTGTGTGTGTGTGTGAGAGTGTTTGGGCATGTGGGGGAGTTGTTGGCAACACGCTCCTTTCTCAGCTCAGGCCGCGCGGCTCATATACTTAGGTGCAAGTTAGCTGCAAAGTGCTGCATTAGGATTGTAAATTATGTGGTATCCTCAAAGGGCCAAGTTCGAAATTGATCTCGAGTGTCAAGATCTTTACAGCAACACGCCCACAAGCAGTTCATTCAAGAAATATCCCGGGTGGGCAGAAAAACCTCCGGTTGTTGAGTGGCTTCCAAAACAGGAGGCATCGGGCTAGCAGCCTTTGTCCGATCACATTCCGCAGTTTTCATTATCTTTCGGCGCATGCTCGCGACATATGGGTATTTCCCGAGATAGCGGACCCCCTCATATTCAAAAAAAATTGAACTCCTAATTCTAGGAACTCTAAAATGGGGAGACCTGTTTGTGGACACCCCCAGATGTTCCATGGGCAACAAGGCCTCCGAGCCTCTGCTGCCCTCTGCCTTGCGGACCTTGGCGGATCGCAAGACCCTGGTAGAAGGCCCCCCTCGACTCGCTTGACTCTCTTGACTCTCTTGGCCATCTTGGCCATCTTCAGGGCTTACAGGGTTGTCTGAGTCTGAGCTGTCCTTGAAGCAGCTGGGCTGCAGGACAGATCGCCGACTACGATCGGATGACTTGGTTTCAGCAAGCCCTTTTCGACACGTCAGCCTTCCAGGCCGAGATGGATGCGCTTTGCTTCGCAAGCTTCCATGCTGAGCCCTACTGCTAGTGCCAGCACACTCCCTGCCACTGCAGAGGCCCACGCGGACTGGCTGAAAGAGTGGAGACAGGACGGTATACTAAGAAGTAGAGTATAGTAGCAATTAACATGCGTATCTGATATGCTTGGTTTCCACCGGGTTCGCAAGGCATTCCGGCCTGAAGCACCTGTGTAGCCAGAACTCCATTCAAGAACGGAGAGTTTGGGTAAGCATTGGCCGCCCAAATGTCAATACTTCAGGAGTGGGCGGCGAAGCTCCGGCCCAACTCCGTGCCCCGTGCTCCCATCGTGGGTTCGAGTTTTCCCAAAGCACGGGAAGATGCGGACGATGGAGATGCAGAAGATGTAGATGATGCAGGCGCCCAACTCTGCGATCCAACATTCAGGGCTAGAAAATCATCGCGACGCTGCCTTCGGAATCTTCAAGCATCTTCAGCATTCAGCAGACGCCTCGCCCTTCAGACTTGGAGGTTTGGAGCCCTTTGACGGAGCAGCATGGCCCGTTTTTTGTGCTTCAGTCGTTTGGCCTATCGTGCATAAGCCTTTGAAAGCTCACTCCCGAGGCAAGAAGTAGAGCTACTTGGGCTGCTTGTTGTCTTGTTCTCTCTTGTCAAGCGGGCATGGCTGCGCAAACCCGTGTGAGTAGAAGCGCATGATAAGTTTAAAGACTGAGAATCAACACGAAACAACCAAAGACAAGTGACAGGAGAGATTGTTTCTTTGTTCGAGCTCGCACATGCTCACATGCTGACAGGTTCATCCAAGTTCCAATTGCCAGCTGTTGCCGCAGCCCAGGCGCGGGCGCGCACACACGCACAGAGAGCGCGCGCCGTCATTCGGCTGTGGCGTCGAAAACAGGCCGCCCTCGAAAAGTATGGGACAGATTGGAAAGCTGTCGGAGCCCGAACTGCCGGGTCTTCATGTGCCAAAAGGAGCTTAGACTTGAGCTTCCTAGGCTGGGATGGACTCCGTGGTGGAGGAGGTGGTGAACCTCATGTGCCCTCCCCAGTGTCCGAAGGCATCGCACATCTGTCCGATGTGGGCGCTTCTGCTGTCTGAGGCAGTCCGAACCACAAAACGCGTTTGCCTCAGATTGCCACGCGCAGTGCTTAGAATCGACTGGCATCATGAACAAAGCATGCCTGCAAAATTGGCCCGAGGCCTTTGTGCAGGAGCGCGGCTGCGAGTCCTTGTGTGCGGCTTAGATGTGCTAGGTTTTGGTATTGGGCAGGCTGTCTCAGTCAAGTTGCAGGCAGATAAGCTGTGCTTTGTGTCGCACAGGCGCTATCTCTGCACCGACGATGAAAGTCGGCAAGCGGTGGCAGCAAAGGAGCGGCCCGAGAACAGTCCGAGAGATCGGTTGCAGTCGGAGGGCCGATTCTGGGAATATGGTGTATGCCGGTGTACCACCCCAGCTGCCTAGAGTGAGGCTAAACGTGCAAAAGGAGACGTACCAGCGCCTTTTGTTGAGCCACAGTCGGTGTCAGCGTCGGTCAGTTTCAGTCAGTGTCAGAGTGTCGCAGTGTGGCAGTGTCGCTTTGTCACATGTGTGTGAACGTACGTGTGTGTGTGTGTGTGTGTGTGTGTGTGTGTGTGTGTGTGTGTGTGTGCATGCAGGATGCCATTCCTACCATATTGAGGCGCGCAGGGTGCCACCAGTAGCTACTACTAACTGCCAAATACAGAGAGCACGCAGACATTGCCCCGACCCGAACATCGGTGTTTATGGCTGATGACAGTCAGAGCCAGCATCAGCTCGTGTTCTCTGCAGGTCCATGGAGCTCAATGAGAACGAGTCAGATGTGCAGGGCTGAAACAGTGCTTGCCATTGCCCGTCCGTCTTTCTTTCATGTCGTGTGTCCGAGGTCCAGGGATATTGCTGCGGGACCTTGGTTGGGGGCTAAGACCGGCTGAGAGTATCTACTAGTAAGAGCATGTAAGAGCCTTTTGTGGGGTCGCGTGTTCAATGCCGTGCAAGCAAGGATGAAGGCCGATAGAAAGGATGAAGGATCGATAGACGGGCTGGTCCGATCTGTGACGACCCCCCCCCCCCCCCCCAACTCTCTTTGCGTTAGCTGAATAGAGCCACGCTGAGCCTGAGATGCTTGCGGCTGCTGAACACACACAGCAAGGTTCATTTAGCAGCTACGCCATCGACTCGACAGAGTATTGTGCGGGAGAAAGGGTTGGAGGCATGGAATACGTGACAGAACAATCCTGCCTGGGAGCATCTGCTTCGTTGGCCACACCCTCTGGCCATTAGTCTTCGCCTTCTTTGCAGGCTGTTCTACGAGCCATGCAGATGCATCCTAGCCCCTTGGAGTGCATGTGGGATATTGAACGACCAAATCAACGTTTGAGCGTTTAGGAATCTGGGGGGTTGATGGGTTATGATGGGCTCGGGGCTTCAGGCAAAAGGCTGGAAGAGAAATTTGCCGCTAGAGGTGGAGCTATCACCCTCAAGCCCCAAGACTATAGACCCTATAGCCGAGGCAGCCCTTTTGTCCAGTTCAAAGCCTGCTCAGCTCTCGATGCTTGCTTGCAGAAGTTTGTCGTGACATGTGGGATGAGAAGTTGCGCAATAATCAAAGTGAGGGCTGGTGGAGTGCGACAGCATGCTGACAACAGCACCGTGTCAATGGTGTGTGTGTCACGCCAGCTGGTGGAAGCAAGGCCAACATCGCAGCTACTGGCCGAGAGCAGCCGCACAGCTTGAAGATAATGACGGGGATTGACGGGGTGGACTTCAGCCGAAACAGGACTCGGGCCTGAAAGTGAGTCCAGTGAGTCGCTGTGCGACTCTTGTGCGGCCAATCTGGCCGAGGTCTCTGCTGGCTACGCTCGGTGGAGGCGAGATAGTGCTGAAGACCATGCGGGCGCACGTGCACCTTAGCTGACCCTTTGGCCCTTTGGGAGAGAGTGTTTTTGTTCTGCTTGTGCTGGCCATTGTGTGGTGTAGGAACCCGGCAGGAGAGCCTGTGAAAGCAAGGGAGGCACAACTTCGGACAACGACAGATGTTGCCCCATGCCAGCTGAGGCATGATCTGTCTGTGCTTGAGTACTGCCTTGGCGCGCTGCACAACTTGGCGGTCTACCACGGGAATCAGGCCTGTCCTGTGGTCCTGTGGTATCTGCGGCAACTGAGAAGAGCCGGAAGAGCCTCAGTTCAGCAGATTGCTTGGAGGCAGCCCTGCGCACAGCTGGCGCGGTGCGTGTGCTGAGAGACGCCAGGGATCCTAAAGCTGTGGGCGAACACGACTGAGAATCTTGAGTAAGCGCTTCTCCTGCGTTCGAGGCTGTACGCCTCCACCCGCACAACAATCAGGTGCAACAGGCCAGTTGCAACGGCATCACATGCTACTATGCGTCGGTACAGGTAGCGTGTAAGTGTGCAGGTTGGGAAGAAAACAATCCGGCTTCTGAAGGGCCGTGATCTAGGAGCAGCTTGAGTTGATCAAGCTCTTGATACGCATTGCAGAATTGCTGGTGTCTAGCGCCTTGAGCGACTTTGGCAAAGTGGTTTGCTGCCGTGGGACATACAGAAGCCTGATGTGGGCCACGCCCTGGTCGACGGCTGCAGCTTGAACCATTCAACTGTTTAATTTCTGTGGGGCTCAAGTCGGCTCTAAGTCAGGAGCATCCTGCTAGAAAGGGGCACGAGTGGAGTTCGCGTCAAGGGGACCTTGCGATAATTAGCAACTTGAGCACTGCAGATGTCTCCAGCTTGCAGCTTGCAGCTTTGCGAGACACTGTATATATTGGTACAAGTAGATGCCACAAGGAATCCTTGGACACTCTGCTCTGGCACACGGGCGCGACGCCATGCAAGCCGAGCAAGCGTTCTGCATTGGGCCAGCCAGAGCAGGTGTTGCACATGGCTGTGACCTGAGACAGTCCGTCTGGGCGTGGCAGGCAAATGAATCGACGCGCCTGAACATTGGTGTTCACAGTTCACAGAGTCACAGACTTGTCCGATCATCAACTGCATTCTGCTCAGAAAACCTTCAATGCCATGGTGGCCGGTGCCGACCGCGACAAGGCCCGCGGTGCCCGCTGCATGGCACCAAGCCTTCCTGATCCTTCCGAGCAGCTGTTTCAACGAGAAGGTCTCCAAACTGAACTTGAGCCTGGGCCTAGCGAGAACGCAGAGCACGTTGAGAGCAACTTTTTTACTCAACTACTCGAAAAAGTTCTCGAAGATATTGAGGGGAACACACGGAAACGCACAAACCTTCGAACTCCCCATCTTAAGTCTGCAGTCGTCGTCTCCGTGCCTGTTTGCGCATTTCAGGCCTTGGAGATCGTCACCAGGCACCCAGGTATTCTGGCTGCTGGGCCGGACGTGAAGGACAACATGCTTCAGGCCGCGACAGTTGCCTGGGTTCGGAGTAGCGAGATGCTGTGCAACGTCGCGTCCCTTCGCCTCCTCAGGCGGATGTGGCTTCGAATGCCATCAACGCAGCGAGGTGCTATGCTCTTGCCCTGTGTGGAATACGTGTGGGTGCGAGGAACCTATGCTTGAAACTTGGCGCGTGCGGTCCGGTTGAGAACCCTCTTCTGTACGCAAGGGGCCTGTCCAAGCTGTTCAGATAGCACCAGTGAGGGCCGACTTTGTGCCTCTTGGCATCTTGCAGGAGACAAATCATCAAGAGATGTGAAGAACATTCTGTTTGTGGTCAGGATGCAAGATGTGGCAGGGGATGTTCTGTGGTTCTCCAAGTTTCTAGCAGGGTCCAGCTGAGGCAATGCCATCCTAACAGTTGGTGCTTGCAGACTTATTCGCAAAACATCCTGTGCTGCACTCTCTAATGATCCAATCCCATACTGATGTTTTCTCAACTTGCAAGCGCAGCACACCTGGGTCTAAGATACAAGGCCCATCATGATAGGCGAATCTGGGGTTTTTGCGTTTAAAAAGAAGATGCAAGACTGGAATCTTGCGCTCGGCAGATGGTGTAACCAAAGGGCTGCATGGGCCGAGCGAGAATGGACTCATGGACGGTTTTGGAGAGCTCAACCTGTGATGGGCAAAGGCTGGTCGAAACTGCATGCCTTGCAGGTTGCTTTCCCCGCTTGCCTTGGCTTGAGCTGCACAATAATCTCCTTGCCAACTGGTATTAGATTCTACAGTAGTTCTTACAGTCGGCTCCGTGCCATTCCACACAGCAAGAGCCATCCGCAAGACTGGAAATGAGTGGGGCCGTGAGATGTAGTACATTGGTGGTAGACCTACTGTAAGTTTATCACACAGATGCATACCGTTAAGAGTCAACAGCCTGCGAAGCACTGCTTCAAAGCTGCACCGTGAACATAGCGTCAACTTTGAAAAAGCTCTACCACCGCCTACCCAGCACTCCAAGCTCTCTCTCAACTGTTGTGAAATCCCTCGTTAGGGACCGAGAATGTCGTTGCAGGGGCTTCATGAAGTGTGAAGCCCATGTGCGCTGGCGACTTGAGCCATGACGTGTGGCACCCAGAAGTTGCCAGTGCCATGGACTCTTCTCATGTGGGGGGGCGGGTCTCCCGCGTCTCCCAAGTAGAGCTGGGTGCTTCAAGGCCACGCCCCGGAAAGGTGGAGGCATCGGAAAGACGTCTTCATGTGCTTTGCCATCGCGATCCACGATGTAAGTTTAACTTGAGTTCTGGGTCAGCATCTCAACAGGTGCCCATCGCCGGGGAAGTGATCAGCCGAAGACCAAAAGGAGCTGCGTCCCGCGCCCACTACAAGGCCTACTGGAGTGGAAATGTCAGGGTGGATCTAGTGAGGCGTCAAAGAGATGCGGTTTCCCTTGCAGGCAACTCACAAAGATGAGGGAGAGGCGGGAAGAAACAGCAACTTTGATGGTCAACTTCTGGTTGACGCAGGTTCAGCGCTGCATATCGCTGCGCAATGACTTTTCATCTGGTTCAGAACAGGATGTTAGTCGTGATCTACAAAAGATCGTGCGCTTGGATGGCTGGCTCCCCAGAAATTCTTGCTGTCAATCCTCATGCATGTCTAAGAATCTCCATTGAGAGGCCCTATAGCGGCCAAAGTTATATACCTTTTCCGGCGTACAGTCGTAGAGTTCATGCACATGGGCTGCAAGAATTTCGGAGGGTTGCGCCGGCAATGCCAGGTAAGCATGCCTTGTGAGCTTCGGACTTCAGCCTGGGAGCGCCCGCGTTCGTACGTTCTAGCTATGGTTTTTGCAGCTTTTCCAGCTTTGCCCCCAATCCAGAACCGAAGAGCTCAAGAGTGCCTGAGAGCCTGAGAGTCACCGTCCGCGGACAGGCCTCTTTCGTGTAATGCATATTGCATTGCGATACTCATCAGAAGGTTTAATCCAGCACTGCTTGGAAGACTTTGTTCAGTCACCGGTCAATGGTGACTGACAGAATATTCGTGAGCTTGACAGGACTGCCGTGCAGAGGCAACACATGTGGTTCTGCCGGCTAGAACTCACGTTATCCCTAACCAGCAAGATGTACTTTGCACCTAGTACAAGCTCGTTCGATCTCGTTCGTACAGCACTTTCTCCTGGGCACGTATCCTTGCGGATAGTCAGGGGATGTGACACACCGAGAACACGTTGAGCTCGGTGTCAGCACTGTGCCCTGCATGTCTGCAGAAACCCTCTTCACGTCTCGCTGAAGAGTCTGTCCGGGCGTCTCAGAATCGCCTGCAGAAGCTGCTCAAAGCTGCACAAAGCCAAGGTCCTGCCAAGATCAACTGGCTTTGCAAGGCCTGGAGTTGTTCAATCCCGTCACGGACAAAGGAACGCCCCAGCTTCACCTGAAAGCCATTGGCAACCTGGCCTCGCTGTGTTTTGGGAGGCACTTCCCCTGCTCAGACGCCGGTCAATGACAGCGGCCCAGTTCCTCGATATCGTCTGCAATCAGAGGCGGTGCAAAAGCTTCGCAAGCAGAAGCCGACACGCTTAAATGAACTAAACCTAGAAGGCTAGAACATTGTCTATGTCAAAACGTTCTGGTTCGCAGGTTTGCTGCGAACATCGACGATGTCATGCCGTGGGGCACGCAGATGGCCTGCCCCCAAGATTCGAAGCAGAAACGCTGCCAATGGCGGGTAGTCCCAGCCCGCCTCTTGTCCCGACGCCGTCGACGCACTGCATGTCACTGAATGTTGTGATGTCAGCGTAGAACCAGCTGAGCAGATCAGTGTGGGCAGTGAGTCACGGAATTGAACAAGCAACGTGAGGCAGGCAGCACACGATCATCCCCCACTAGCAATTAGTCACTAATTAGTCTGTCAAAGCAACCAGGAAGGGAACCTCGTAGATTGGCTCGTTCTGTGCTAAGATCAGCATGTTGCGGCGAGAGCTGGATGACCTCCAGCCACAACAGGTTCGCTGACAGTCGTCTGGAGATTCCGCAGTGGTAGATGCGAGGATGGAGCAGAGATTCTTGCTTGGTGTTGTCAACTGTGCTAGCTCTTGGTCCCTTGTGGTTGCGTGGAGGTGGGGTTGGGGGAGTGACTATGGCGTCATGGGCAAGAAGAGTTGAAAATGCGTTTGAAAAGTGCCCAGAGTGACATGTTCCAGCGCTTGTCTACGAAACCAAAGCTGATACATCACTGGTAGGTGCATCATCTTCAACAGAGCGACCTCTGGCGTCGCTTTGCCGATTCTGACGACGAGGTTTCGCTTGGTTGGGGGACTGGGACCGTAGCGTGGTGCGAGACAGTCCAAGCTCTAACTCTTACTTGCCCTTGAATTCTTGCGGACAGTGTGGTTTGCTGAGCATCTTTGCACAATTCTCCCAGTAAGTGTGCATTCTACAGCACAAGCTACCAGACTAGAACGAGTATGAGTCCATGGGTCAACTTGGGTGCTGTTTCGTGCTTGCTGCTGTTGTTCTGCTGTTGTGCTGCAGCGCGCTGTCGTGGCTGCTACTACATCTTCAGCGCGTCTTGGCTGAAACGCGCTGCAAGCAGGCAGAAGCCTACAAAAGTCTTGCAAGGACAGGGTCTTGCCACCTTTGTTTGGGCTGTACTGCCAGCAATTTTCCCATGACTACTACAAAACGTCTCGGTAGCCGGAGAGTCACGGGGCATTTTATTTGGCGGCAGCTGGACTGTTCCCAATGCTGTAGGAAGACACATGATGACCACCACAGGGGCGTTCAGCCTTGCTTGGTAAACACGGCCATTAGACCCTGAAACAAGCCATCAGCTCAAAACGCACATTCGAAATCTGCTCCGCCCTAGCATGCTTCAGAAAGAAGAACAACTCAAGCATTCCCTGCTGATCTCAGGCCCGGACGCGCCGCTGCCTTCCGGGCTGCCGTGGCAGCTGACAAGGATAAGGCCGCTGGGGACAGAAGGCATTAGGAACGGTTAGGAACGCTTCTCCGGACTGCACAGCTTCGACAGCGGATCGCTGTTTCATGGCAGCCCTTAGCAACTGACATGAAGTTGTATAAAACAGGGAAGCACCTGCGCTTACCAGAAGCCGGCCCTTGGTTGCTACTCGAGTCGCCCTGAGTTGCCTTTCCCATTGCTTTTGCACTTTCAAGCGGGAGTGGGTAGTGAATTAGACGGCGCGGCAGACGCTGTTGAGGAATAGTTCATGTCATGGAAGCAAAAGTCAGAACAGTGCCCGGCACCCCGTGTAATGCTTGAGACTTAACCATGGGACCCTCAACCATAAAGCAACCATAGACGAATTGTGACCAGCTCCATTCCGCTTGATCATGGGATGTGCAGCCAGTGTGCGTGTGTCAGCAAATGTTGGACACCACCTGAGCTTCAGCGGGCAGCGACACTATCATGAGAAGCGCCTCCAGGTCCAATGGGCTTCGACAGGTTTTGATGCACAATACCTCGGTGTGCCTGCCCCCATTCTTGGACACTCAGTGCTGCCGCTAGCCATTTCCCTGCTAGGTTCGCAAAAACCCGGAATCCTACAGAACCCGCATCGTGACCATGCTTACGACGGACGAGGGCGATCTTGAAGTGCAGTTGTCCTCCCAATCGCACTCGGATCCAGAAGAGGTGTCCGGAAAGAAGAAAGTTACGTTCTCGATCTTGGAAGAGGCCACTGAAGATGTTGATGATTCTGATGATGAGTTTCTGCAGGAGCCTGAAGTTCAAATTCAGAGGTCTCTGCTAGGGGGCTGCTAGGGACGCGGGACTGGCGGCGTTGCGCTGTCTTTGTGGCCTCGGGAGCTTCTTCCTTGGTGAGAATAGGTGAGTTCACCATTCTGAGAATTGGGCGTCACTGTACTCCAGCTAAGGAGCTTCCAAAGAAGAGGGTAACCTTTTCTGTTGTTGTGGACACACACTTCTTCAAGGAGTGGGCTGTGCCATCAGAAGTTGCATGTGGTGTGCAGCTGCATCTGACACTCAGCTGTGTGCCGTGCCATAGCACTGACTCCATGTCTCCGTAGGAGGAGGATGCTCCTGTGGTGAGGCCCATGCAGGTGTCGGTTGCTTGGGGGGAGCCTTGCCTTTCAGAGGGCTCTCGAGCCAATTGTAAACGCTGCGCGCCACCCTCGCCCGGCCTGAAAGTCAGGAAAGGGATCGGCTCAGAGGAACGAAAACACGGGGTTTTGTTTGGAACCTCTCGGACGGTCACAGAAGGGGCCGTGGCGAATTATGGATGCATTTCGCATGACTACGCTCGCCACTATCGTTTTGTGAATCGCTGTGAAGGCACTTGTGAGCTATCTTTGAGCTGTATTTCGGAAAGCGCTTCTCCGATTCTCTAGGATGCTGGCACGCCATCTCCCCTGCCGCCACGAAAGGTCGTCTGGCAGCAATGCGTGTTTGTCTTTTCGTGCCCGCACCTAGTGGTCTTAGAATTTCAGCAGTTGCGGCCCACTGCATGGGCAGGAACCTTGCTGCTATCTGATGGCTTTGTTGCCGTGCCATGCGTTGTTCGGCATCTAGCCTTGCCTAGCATCACCGAAAGCTTTCCACCACATGTTGACCATGCCAGAACAGCGAACTTAAATGTTGATTGCTGGCTACTGCGTATGTAGGAGTTTACAGTTTGGGGAGACTGTCTTTTTCTTTAGCAGAGTTTTTGCATACTTTGTTGCTAAAGCAATCAGATGCATGAACCTGAAGGTAGATGCATTGACATGACCCGAGGTGCTGCCACAAGTTCCGAATCAGCCCGAGACAGAAGCCCTCGAGGAAATTCATCCCTTTTACCAGGGTCTACGCGAGCTCCCAGTGATGTGCACAGACTGCACGGATGCTTGAAATGAAGCGGACTCGCATTGCAGTTAGTTCTGTTGTGCCGAATTTCTTGTGGGTGCAAAATTTTTGTCTTGATCATGATTTACGGCATGATTTATGTGTGGCCGGAAGGAAGCCCTTCGTTCGGGGTACACCGAAAAGAGTGCCTCGCCACATTTCAAAGCACTACGTAGCGGATCGCCCCGTTTTCCGCTTGTGCTGCGACTTGTTGAATGAAGCAGGAGGGTGAGCGCGGAGCGACCACCCTGTCTCTACGGCCAACTTGGCTTACATCCATGAGTTCGGCCTCTGTAAACTATTGCGCTTGTTTTTTCATGCAAGTGGCATAATGTCCTTGCAGCATGGTACAACGAAGCACAGATCTTGCCCTTGTATTATCTTTGTTTCACCTGGGCTGCTTTGGTCCTCAGCACACGCATACGCAATCTCAGAGTTCCAGGACACGTCGGCACACTCTGAATACTGTTAGTTTGCCGACAAAGCGCCTTGAAGCTCTCGAGAGCCCTCGGACCATGAAGAGCTCAGCTTATTATCACCCAATCTCCTCACCATCCCGCTCAAAGCTCATGTCAGACTTCTACAGATTCTACAGTGCAAAAATCAACTGTCCTCCGAGTCCCCGGTCAATGAGCACTTTTGTTGACAGAGATGACGTGGCATGGAGGTGGTGTCAGGCGTTGCGACGGAATCTGGGTTGATCTCAGTCTCCCTTTCGAACTCAAGTTTACACTCTTCCAGCCGTCGGCAATGTGTTATTGCATACCTGTAAGAACCTGCACATGATCATGGCGCCAAAGTTGCACTATCTGGAAGACAGTTCTCCAATGTCTCGGCCTGTTGCTCGAGGGCTCCCATGGCATGCCCCCTCGCAGCTCGTCGCAGCCGGTCGTGAAGCCAAAGTGCACTTTTTAACGCAGATTCGGTGCAAATTTCATCCGTCTTTCTGTACCGTGACTTTGCCGACTGACTAAAAATTATGCCAAATGCTTAGGCCTTGCCGAGACTGAGTCTAACACTCTTCTTGGCGGCTCTTACCCGACTCATGTCGTTTGGGGCCAGATTCACTTCCCAGAGTAGTGTTCTCCATGGATAGGGGAAGTGTCGAAATGTAGAAGAATTGGTTCGGGATGAATTGACAGAGCCCCGGCATGCCCAAATTGGCATGCCCACGGAAGAAGCCCAGGTGTTGCTGCAAGCATGACAGCGCATAAGAAGCTGAGCTCGGTGGCTTTGATCAAAGCCACAGGGACTTCTGCAGCACTTTCTGAAGACTTGCAGCAATGGGAACTCCTCGCTCCTCCAACCCGACAGCATACTGTATTGCCTGACGCTAGGCCAGTTCTACTGATCTTCGAGAATCAAGAGGGTACTCGAGTGGCAGCAGAGGTAGTCCCATCGCGGCCAGGTTCCTGTTTGCCGAGGTCCCATATCGGCCAGGTTCCTGTTCGCCGATCGAAGGGACAAAGAGAAGCAGCCAATCTTCGGAGGAAACGGTGTGGAGGAGCTGTCCCCCTTGTGCTCCGAGCATGGCCACCACAGCTTGGCCTAGCAGAATTAGCATGCAGGAATGTAACGAAAGAAGCTTGCTTTCCTAAGGCGACCTGCCATTTGTAGAAGATGGAGCTTTCGGTCCGCAGGCAAAAGTGGGCAACCTCGATCCTGCCCAGCCTGGTACTGCGGCGTTAGCATCTCGTGTGTGGAAGCATTTTGTGTGTTGCTATTACGGCTCCAGATATACAGTCGTCTAGCTGCCCATGGCTTGATGGCAAGAAGCTGAGCTTTTGGACCTCTGAATTTGCAGGATGGACGTCTTGACGCGCCTTTGGTTTCTCAGGTTCAAGACGAATGGATGCCCACCGCGAAATTCAGGCAAGAAAAGATGGTGATTTCCAGCATCCAGTCATTGCAACAATCTTCGAGCTCCTTGTTGGAAGAGGTTGGATCGGTCGTGCTGACAATCAACAGCTTCGGCTGTAGGTGTAGCATGTTGCAGTTGTTTCGTAGCAGTCGCATCTTCGCTGACAAACTCCAAACTCCAAACTCCAAACGAACCACGTTTAAGCATGCGAAAATGGATGTGCAAGCCTGATGATGAGCAACCCAACCATGGCAAACAAGCATGGGTAAGCAATATAAGCAAACGCAAGTAGCCACCTTCATAGCGACTTGACGGAGGCAGGCGTCATCGACACAGCAGCATGTGAGGCAGTCCGCACCCGAGATCCCAGACATTTTTGATCGGGTAAGCAAACTTTTCGGGCTTTGCAGAGTCAGAGCCAGAGCCAGCGGAGGTCTTGGGGGCTCCTTTGAAGTTCCTCCTCGCTGTGGACGGCAGTCCCGAGTCCATGGCTTCCTTCGACTATGCCTCTCGGATAGGAACTGATGGGAACCGAGTTCGTTATTGCCGCTGTTGTGGGGCAGTTTCTTTGTTGTATCTCTTTCTTTCTTTTTTTTTTTTTCTCTCTCTCTCTCTCTCTCTTTCTCTCTCTTGATGCTTAACGAATGTTTTTGGAATTTTGGAGACTGTCTGGATGGCGTTAACGGTTTTGAGCCCCATCCTGTCCAGTATGGCAAGGTTGTGCGCGATCTCCTGCTGCATGAGCGCAGCAGTTTTCTCGATGCGGCTGCCTTACGTTGTGGATTCGTCCACTCATCCAGGCCCGCACTCTGTATGGAATAGGCTGATTGGTTGTCAGGTCCTTCATATCTACGACGACAAGAAGGTTCTTGGGCTGCACTCAATGCAAGCATGGCCATTTTTCGAAGCATCCTTCACGACAGGAGGGTGTACGATTCCAGCTCCTGTAGCTTCGACTGGCTCAGATATGGTGGTTTCCGAAATTCGGGGTACCTTATTGGGTATTGGGTACTACTTCGTGGTCTATTTTAGGGTCCCCTATGTTCGTGAACCCCCATATCACTGTGTTCATGCCGGGCACCTCATACTTGTGACTGTGCAGATAAATGGGAACTGTTCAAACTCAGGGCCCCTTGAGAATAAGATTCCTTACAACGCAGAACATGTAGGTGTATATATTTCTATATATATACACATTATATATGTGTATGTGTATATGTATATGTATATATATGTATATATATACATATATTATACATATATATATATATATCACGCCCCCCCCCCCCCCCAACGCTGTCTCAAAGTTCAGGACTACCTGCCACCAGAGTACCGAAAAGAGCATCTCCGTGCTGTCGCAGCTCCAAAGCACTCACTGTTTTTGGGCTTGCGGATTCGCTGCCTAGACCCAACTTGGGGTTTTAAAGCCCCTATTATTTTTTCAGATTGCGCACTTTAGGCTGGAATCGATTCCATCCGATTAGGAGTCCAGAAAGATTTGCATAGCTTCACGCGAGACCGCAGACATCACGTGCAGAATGGGCTATGCTGTGCAAGTCGTATAGCAAGGAAGATACCAAAAGCACAGTTCTCGCCTTGTTGCTGCTGCAATACAGGTTATTTAGCCCCTTCAAGTGGGCGAGAATCGATCCCTACCAGAGAAAATCAGGTTGACAACAACCCTTCATGGACGCTCAGAGCCATGGGGTCTCAGCATTTTCCCAACTTCGAAATGCTAGCAAATCTTAGTCAAAACATCAGTTGTGGACGGCATGCGTGGAAGACTTGCCGCTTTGGACTCGTGACATGTGGCTGCTGTTTCGCAACCCAGGTCTATGCGAAATTATTGGGATGGGTGACCCTCGACCGTTTCGTGCTCAACTGGAAGGAGAAGGTAGCACAGGCGGGCATGAATCTTGTTGAGTCAGGCTCTAAACCTTTGCTGGAATGTCCCGCCATCGCATCGTTGCGATGCCCTACAGCTCAGCTCTTTGGTAGTCCCTGGCCTGCTTGAGGTGAGCCAAATGATTTGCGATCATTTTGTCGCCAATCCGGCTACATTCGTTTGCATGGGCTTCCGCGGCCGCAAGGCCTGCGGCCTGCATTTCTCCTTTTCGCTAAAGCAATCGGTGTTCAAAGTTCTTGGCGCGTATTCGCATGATGTTGGAAACAGCTTCGTGTTTATTGTGTTGCAGGGGCGCAGGGGGGCGGGTGGGGGTTGGGTTAGCTACTTGCAGTTTGCATGGCCGCTTGCTGACTCTTGGAAATCAAGGTATGCAACATAACGACCACTCACTGCCAGTGCCATTGCCACTGCCAACATTCGTCTCAAGAATTCTGAGCTTGTCACGTAGCTTCGCAGTTTCATAGTCTTGTTTTCATATCAAACTAAAGAAACACGAGAGCTTGTCTTAGTCTTCATTTCAAAAGTGAGCCACCGTGTTTGCGTGCGCACATTGCAATATCCTCTAGGTTGTTGAGACCGCGAGAATTCACTTCTTCTTGGAAGGAAAGAACAGGGCCCTCGCACGGGCAAAACAAGCGGAGTTTCTCGCAAGAAACAAGTAGACACCTCTTCCTGTTTGAACAGAACATATGAGACTCATCATCTGTTATCAAAAGAAATCTTTTGCGACGAGCCGGAGATTGCGTGTGAAAGGTTTACGAAAAGAGGTCCGAGCATGCTGTGCATATCATCATGTTTTGGCATACGATTCGACAAGGAGTCTCTCAAAGCAGCAAGTCCCTGCACTTGTAGACCCTCCAAACATAGCGGCCGAGTTCCTACCTTAAACCGCTTCCGCTCAGCGGCGTGAGCGAAACAGTAGGTGCAAGGACAGGTAGCTGCTCAGTCCGCTTCAGCATTGCACAGAGAATTCAGCGGATGTGTCACCCTCCCCTCGCACGGACTCCAATCTGAAGGAGATCGCGCCGCACTAAACAACGGTTGGGAAAGGCTGTGACCTGTGCCGTACGGCTGAAGCGTCACGGCAAATGACATTTGTACCAAGCACATCATAGCACGGCAAGAAGCTCCCATCCTTTGATCAGAGGGGCCAAGAACGCCTCAAACAGATAGCCAATAGTGGTGACAAGGATGCAACAGAAGACAGAAACCAGAACTGCTCAATTAGCTTGTGAAGTGCTTGTGAAGTGCTTGTGCCAGTGATTGCGCTCAGGGAAAGAAGGATGTTCGCATCTTGACTTCCAACATCTATGAGGCCGAGCCTGATGTAATCCACATGAGGATGCGCGAGCGATGGAAGTATCTACATGCTGCCGACGCCGTGGAGTGCAAAGTGATTATGCAGTAAACGTAGCAAGCAAGCCTACCTGGAACACTTTTGTGGCACGGAAGCATGCTTGAGACGGCAGCGCTTTTAGAGTTTTCCATAGCGAGTTGGCAGGTTCTGCGGGTTGGGCGCAAGCTCACATTGCTGGGCATGCGTTGGCCTTAGCGTTGGCTGATGCGGATTTGCAGCAACGAGAGGGCAAGTTGAGTTTGGCACGCCATTGTTGCACCACTCCTGCATGCGCTTGCAAGGTGCAGCTTAGTGATCTTTAAGGACGAGAGCATCAAACTTTAAACGCTACGCGTCGCCCGCCTCGATCTTTGACCGGCTGGCAGAAGCTCATCGTTCATGGGTGGGGGCGGGGCTCAGGGCGAACGGAAACGAAGTGAATTCTGACCTCAGGGCTTAAGGTTTGCAACTTCATATCGGTCAGTCCTGGCCGAGGTGCCCTGTGTTCCTGCGATGGCACGGCTAAGACGTTACAGCACAACGGTGTTTTTTTTACCAAATTGAAAGGTTTGCGATACCATGAAAAGACAATGTGTTTGTTATGCTACCGTCTGGCCGAGTCCTTTGCTCGCCTTTGCAAAAACTGGCGTTTTTGCACATGCTGGCTGTCATGCACGACAGAGTACTAGAGGGTGATGGCGGATGTGCCTCTGCTGAGCTGCAGGAGCCGAATGTTTGTTCTCTTCCGATGGGACGGCCAGCAACCTGACAGCCACGATGCGCTCATGGGATTGCTGCTGTATACCATCAGTAAATATCAGTCATCAATACGACCATCTGCGTAGAATGCCAAAAAGCCACTGCATCAACTGGAGTTCGTGCGCGAGCGCTGCTCCGTGCCAGTAGCTGGCTCGATCGCAGGCAAAGTTCCTGGTCTCCATGAGCCGCCCAGCGATGATGGGTTTAGGGTTTAGGGTTTAGGGTTTAGGTTTTGGGGATGAGCATGCTGCCGCGCCAGCTTCCAGCAGTATACGCAACGGGGATACAGTTGCACTCAGGTCTCAACAAAGCCGCATCCAAAGCATTTCTTGATGCATTGCGACTGTCGAAGCCAGGACAGCGTACAGACACGCCCTTTGGACACGTCTAAACTTAGCTGTTGGCGCATAAGAATGGTTCTTGCATTTCTTTGCCCTTCTGGCCCAGCCTGCACCAAGATCTGAGAGTCCGGCAGAGGAGATGAGATCCACTTGATCTACGTGACCTTTTTCACGGAGGATCAAGACTCAGACCACGTTGCTTTGGCAGCATCAGATGTAAGCGTCAGAAGTCGTAACTTGATGCAACGAAGTAGGTTTTTGACAGATGGATGTAGTGCTGTGCCGTGTTGCGATGGTGCTGCAGGTGAAGATCTTACGTGACCGTTACAGCCACTTTTTCGAGGCGCCTCGCCACTTCAACGTATCTGAAGATTGATCTACAGGTCCTTGTCTGTGCATGTCCGCGTAAGTCTGATGCTGGGTGGGGGGTGGCCAGGGCGGTGAAGGTTTGGGCCTGCGCTGGAGCCCTGCATAAATCTAGGTATTCAATCTCCTCAAATCTAAGGGGTTGAGAGGAATTGGCTTTTCCAGATTTCTGGGGCCAGGGAGGGTGCGAGCGGTGGAGCAGTGAGGGCGGTGGGCGGCTGGAGGGCTCAGGAAAAGGCAGGTAGGGGGGTGGTAGGTAGGCAGGAGGGGAGTAGTAGCTAGAGGGGTTAGGTGCCTTGTAATTGTAACCTCTAGCCCTATGGAGCCTTGCATGTTAAGACACGCCCTCAAATGGCGAAGGGCCAATAATATCACCTAGGGCTCACTCTCCTGATGTAGGGTCTCCTGTATACACTCCGAATGATATGGTTCTGGTTTCAAGGGACCCTCTAGAGGGAACCCGCGATTGTATGCGATTGTAGCAAGCACCCACTTGAGCTCTGGATAACGTACACCTTTGCATTTCAGCATTGTGTCAGTAAATTGCAAAGCTCGCCACCGGTTTTGAGTCTTGAGGACGAGCCCTGAACCTTTTCCCCCTTTCCCCCTCCCGCCTGGGCGCCAAGTTAAAGGAAGCCGCAGATCCGCTAAGAAACCATGTCTGAATGAAGTTGTTTTGATAAACCCTCAAAATTTCGAAATACTGTGCTCTTGTGGTGCTGGCATGTGAGTGTTGCATCCCAGCTAGCAGCGGCACGCTTCTCTCGTGCAGGGCCTGGGCGATGGAGATCATCACGTGCTGCAGCCTCTCGGCTGCATCTGCGACCGAAGTGTAGGTGATGACATGATGATGCCAAAAGCACTCAACACTGAAGGGAAGAAGCTTGAAAATAAGGGGGAAGGCTGGATTTTGGAGTGGGGTTTGTTGCGTTGCCGCCATAGGCCATGTCATGTTGATGTTGGTAAATATATGAGTATATCATGGTTGTCTCGTGAGCTTGTTCCCCTGCCTGCTTGCCCAAGGACTTCCTATGTGTCTAATGTATCACATGCGTCCGTATATCCTTGCTATATGTTTGCAATGTGAAGTCCAGTGAAAGCCGCCATTTCTGATTGAAGCTTACGGGTCGGCTGAAAGGTTTGGCTTGGCGTACGCGTAGTTCAACATGCAAGGCTACGCTGCCAGAGCCAACGGATGTTACGGCACAGTCACCGTGTCCTTAATTGACCCATGCATGGTTCAATCTACACTTCCTTTGCATTTAACGACGATGTAGTGTCAACATGAACAACAGCTGGCCCAACAAAAGCCAGGGGAGCAGATGTCATTTTCAGTTTAGCATTTCTGAAAGAGCGGTTTCGAACTTGCACTACTGGTATTTCTGGTATTTCCAACAGCCGAAGGGTTGGGTTTCTGTCTGAGCCATGTACCACCCCGGAGCCCTCGGAACGATTTGATCATCCTTGTCTTGCTGGCTGTCGGGTTGCACAGCCGGCTTAATGCAACTGTTATGCGTATGCCCTTAGGCGAGTCATTGCACAGATCGGCACATCCTTCATGTGTCAACACATGACTCGAAGTTCCCTAGACTGCAAGTCTTCGCTCTCAAGTCGCTACGAAAGATCCGTAGAGGAGCATCAGAGATGCTCCTTGCAGCGTTGATGTCGCGGACCTTTCCCAGCCCACGCGCTGTCCAACAGCATTGTTCCGGAACCTTGCGGACATGGTCTGCCTCAGAACATGACAATCGGTCTCTTTTAATTAATCCTCAGATATCATCATCCAAGCCAAGGAAGTTTTTTGACCGTCACATCGAGTTTCACATCGTTCCACAGCACAAGGGCGAGCTGATACCGCAGACTGTTGCAGGCACCAGGGTTTGCCTGACATCCCTCTCGCTCTCTCTACTCTATCTACTTTGCTTTTTCTTTCTTCGCCACAAAGATCTCATTGTTGCTTGAAGGTTTCGCAGAAAGTATCGAAGCTGACTTTGTCGTGGTCGGCACAAATGCGCTTCGTGTGGACCGCGGAAAGGAGCCGCTAGGTGCGCTTGCCATGTATTGCCATGCACCCTTTCTCATGTCTCTGCCAGCCCGGCAAAGTCGACATGCCATGCTTGGAGGCTCCGCGTCCCTGCAGATTTGCATGGAAGCCCATTGCACCTGGTTTGCAAATGCTTCTAGCTGTACACTGCCTACCACATTCAGCAGTGGTCTTGAACCTAGAGTGAATGGCACCAGGTGCTGACGAAGCATTCCCATTTTGACATCAATAGTTCAGCAGGAAATGCCATGCCGAGATACCGAAACTCATACAATGGATGAGGGGCAGGGATGTGGAATTCAGGATGACACTGAACATCGTGAACAGGCATCGACCACTAAACTGGACAAGAAGGAACAGAGAAAATCGCCGGTGCCGGCACATCTGTGCCTTTCTTGTGGCGCAATTGCGGCCACTCCAAGGCAGGCCATGACGGACGTTGTGTGCCACTTCGGAGCCCGGCAAAGCTCTCTTGTCGGCATTGACCCCTTGCCACTGCCATTCTGTGATTTAGACTTCAGCAGCCGCTCGGAGCTTGCGTGCGGAAGTACACAACATGTTTGCTCTTTGGAGGCTGGCAATTTATTCTTGAAGCTGGTCGAGCTCTTCATGGGATGTTTGCATGTCGCTCCCAAGTCGGCGATCGACCTCTGCCTCAAGCTGTCTTGATCCTCACGTACGCATGGACCTACAAAGCGCCATGCCTCGCTCTGGTTGCCCCTGGACATCCCTGGACTATTCGTTCATGCCGCCCTTCGGCGCACGGATCTTTATGGTGCGTCATGTGACTTAGGATGCTGGGGAACGACTCGCGAACCCGGAAGTTGTCCAAGAGGGATCACGCGGCGTCCATGGCCCAGGAGGCAAGCGAGCGGAGTTGACGATGGAAGGGAGGCCCAAGCGTTTGGACATCCACAGATGTGACGGCTGCGGCGTCGAGAAGGGTGTGGGAAATCCTTTGCAAAGATGGCTCATTGTGCAGCCATTCAGAGATTGGAAGTTGAGGAGACTCCGGCGATTCCGAAACCTGCGGTTCAAGAGATACTGCCCGATTCAGGACACTGGCTTCACGCGAAACCACGCCAGTCAGAAAACTGGGGGGGTGAGTTGGCGGGGAGAATAACGTTCATAAGGGTGCTTTCAGAAAAGTGTGAGATTCCCGAATCCGCGGTTTCTCCAGTTTTCCGAATCCGCGGTTTCCCGAATCTGCGGTTTCCAGTTTACCGAATCCGGGTTTCACCCAACACGTCTTTTCGGATTCCGGATCAGCACGTTTCGCTTCCGCATCGTCCACCCGTGTTAAATATCTACATGCGTTGCCTCTCGCCCCAGGCTCCGTGATACCTTGCGGGGAACCTGTCTTGAAATTTCAGGGCGTGCGAAGGATACTATACGCTGCCGGGCCAAGTATGCCCTTTGCCCACGATCCAGGCAAGTGACCAGGCTGTGTTGTCACAAGAGGACATCATGGCATGGCAAGCCTCGGATTCGTGCATCCCCTCGCCGTGTGGAGGTGAGTAGAGGTTTTTGAAGTTTGTCGCCACCAAAGCTACCCTCCGCATTGATTCAGATTCCAGATCCAGACTCTTGGTGGAAGAGCTTCGTCGTCCTCATATTTCTCCAGCGAGCCAGTCACTCCGTTGCCGCTGGCACTTCGGAACGGCACAGCAGTGCGAGGATCGGCTCCCGTCGAGCGCCGGCCAGTTCTTGGATGGCACGGCAGAATAAGGCTGCCCTCATGCAAGCAAGGCCGGCACAGGACGGACATTGAAGCGGTGCTGCAAGTTTATGTTGTTTTGCTTGTCGGGGACATGGTTGGACTGTGCGGACAGCGCTTCCAACTCACTGCGATGTGCGTGGACAGCAAGTCATGCGCGACTGCTGTTGGGCTCAAAGTCGGAATGCCAATCGGTGAAGGGTTGTGGGTGTGAACACGTAGCGCTTTTGTCTTGACGAGTCAATGAGCTGATGCAAGCTTCCACTTTGTGCGCACTTACCCCGTGTGCATCGCGTTCCAGCGTTAGTCGGCTCCGGCTCTAGAGTCTATAGCTGCTGGATGAGCTGATCGACTGAAACCTCGCCGAGCCGCAACATGAATCAAGCTCGCCATGGAGCAGTGCTGCTGACATCACCTTGCATTTCTTATCCACCTGACCTGGTGACGGCATACTGTGCCACAAGCTAAGGTAACATAATCATCTCCAGCTGGGTGGATGGAACCTACAATGGAAGATTCGCCCTCAGATGTGGAACACGGGACAGAAAGAAGTCCGAAGCACATGCTTTACATGTTGCGTGCTGACCTCCTTGGCTAGTCCCACAACAAGTAGTCGCATGCTGCAACCAAGAAGGTTCATCAGCATCGTGCAGCTTTCTAAGGACCCAAACGACTAGTGTTTGGAAAGCCCTGGCTGTGCACAATCGTACTGTCGTAAGGTGCGAAAATCTACGAAGGGCAGCAGCGAGGAGAGTGTCTCAAGAACATGACTCCGAGATTGATGTCCTCAGCGCAGGACCCAGCACCGATCCCAGCACCTTGCTTGTTGCAGAGGGTCGCTACGCCTGTGAGTGGAAATCACTTCAGCCAGCTGGTTGGCAGTTCTGTCAGGACACTACCTCTCCGCGTGCCCCTGAAGACGAATGATGAGTTCTGGCCCGAGGGACTCCAGTGATCTCAAAAGCGTTCAGGGGCAGTGGACCCATGGCCGATCCTTCTTGCCCAGAGAGTCCCGGGCTTGCGAGCATGCTGCAAGTCAGCGAGGCTTTTTTTTGCTCGCTTGGCGTCGAGCTTGGTTCCTTGTGCTCCGGCCATGAAAATGGAGGAATGTCCTGTGGTAAATGAATTGAGCCAGCTTCTCACCGAGGTCCGCATCAAGCATGCTCTCCAAGTCTATAGGACTGTACAATAACCGTTACAGCAAGACCCACCCACCAACGCAAGAGACGGAGCTTGGCGGGATCTAGCCCATTTGGCATAAACATGGAGTATCGACGCTGTTGCCGTCGAGGGCCCACACGGATCTCTTCGGTAGGGGATGGATGCTAAATTTTTCCAAGACCCCAGTGAGGGAGAACAACATTGGATCTTTGGAGGGTAGATCCGGCCATCCTGGTCATGACCTCGACGTTGTCTGATGTCTGTGTCTGCATGAGCATTTTCCGAGCCTGTACTGGCTTTTTCCTTAAGAGCTTGATGAGGCCATGAAATGCCCTGCACTTCGCACTTCGCATGACGGTCTCAGTTTGGCGAGCGGCCGCGGGCAATTGTCTGAGGCAGCTGAGGAGCCCAATGTAGTGAATAATGTCTAACGAAGCTCGCGCTGTGCACGCACACGTGTGTTTGCAGACGTTGATGAAGTTGATGAACATGAGAGAGCACTGCGCATTTGATCCCAGGGTGCTGGCGTTGGCATCCTGAAGGGGTTTCAGTTCCAGTGCTTTTGGCAAAGCCAAAGCCATGTTGGGCAGAGTCTCGATGATGACCACAAGCAGGAAGGCGAAATGTGGGCGTTCTTCTGTAAGATGGATGCTGGTTAGCAGAGAGGCTGTTTGAGGGGGTTGTTTCGGTCTGAGAGCAGCACGCCAAGCGAGAAGACCGTGTAAGGTGTAAGGGCATGGATCAGAGCTACTGTTAATTCTTGCGGTGTGCGGGGCGCGCTAGCACTGCGGGAGTACCTCAGATCAGGGTCTCGGGCGCTTACCATGCAGCAAGTGGCCCGAAAGCACTTCTTCGGCCGGGCCGTAGCGTGTCGACGACATCGACAACCATGGGCGGTCACGCCTCAAAACCGGTGCTGAAGAACGACCTCAAAGCTCCATTGGAAGTCAAAGCCGATGACGGCACCTGGCAAGTTTTGTATCCTGGGCGCAGCATGGATCTGGCGGGTCGGGGAGGAGTCTGGGTCCGTTTCAGAGGGGCGTAGGATGACGTGTCTTTTCATCTTGACTTCTTGCACCTTGCAGCACGTGCTGTTCAAATGCGCAACAGCTTAACAAAGGCAAAGGCTCCACACGCTCAGACCATTCAAAGCCCTGGATGTTCGCCACATAGAACCCAGGCCTCCCGCAGCTGAGCCAGCTTCAAACTCCACTCCCAACTTCGAAAGCCATGAAATGCGGCCTAAAACCGGAAGCAGCGCAAGGTTTCAGCTGTCAATGTGTAGATGAAGCCCCAAACTGCCGGGGCTCAAGTGCGAGCAATGCACCTCACGAGAACCCCTGAGGGCCATCACGCAAATGTATCCTTGAGACCTCCAGTTGCCTAAATAATATTGGAGGTCTAGGGGCTGGCAAGAACGGTCCCGAATAGTAATTAGGTACTTGCCCAACAAACTCTGTCAAATAGTAACCTTTTTTTGGGAAGAAGGGCCATGATATTACATACCTTAGGTATAGGGCTCTATGGGAGCCCAGCCGAGGAGAGGTGGAGGCGCGTCTCCGCGAGCCTCCGCAAGTCGCTTGCTGCGTCCCCGCGAAAGCTCTCCGTGCCTCCCGGGACCTCGGAGAAGTGACGCGCGACTCGGAGAGCTTAGGGGGGGGCTTTTCAAAGTGCAGGGGAGTCCTGTGTTGGTTCCTACAAAAGGTCCCCGTCTTTGAGCTCAAAGCCCCGGTTACCTGGAGGACCACCCCACTCCCTCCAACTGAGAAGGCTTCAAAGCCAGAATCAACAGTTCACGAGCCGATGGCGCGGAGAGCTCCTGTCTACCTAGACACCCAAGGTATGCAAAGTACCTGCGTTTTGGGTGTAGTTGAGGAGTGTAGGTAGAAACCTTTTGTCACTGGAGGGGCCTTCAGGAAAGCCCGGAAAGCTGCTTCGTGCAGATATGTGCAGATGACATGGAGGGGCTATTTGAGAAAACGTTGTATGTTGTGTGTTTTGCATGACATGGCTCCGACCCGGCTCGAGCCCTGTTGATCCCGTTTCATGTCAAGCTTACTTTGAGGCGAAGGGCGGCGCCGTGATCTTCAGGAAGCTCGTGAGGCTGTGGAGGCACGCGAAAGAAAAGATCAAGCCAAGAGGCGGCTAGCAAGCGCCGCAAATGAGCAGGCCTTGAGGGCCGTGACAGATGAGACGAGAGTTTGCATAGGCTGCTGCGAAATTTGTCTCCTGTTTGCAAGCCCTCTGGTGGTCCTCCTGTTCTTGGCACTCCTGACGCCCGGCAGCGATCTGGCCGCGGGTCTCTTGGCAGGGTTGGGGGCGCTGCCGCTGGGCGCCTGGCTCGGGCAATGGGTCGCAGAGCGGGCCTTCGACAAAGATAAAGTCGAGTACGCTGGACTTGTGGGTACACTTTCAAGCTTTTTGGGGTCCTGGGGTTATACCTCAAAAAGCAACAATGCGAATTTGAGGGGTTCTACTCCAAATTTGCCAAAGCCCAGGGCCAACTTTGGAAGCCAAGCTCCATGTTACGTCGCCGCCCTCTGGGTCCTGGGGCTGTTGGTCCTGCTCGCTCTGGCGGGGATGACGGTGCATCACTTTCTAGCAGGTTCCTTGGGCGTCAGTTTTGTTTCGAGCTCTACTGTTCAAATATAGAGTACGGTTCAAATACAGAGTATGTATAGGGTTTCAGAAAGCCCTGATCAATCGCGAAGTATACGAACAAGAGTGGGCTGTTGCTGCGTCCAACACCGAGGGTGATTTCACAGCCCTGGACTGACACCTAGGTTACATACGTATGCCAGCCAAAGTCTAGACAACTGTTGGACCCAGAAGTCATTGTCATTGAAAGTTTAGAGCCCCTGGTTCAAATGTGGACTTCAGACAAAACTTCCTCAAAAATCTTCAGACTTGAGCTTGGAGATGTTAAACCAAAGCTTTCAACAACTGTGGGCCTGGGAGTTTGGAACGTGTTGAGTTGTAGACCTCAGCCCACCACAGGTGAAGATGTGTGCCAAAGCTGCCGGCATTTTCAGCCTTGAATGTGGACTGTTGAGGTTAAACAATTGCAAAACTCATGAGTAGGAAGTTGAATATGTTCATATGTTCGGCAACGCTTACTCATGACTCTGAACGCTTTCAAAAATCCTGGGGCTATGTAGCTGGTTTGAAACCAACCTTTCTCTCCGAAGTAGTTATTCTCCAACCTTCGACTTGAAGTTAACTCTGCGCTGCGGGCGGCCTTTCAAATTGAACATGTGCGGCAGTGCAGCCTTGAAATCACACCTCTGAGACCCCGTGAGGCCAGGTGTTTCGAACGTTTCGAAGTTCCTACCGCCACATTGAAAGTGCCAGGCATATGTTCTCCGAAGGTTTCTAATCTCCAACCTTTAACTTGGAGTATTGAAGTTCTAAACTTTTGAAGCTCCTGCACCGGGACGTCCAAAAGTTTCGATTTCCAAATTTCAAGCTCTGTAGGTTTCAAAGTTGAAGATATAATCCAACACTTTGTTTGGGTTCTAGCTTTCATATGGCGTTTCCTTCCGGATTTGCCGTGGCTGAGGCAAGTAGTATACCAGTACTAGCTTGATATCCTGACCATAGTGCCGCGAAAACCTACGATAAGTATAAGGACGCATTGTTCGCTACTAATTAGGATTGGACAAGGCTTGCCCTATTCGTGAGCATCGCATGAGGCTTTCCAAGTAGCTGTTAGTTCGTACTACCAGACAGTGCTGCTGGAAAAATGGGCATTTTCTGCACAGTGACACAAGCTTTTGCCAGAACGACGGTTGTATTTCTGACAAAATGAAAACGGTACTGTTTGCGTGTAGCAACCTGACCTGATCCACGGCGGACCCAGGGTACACAAACTCCAGCGCAAGAAAGGAGGATGTTGTTTGAACGCAATGAAACCATTAAACCAATCTTTTCCCCCTTGGGAATGGAGCCGCTGCACCTTTAAACCAATAAGCATCACAGGACCAATAACACCATTAAAACATAAACCCGAGAGTTCCCCAATTTGAATGGTTAGGCAGGTTCATATTTGGGAAGCAATACGCCCACTCATCAAACCATGCACGAGGGCCCAGAACATACAATTGCGGTTTCCCGTCCAGGCTACTGGTGGACGGTTTTTCTGATTTGGCCCGTGCCCTGCTGCTGCAGCGCTTTAGCGGCGAGCGCTGCTTCAGAAGAAGGAGGTGAGTATGAAGACTTGGCAGATGCGCGGCTCGAGGCAAAGAAGAATGTCCTCGAGCGCGGCATCGTCTTCAAGGGAGCTGTGATCCCGGAGCCAGGCCCGCCCTTAGTTGCTATAATCTGTCTCTGTGTGTGTGTGTGTTTACGTCGACCTGTACCCTCAACGTGTGGTAAAACAATGGCCTTTGCAGGTGTACGGGCCATATTCTAGCATACTTGGGGGTCTCGGTATTCACATCATATACCCAAGAGACCATAGACCCTAAACCAAAGCCTCAAGACCCCTGCAAACGTTTGTCCTGTAGAGGATGCCCAGGAGGAGTTCCAGCTGGCACGTAGGTAGATGTGCCCCCTCGCCCGGCGTGCAACATAAAACTTGGGTTTCGGGTTTAGAGCTTCGAAGCCAGGCCGGAAGTGCATCTGCTCCTGGCCAGGGAAGTCTCCTGGAAGCTCTTGAAGAAGCGAGTTTTTTTGCAACTTCTTTCTGAGTGCATACCATGTATGCCTTCGTCAACTTACGAACCCCGAACTAAGCAACCTATGTGTTCGTAGAAGGTCGACTTGGATCCCAAGGTATGAGGGGGCGTGGGACCGCATGGTCTCTGCAGCCAAAGGTGGAGCTGTGAGCGCAGCTGTGGTGTTCCGGACGGCACTTCGGAGTTCGGCCTCCACAGCAAAATTCCACCAAGTGACGAAGTAAGCCCTTCCAAGGGGAGTGTTGGTGTAAGCCCCTCTACGGCGAAGCAAAGCCGTGGGGGTGTCGTTGGTTCGAGCTTTGGATCGGCAATGTGAAGCGGGCAGCGGAGGCCGGCGCAGTGCTGGAGGTGTATTTCTTTGCCGACATGGTGGGCATGGGCAAGGTCGACTACTTCGCCACGGCCGGTGTAGAGAACCTGCGCCGGGAGCACCTGCTTGCGCGAAAGAAGGAGTTCACTCAGTCACCCGACTTCCGGGCTGCGCTGGACTCCGGCCTCGACGGCCTCGCCCGGCAACCGCGCGCGGACAGCAGCTCGCCATATGAGCGCGAAGTCCGGCGGCTCTTTCTTGCGTGGCTTTCGGATTCTGACCGCGAGTTTCTAGAAGCCTCCGAGGGCCTCGGCAACAGCCAGAAGGCCGAGGTCGCCTGGCTTGAGTACAAAAAGTACCCCTACGTGCAGCGAGATGTCGCGGATTGGCTGCAGATCCCGAGCTCGAACCGGGGGGAGCCAACGCCAAAGACGTACGGCAAAGCGACAGATGAGGTCAGTAACCCCAGCATCGGAACAGACATGATTAAGGCCTCTCTATGAGACAGTTTGCTGCCAACCCCTAAACCCTAAACCTCCCCACACCTTACAAGGCCTAAACCCTCAACGCTACACCCTTTTTACGCCTTCCATTAATCCCCTCCCCCCTAATATCAAATACCCCCATATACTATCACATAACTGTCATGGGGTTGGGACGGGATTCGTGCACTTCGAACCCTTCTTCAGTTTTCTTTTTTTTCACAACAGTCTGAGAAAGCGCTATGGCGCAGCATCTTGCAAGCTTTCAAAGAGCCCTGGTGACAACTGCTATGTAGGGTTTCGAATTTTAGGGTTGGGGAGGGCGGGGAGTGGGTTTAACGGCAAAGAACATAGCTGCTGGTGAATGATAGCTGTTGTGGCCAGTGCTCATGCCTACTTGCGCAGCTTGCGGTCAGGATCTACCTGCGGCCCCCATTTCTGATCATCAAGTCTGATAGCTCTCGAACGTCTAGTAGCTAGCGATTCTGACATCTGCCAAGAAACCTCTGCCGACTTTTCAGCACCACCTCGATGCACTGTCGCAGTCCAGCCCCATATTCCGTTAAGCATGTTTAACAATGTTTCATGGGTAGGGAGCAACTTCAAGCCTGAGCCCATTGCCCGAAGCCGCACATCCACCGGAATCTGCACGGAACCTCAGCGATGCCAACGCCAAAGCACGCATGCCGGCGTGCTTTTGGGACCTAGCACCCCAAATATTGGGTACTTGGACCCTCTGGGAACCTGTTCCCTCCGCAGGCTTGCGCATTGCCCCACCGCCTGCCTCTGGACTCTAAACATTCGAGCAGTTGGACTGTTTGCCGGATCTGTGTCACGAGTCTGAAAGTGCGTGGCCCATCATCGGGTGCCCCGTCCGAAGCAGTAGTGAGTAGCCTCGGCTTTTATAGGTGTTGGACTCGCAGGTTACAAGGGCACCTGAAGCATCACAGCTGCAAAGCAGCCATGTAGGGAACGCGCATCTAGCATCAGCTGCGTGGTCTACTACAGCAGCGTGGTCCACTGAAGAACTGAAAGCCCTCGTGCAAAAAAAAGGATCAGCCAAGAAAGAACTCCCGTTGCAGGCTCACAAACCCATGCCTCAAGTCCCGAACATAAAAGAGTCGCGCAGCTTCCCCTTGGGGCAACCGGGTTTCCTGGCTCTCGGGGTTGCGGGGGTCAGGAATTTGTCATTGCGGCTTTAGCCCTAAGGGTCCGCGCACCTTGAGGTAGTCGGATGTATCTCTTGCAGTCTTGCGGCCCATGCTGGCGTACAGGTAGACAGCAAGAAGCAGAGAAAGCGTGGGAACCCAGCTTCCCCTTTCGTTTGGGGCTTTCGCGGCTTGCGGCTAAGCTCTCTGATGCTTGCGTCCGTGCCACTGCGGCTGCGTCGCAAACCTTTCCAGAAGCCCAGCTTTACGCAGAAGTGGTTTGTGTGCCAAAGTTCGGGGGGGCCGCCGCAGAAACTCGGATTTTTCAGGAGCTCTTCGTCCAGCCGGAGAAAGGACAGAAACTCAGCTGCTGATCTTGCCACACGTGAGGTCTACTTGTCTGTGTAGTGCAGAGCTGTTTGCTTGTCTATGCCTATGCCTTCGTCCTAATTCGTCTTAACCTTCCTGAGCATGCCTGGCTACGGCAGGAGCGAGCATCGAGCTCAGCAACACGCTCCAAGGTGCCCCCGTGGTCCTGATTCGTCCCTGCCTTTGAGAATTTTGAACCTTGCCCGAAGGGTTAGTCGTCGGCCTCGCAGAGTTGGCGGCACCATGCCATCGTTGCCGCAAGAGATTGCAGTTGCTACAGTGACTGGACTGCTCTTGCTGAGCATTGCTGGAGCAGGCGAGCGACTCCAGGAAAGACAAGAAGGAGAAGGAGAAGAAAGACAAGCACAAGGATGTAGAAAAAGTGAAGAAAGACAAGGACAAAAGGGACAAGCACAAGAAGGACAAAGACAACGACAAAGACAAGAAAGACAAGGACAGAGACAAGGATAAAGACAAGAAGGACAAGGCAAAGGAGAAGGAACAGGAGAAACCTGTAGAACCGGAAAAGAAGAAGGAGATAGACTTGGAAGAGAAGGATCGAGCAAAGGAAAAGGAAAAGGACAACGACAAGGACAAGGAGAAGGACAGAGAAAAAGATAAGCAGAAGGATAAGGAAAAAGAGAAAGAGAAGGACAAGGACAAGGACAAAGACAAGGAGCGGGAAAGGGCCCGGGAGAAGGACAAAGACAAGGAGAGGGACAAGGCGAAGGAGAAGGCGAAGGAGAGGGACAAGGAGAAAGAGAAGGCAAAGAAGCGACGCAGGCCAGGTGTGTGTTAAGTCATGGCCATTTTGGCTTGCCATGCGCGTAGTGGTGCAGCATTCGCTCGTACTGCGCCCTGCTCAGCACGTCTTCATCTTCTTCCTCGAGCCGACCAAGGTTAGCAACCTTGTTGTCAAATGTCAGCCTATGGTACTCGTAACTATTTGTGGCTTTTTAATGCTGGTAGCTGCTTTTCCTCGACAGTTGGAACGGCAAAGGCGCAGATGTGTCTCTTGTCAGCCGTCATCCTGACATGCTTGACAAGGAAGTCCAAGGCAAGGAAAAAGGACGACAAGACCGAGGCAAGTGAAGTTACATCACAAGGATCTGTGGCGTCTGTAGTCATAGCCAGTGCTGCGGCAAGTTGACGTTTGTGCATGACTGCTTTGAGGGACAGAAGCAACGTGTAGGCTCAGCGGATCTGACACAACCTTGTCACTCAACGCTGTGATTTAGAGCCGGCTTGTCAGGGAAAAGACAGACTGAAACGCAGCCTGTGGCTCAGGGGTTATCACTGGCCTGAGGGAACGGCTGAGTAAGCCACAGTTGACTTGGGGGGTGTTTGAAATTGCTCGGCAGGCGTGCGTTGTCCTGTGCCACCATGTATTAGTACAATTGCTGTCAATAGCCCCTCAATGCATGTCCAGGTGAGAATGGCTCAAGGAAAGAGAAAGGGAAGGAGAAGGGGAAGGAGTCGAAGGAATCCTCGAGTTCGAGCAGCGACTCGAGCCGTCGGCGCCGAAGAAGGAAGCGGAAAGAGCGCGAGAAGGACTGCTGGGATTGCCGTGACGACGCCGATGATTTGGCTTTAGCTGCTTTATCCTTGCCGGGTGGGGGCAGTTGTGGACGGGACTTGGACCATCGGCCTAACTTGCAGAAGTTAGTTCTGGACAGATGTAGGAGCGTAGAAAAAAGAAAGAAAAGAATAAATCGAAAAAGTCGGGTAGCCCAGCTGGTGCTTCAGAATGCTGCCATCTTGCACCCACTTGTGCCTCCCAAGCATCACTCAGTATTGACATTCTCAGCACTTCGAAGAAGTCCAAGGGCCCCGAAGGATTTGCCGAAGGTTGCATCTTCACAGTCTGTTTGGTTGGGAGCTTCAGGTCAAGTTCCACCTCTAGCACCTCCAGCTGAGCGTGCCATGGCCGAGGGCGAGCGCGGGGCACAACCATTGGCAGGGGTTCGATAGCAATCACTCAGCCACTCTTAGCTGTCCTTCGCATTTTGTTTCGAAAGAATGAATCATGGCCCCTTTACGAGTCAGAAGCGCAAGAGCTCTCGCAGCACACCCGGGGCCAGCACAGACCCGCATGAAGTGGGGCTGTGGGCAATAAAATCAAGAGACAAAGTTGTGGTAAGGATGCTATCGTGTGCTATGACGCGCGATCTGAATCAAGTCTCCAACCTGAATCTGTTTGAGCTGTTAAGACATTGGGCGGTAGCAAGTAGCACTAGAATCAGTCCGATGCCTAAGGCTTCAGGTGCCCGCAGCGTTTCAGTTCAGAGAGGTGAATCAATGAGGTCCTCAGCACTGCACAACATGACAAGCCAGCACGCCTAAGACATGGCATCATCTTGCACGATATATGATGCTAAACTCGAAACAATCGAATTGCATAGTACACCAAGCTTCATCTTAGCAGTCCTTAAACATGGGGCAGAAGTCTGGCCGTCTGCGTGGGATGCCTATCATGATAGGGAAGTGGAATCTGTTCATGGGCACTGCAGGGCACGGTGTGCCATTATGTAGAAGCATGTGTTATGCGCATTGATTTTGATCGCAAGATGCAAAGGACGCTGCCGCGATGCCACGAGAGATGCAAGGGCTTCGACGGCCCCATCCACAGAAGCCGACCAGGAGAGCGGCCTTCGGAAAGATGGGCAGTCGTCCGGAGAGCCGTGTGATTTTCGCTGTGCCAGGAGACGCCTGACCGATCTTCGCCGAGGCGATAGTGCTGAAATATTCGACTGTCAAGACTCGTTCGTATCCATGTCGTCTGACTTGTCCTCATCGTCAGTCCCGAGAAAGCAGCCCTTTACGGCACAAGGATGGTTCATGGTCGGCTGTCCTTCGATCGTGTGCGTACCACAAACCCCGAGCTGCGAGACGTTCCATAGCTTGCTGTTTCTTTTACCTCCTGGCCGAAGAGATATTTTCGCGCAGGTTGATTTTGCTGGTAAAGGGCCAGCCGCCTCAGGGGAGCAAGGTGCGTTCCCTCTGCAGGGTCGGTGCTCCATTAAGTAGCCCCGGTCCCAAGTGGGAAGAGTAGTGCAGGCTTGTGTGGCTTCTGCTGAATTAAATGCAAGGGACTAGAATGCCAAGCCTGGCGAGCCCTGATCGTGCTCCTCCGCCGCCATCAAGGAACGTTCTATATCTCTTTAGCTTCGTCAGGCAACTCCCGCTGGGTTCCAAATCCCAAGCAGTCCATGTCTGGGCTAGCGGCTAGATGGCTGCAGTAACTGTTTCTGTGCTCTTTCGTGTTGGAATTAGGTCCACGACTATGCATGATGTCTCCTCTTGCTAGCAACTGTCTCAACTTACTCATTGCCCAAAGCGTTTTCCTATGTCGCCTCCATGTTCTTTGCCGAAACACGCCGTTGGGCAAGATCTTCCTTCGCAACCTGGCATCGGATGGGATGAGTAGTGCTTTTTTCTTGCACGAGTGAGCGACTAGTCGTTAAAGGTTGAGTCCATTTTACTATTACCAATCACTCCCGGCCATGTTGTGGAGTCCACATGAGTCCACCTAGGCGTTGCAGACCAAGTTCAGAACAATCGGCGTTTGGCGCCAAGCAGGAAGAGGCTGTGCCCATCGTGCCATACACCCCTCCTCTTCATGACGCCCAGGTTCTACCGGGTCTAAAGCCTAAAGCCGTGCAGCTGTGGTCATGTTTGGCTCTGCGCTGGCTCTGCATCAGAGTGTACTTGCTACAACATGGTGGCAGCTATGGAGTCTGTCGGAGAATCACAAGCGACTCCCTGCATGTGCTAACCCTCTTTCAGCACCATGCGTCGCGGTGTCTGCCAGTGTACGCCGTGCCCAGAGGCCCACCCGTTGCTTCCGAGAACGCGGCATGCCAGCAAAGAGTCCTGGGATTCCTCGCAAACGCAATGTTCATGCGCCGTCAGCAAGACAGCTTTGTAGACCACAACCTGTGCGAATGCCTCAAGCACATACATCGCCTCAAGCTCGCAGGACTTGCAGGAAACTAGGAAGCTGTCCATCAAGCATCCACCGTTTGTTGCTTTGCTCGATGATCGACTCAGAAACTCGACATGTGACCTGCAAAGGACATTCGGCGTACTTCGAGATTGGCTGCTGCCATGCTTGCTTCCACCAGCGCTGGTTCTCGTGCATCTTGGTTTCAGGAACCTTGCAGTGCGTGTATGGTTTGTTTCTCGCAATGGGAGCGGATGGAGAGTGGCCGAACTTGACTTGCCCAGCACGGTTGCAGCAGTGTAAGGGAAGGGCTCAGGAACAGAGGGCAACTTTCGCTGCATCCGTTATGCATGAAAGCACAGCTGATCAAGTTTCAAGATCAACTTAGACTATCTTCGGCCTGCCAGTGTTTGAAGCCAGAATTTGAAAGTTATCTTTGACTGCTTCAGTCAGGTCAGCCTCCTTGATCAGCTCCTGGCATGCAGTAAGGAGTCGAGTAGCAATGTGAGGCGATTGGATCACGATGGGCACGGGGGTCTCGGATCCTTTGTTTGTTTTTGCCTTTTTCTAGTTTCACGGTTTCACAGGAGCTTCGGTCTTGCGGTGCGGGATTCCAGTATTCGTTGACATCTGTGAGGTAGCAACCAGCACCTGATGCAACCTGGCGTCTTCCCGTATCCATTCGTGCTGGTGACCGCGCATTGCTTCTGTTGACACTGAGATGCAAGCATGTCATGACATGGGGTGGGCTCTGGGTAGTTTGCAGCGACAAAGTCCTGACGAGCTGCGTCGCTACCGCGGTGGCTGGCTAGGTCCATAGCTAGTTTTCGATGCAGTTTCTCCTGAAATCTACAAAGACTCTGGATTTCCGCTCCGCGGCGAGTTGCCCAGGCTCCTTCTTTGCTGGCATCCTTCTTCTTTGCAAGCCATCGCTGTTCCCGGCTTTGACGGACTCGAATCTGATGTTGGTCTACGGGAAAGGCAGTTGTGATTGGTTAGAAGATAGAACAGAGCGAAGAGAGCTAGAAGAGTAGGGATCCTACCGAAATTCTACCCACTCGCTTTGGAACAAATGCGCAGTTCTGCTCAGTGAGTGCCGCCGTGGCAAGGATCCAGACAGAATGGTTGACATCAGCCTGCAGTACTGCTTGAGGACCATGCCTCAGATGCTCAGGGCTCCTTGTGCAGCGAGTGGGGGTCTTCATAGTGTTTCGCCATGGAATCATGCCTGCAGGGAAATACTTCCCATCGCGGCCTGCTTTGCAATATCACTGGCCACTGGGCAGAGATGCTTTTGGTGGTCTGTGGCCCAACTGTGTGGCTGGTTTAGGAACAGCAGCTGCACAAGCCCTGAGGTGACGAGCAACATGGCCTACAAGTACTGCACTGTAGCATTTCTGCAGATGATGAAGGAGAGCAACATAGTGACTCGCCCATTGACGAGATTGCTTTGAATCTCTGAGTGCGGCGCCCGTGCATGACTCCTGGCCTCACACGATATGGGGTGCTAGCACGAGTACTATACAACTAATACTAGCAGTACGCGCGCGTGCCTTATTTGACGCCGCGTCCGTTTGCATCCGAAGGCCGTTTTTCATCGACAAAAGCAGTGTTTCTGTCAACGAGCCTCATTCCTGAAGAATGCCGCGTTTTTTGGCTTTTGAAGGCCGCAGGCTGGCCAAGCCAAGCCAAGCCAGAGCCGATTTTTGAAACATATTTAATTGGGATAGGGAATGCGAGACCCCCATCGAGAATGCTAGTCCCTCATAAGACATACACGAGTACATGTACAATCCTTTCGCACTTGCATTTTCGCATTCTCCGATGTGAACGTTTTGCTTTCATACCTCTTCTTTCACAAAGATCTATGCAACATCTGAAGCAAGAGGTGCGAACAAAGTCACATCAGAGAATGCAAACATGCAAGTGCAAAAACACTGTAAACACCGACATTTCCACACCTGGCAAAAGCAGGGGAAGGGTCAAACATTACGCAAAAAGAGAAGCAAACGAAAACCCGGCACTCTTTGGAAAGGGGCCTCTGAAGCATAGCATTCCGATGCACGTGCTGAAACCACTGCAAATAACGGCGTGTTCAGCTGTGGGAGAAGGTCGCGAGGTGTGGAAAATCAAGATAAACATAGCGTCAAATACAAAACGGATGGGTAGGGGTGGTGGTAGTAGTTGTAGTAGAAGAAGTAGAAGTAGAAGCAGCAGCCGACTGGTAGTTGGCTGCTACTGCTACTCCTGCTTTTGTGGCGACTATGTAAATGTGTGGAGGGCGGACATTGACATATAAAATATATATGTACATATACATATATACATATATATGCATATGGCTATAGCATCCCCTTTACCTACTTGGCTCCCAGCCTTCCCAGGGGCTTCCCAAGTTTTTCCAGGGGTCGCTAGGGGCTTTCGGGGCTTCCAGCAGGCCTCCGATGGCAACGTAAACGTACTAAGATCCGGCCTTCTCAAGGCGGCATCGGCCACGCCTTTCCAGGGGCTTCCCAGGCATGCTAACAACCCGCTTTAGTTGGTGTGGCTTTTTCAGCTCCATGATATAGCATAGCTCAACTGTCCCAACTCTGGCTCCCTTGACTTTGGGGGTTTGCCACTTCTTCGAGTCGACGGGATTATTTAAGGGCTGAGGTTTCCGGGTGTTTTGAAACCGGGCGGCCCCACCCAACTCGACGGAGGAAATGTACAACAATTGCTCGCTCTTTTAAATTTCCGTGTGTTCAATAAACAATCACCATGCAGCAGCTGCTATCTCTTCTTAAACTGCAGGTGACCATCTACCTCATGTCGGTTGCGGCCGGCATCGAGCATTTCTCGCTTGCAGCTAGATTAGCACATGTTGGTAAGATTCGGAACTTGTGGCGGCACATGTTTCTCGCTGTGGCAGTCAGTCGGGCACGCGTCACTAGGTCAAGAGGTGCAAGGGAGTAGAGATACGATGTAGTAGAGAGACAGTCCGTACAGCTCGGTGGCCTTGCTGCTCGACTCCGTTTGTTAGCTGCACGAGCGTCCTGGAGTCATGGTCAATCTCAGGCCCAATCTGTGATCTTGATTGCGATGGTGTGTGCAACCTGGACTCTTTGACTCTGTTTATGTGAGAGGGCTTGTGTGTCAGAGACACGGTTGCGAGTTGTCGTTGTCGGCATTTGCAGAGAGCAGCGTTTTTTGCGAATTTCTAGAGCACTTCTGCTTTTGGAGGACTTGCATCCAGGGCGAGTTGCACTTCTCACTCTTTGGCCTCCTTCTCCAAGCCAGCTCTTCCCTCGCGGAAGCGGAGCCCGGAACTGCATTTAGAGAGCTTCAAACCTGTCTGGTACTTGTCTTCTGCATCGTTGGAGATGTAGCGGCTGAGTGCGATGTACACAGCACATGAACAATATGGGCACGCGGCATACGTGGCTTGACACTCCGGCATTCACGTTTCGCAGAGCATGTTGATCGCGCCAGCAGGTTTTGAAAGGGTACACTGCATGCGTGCATAAGTTCGCAGACGTTCGCATCTGTACGTTCTTAGGCAAAGACCATCTTTCAGTGTTTGGCCTTGGCGCACGGCTCTGGCAAGCGGCTGGATCCGCTCTCGGCAGTGCCCCGAAGATGTAGTGGCACGTGAACAGCCTCAGTCCTTAAAGTTGTAGCAAGCCCCCCGTCCCTTTCTTTCATCAGGTACTGGTGATTATGCCTCTGTGCGGGCTTCTGCTGGCAATGGTGATCCTCTTCCATTCCCATGCCCCTTAGTTTGCAACAGATGAAAAAGGATGCTGCGTTTACGAGCAAGCACGCGGCTCTCTCAGAGACCTGGGCCAGGCTTTCGAGCTGACTTTCGTAGCCATTCCCAGCTACAAGCAGGCCTTTGACTTGAGCCCCTTGGCCTGCACACTCCCATAGACTGGCGGATTGGATGTTCGTGACCACCTGTTCCTGAACTTGCAGGGGCAGCCTTGGCCCTGAACGTTGCGAATGCCTTCGCTCCTCGGACTCCAGTGAGCAGTGACCTACAGAATTCCATCACATGACCGGGCGACGCCAGGTTCTCAATGTGCTCATCGCCATGTTCCTGAAAGTCCTGTCTCCTGTCGCCTACATCCTGACTGGCAATGTGACTTGGACAGTCGCTAGCCACTAGCCGCAGTGTTCTACTTCGATCATCCCCACCCTACGGCTACCTTGATGTGGGAGCCATACTGCCATGTGCAGATAGGTAGTCGCGGATACTTCGCCGCAGGCTTCTGTCCGGGAATCTCCCCAAAATTCTCTGAGGGTGGGCACTCCAGGGATACTCAGCGGACGCTCCAGAGATACTCACAGGCGCTCTGCGCTCTGAAGAGGGGCACTCCAGGGATGCTCGGCGAGACTTTCTGCCGGTCGAGCAACCCTGCCTCGAGGGTGGGGAAAAATGTCTGCATGCCTGTACGTATGTATGTATGTGTGTATGTGCGAACGTGCGAATGTGCGTATGTATGGAAGTGTGTATGTATGTATATGTAAGTATGTATGTAAGTATGTATATATGTCTTTCGTGGCTCACTTAGGTGAAGGACCCATCGTGCCGCGGCTGCAACAGCAGCACGCAGTCCGCCTGGCTCACCCCAAATTGAGCCAGAATAGCACCCTCCATTACCCGTCTTCGAAACATCTCGCAGCTAGTATCACATGCAGGTGGTCATGTCAGCCATGCTCCTGCATGATGCTCGACAGCAACAGCTTGGTGCCATTTTGATTTTCATTGCGGCTGCAATGCCCTGTGAAGCCTATCCGTAGCAAAGTTAGTGGACGTGCCTTCATTTGACAGCGCTGGATTCAGGAACCGATTAGCAACAAACAAGTCTGCGGCTTCAGCATGCAGATTGCTCTTGTATTCCTGTGGAGTACATTGAAGCAGTGTCTTGGCAGCATTTTACTGCGCAGCAGTCTGTGGGTGCCTTTATAATCAGTGCACAAGCGTGCGCTTCCGGACTGCTCAGGCTTACAAAGAAGAGTGCCTCAAATTGATGCTCATGACATGGCGATTCGAGCACTCTGGTGAACTGGATGGGCGCCTTCTACAAATCTGCTGTAGACTTCGCTGAAAGTGCCTTTGTTGATGTAGTCGTGCTTGAGAAAGAACGTTATGCACACGGGCGCTGCTCATGGTATTTCCTGGTTGGGTTCTGTCCTGCCCGATCGGCATCAAACATCCCTAGGCTTTGATTGTGTCAGCATCATGGGCCCCGCACCTTCAACCATTGCGCATATCGCACAGCCATTTGGCTCTAGCGTACATATCAGGTCTGTCACCTAGCCTTGAGCACCGTTTTCGCAGAGACAATGTCAGATTTTCCGGTCGCAGACGAGCTTAAGCAGCACAGCGTGTTCCTACCGCAGGTGCTTGAGGCTGGGTGTTTACGGTAGTACCTGGGCTTGCCATGTATTATCTCCACGGCGCAGTGACTCAGCTTGAAGCGAGCAGGCTGCTCTGCCTCTTACTTTACACTTTCCATGGCTTGCCATCACTCGATAGCACGTGGACCCGATGGGCATCATGAATTCTGTGAGGTGACGAGAGCTAAGCTTCATATCTAAGGGATGCTGTTGTGGATCTTAGCTGCTTTCGCAGTGCCGGCGCTTGGCGCCACACCGCGGCAAGTGCAGGCATTTCCCTCCTTTGCATGCGCCTCCGTGAGAGAGTGCCATTTTCTTGTACTGCTGCCAGCGTGTCATGCTATGCCAGGTCCTTGCAGATGGATCTGTTCACGCCTTCTCTCATTCTCACCGTGACTTAGATTAGATTGTGCAGTCACTGCAACCACAACTGCTTGTGCATATCTCGCCATATTTACCGACAAGCTTGCAAGCAACCTTGAAAACCCAGCAAGGGTCACGAAGTCATAAACAGGTCAACCAGCACCGATACAAAGGAACCTGAAGACGTGAAGAACACACCACAGCAAGATGTGCACTGGAGTCCAACAGAAACTGCCAAACAATACCTGGTCAAGGAGTTCCATCTGTTTCCTTGTGTGCAGTGATGCTCGTGCTTGCTGTGCAACATCTGGCACTGAGTTTGGCCCTCTGCCAGCCTGCTCCGACGTCAAACTGCTGACCTGGCAGGTCCGTGCGCCTTTGGGTTAGATGGGTCATGACTAAACATGCCGTGACCCGGCCTGGTGCGGCCCGACAAAGAAGCTTTTCGTTCTTCTTTGACGCCTCCCGAAGGTTTCGCGCGCTCGACGCCTTCCCCTACAATTGCAGCTGCAAACGTGAGCAGCGCCCGTGCTCAATAGTAGATGGTGCAGGTTCGGGATTTGGACCCCCGAGGATCATTCTCTCAGATTCCGCGATGCCCTCTCTAGGTGGTTTGGCCAGTGGGCTCGCCAACGTGACAAACTCCCTTGACCACCTGCAAGGCCTGCGCAGACATCAGTAGCCATGGGTCGGGTGGCTGGAGCATGGACTGGCATGTGCAGGGTCTGAGTCCTGAGTGTCAGTTTCAGCTCTTTGACTCATATGTTATCGCCTTGGCGAACACAATCACAATTTTGGCCCAAAGAGCCTGTGTCGCAGAATATAGGCACCTTGTGACTTGAAAGCACGGCACCCAGTGGCAGGCGATGTCTCCTCAGCAGAGGTCATGCACGTGAGGTTGGATGGCCACGGCATCTGGCCTTGAAAGCTGCGAATAGGCTTTGGCTTTGACATCCTTTTGAAATGGCACTCCTAAGGCGACACCTTGGAGATCGTGAGCACAATCATTTTTACCATGACGGTCTGCGTCGTGCTCTCAAAGAGGGCGTTGTCTTGCGATACTCGGTATCTCGCGTTGCTGGTAACGAGTGAAGCCGAGGTGTGGCTGCTGGTTGGTTTCAAAGTCTTGAGCTGGCTCTATCCCACGCTTTATTCTCAACGAGTCTTGCTTGCAGAAAGCACAAGCTGTGACTTTTCCCGCCGCCCCCTTGCTCCATTCTTGCAAAAGTGAAGATGAAGAACATCGTAACCTTAAGCAGCAGGAGAGCTGGAGCAGAGAGGCTTCTGCAGCAGTGAGGGTGTGGGACTTGCGGAAGCTATCGCGGTGTCCTGGCAGCATTGACTCATTGACCCCTTGCACAACTCCACGTGCTTCATCGCACCTCTCAGAAGACCCGAACAGCTGAGGATGTGACATCGCTGTGGCACCAGCTAGCTGTTGTGCCCCGCACAGCATGCGAAATATCTGTAGTGTCAGTCTAGCTCGGCCCGTTCTACATCCGCTCCAGTTGTGGAGCAAAACAAGGCAATGTTCCTGAAGGAGGAGGACGTTCTGGAGGTGCAGGGCCTGGACGCGTGGATGCACATGCAGTTTCAGTGGTTGCTAAGCTTGCAGTCAGTTCTTTTTCTCTGATACGCCAAACAGAGAGTCATGTCTGGGCCAGCATGCATGGGTTTGCCGGTGGGAGTACTTCCTGTACTTTGTGTTGCTGGTGGCAGTGTGCGTCCTGCTGCTTGGCGGTGGCACAGTACGTTGCTTAGGTTGTCATTGCGGATCATTATGTCCCTTTGTCTGGTTCCGGCAGCTCGGTTGACGGTACCAACAGATCTTCAGCGAGGAATCTACACACGAACATGCTCTTAAGTCATGACATGATAAACTCTGGGGGCACAAAGGTCATCGTCTGCCCACTGCACTGGACACATGTCCAGCCACACAGCTCTGAGCTTTTCTCGCGGCTAAACTTGGCAGTCAGCGAGGATCGCTACTTTGCAGCCTGGCGTCAAGACACATTCACATTCCTATCCCATCGGAAATCACGTAGACCTCCAGGGCTGTGAGAGCAGCACGTGCTGTAGGTTTTGTGGATCCATGTCGCAGTGGTTTGGGCCGTGGTCTTGCTGACGACCCGCCTCTGGGAGAAAATTAGAGAAATGCCATGTGCGTCTTGCACTTGTGACGCTGGGTTGGCCAAGGGCAGCTGCACATGGCCATGAAGCAGCCACTTGGCATTGAAGTCATATTGCCGTTTCAGACCTCATGTCACCACTAAGCAACCGGACCTTCACCGAGGTTTGTTCCTGCACGCCACCGCTGGCTCAGTGCAATGGAGTTCCCACGGTCCACCACGGTCTTGGCGCCTTTCCATGACAGGGATTAAGAAGTTCTGCTCCTGGAGAACGTTTTGGGGAGAATCCAAAAAATCGACCCCCACCCCCCCTCTCACAAAAAAGAAACCTGCTGCCGATGATAGTGACAATGTTGTTGATGGGTGATGGTGTTGAAGGTGACAATACGTAAGCAACACCAAAGATGATGCTAAAGATCTGAACTGAGGCTCAAGAAATCTCAAGACTTACGACCTGGCAGACCAAGAATGATGATATGAACGTTAAGTGATCGTGCCACTTGAGGCGAAGATGAGAAGGGTATGTTGAGGGGAAGGGAATGGAGGAGGCAGATAGTTAGGACAAGAAAAAAGAAGAGACAGAGCAGAGCGGGAGTGGGAGTGAGGGTTGACAGAGACAGAGGGAGACCCCTCATGCCCAGCGGAAGAAGAAGAAGAAGAAGAAGAAGAAGAAGAAGAAGAAGAAGAAGAAGAAGAAGAAGAAGAAGAAGAAGAAGAAGAAGAAGAAGAAGAGAGCAAACAAAAAAAGAGATGGACTTGGCCCTCGCTGTCCACGAGCACTAGAAAGTTCTGCTATAATGAGGTTGGATGAGCCCGTTTTTCGGAGAATGGAAACGAGCCGAAGGCTTACAAGAAAAATTGCGTGGAATCCTGGAAGGCGATGGCTGGCTCGGAAGTGCAAATCCCATCCCTCTTCTGCTCAGGAAGACAGATGCCATAAGATGCCAATGGGCTCAACATCCTTGAGCGTTTCTGCTGAAGGCTCAAGGAAGGACCCTTTAAAAACACGGGTGGAAGGGTTGCAAGGTCAAGCGAGAAATGTGATTCAGAAAGCCCTATTGGGCTTCGAATGATGCCCTGAAAGCCGGTCCAACTTTCTTCGGACCGGTGCCGGAGCAAGCGAAGCAAGCAACAAGAGGTATCGCCAGAGGTCTCTCTCCCCTTGTCCCCCTTTCCCGTCCTTGGAGATTGCGCGTGTTGCTTTCAGGTGCAGGGCATGCCAGAGTCCATGTCTTCAGATACACGCCCCGACCTTAGCACATGCGCTCTCCACGTGACTCAGAGCTGCTTTTGCCCTTTGCGCAGACTTGCGGCCGTTGAGGCTTGCAGTCTTACTTCACGGGCCTCTTCGGCGAGAATGCAGTTGTGCGCAGTGGCCCAGTCAGCAATCAGATGTGAACGCCAGATGCTGTTTTGCCCAGGTGAGGGAGGCAGCACAGCATGTAGACGAATGTAGCAGGGTGGCATTTTGCCAATGCCAGCATGTGTTCAAGGCAGATGCGTGCAATTCTGAGCATCATGTGGTCTGACACACTAATCAGTATTCACAATTCATGGGGCTGCTTTGGCGCCTCATGCCGAGCCATGCCCGACTTGAGCTCAGAAACTCTCGGGCCTTATACAGGGGTAAGCCCGTAAAAAGAAGTCAGGAAATGAACAGACGCAACGTCTTGTGCCCATGTTTCTGTGTTGGGACTTACACTAGTACCGCAGCTACTGTAGTGACTGTAGCAGCGCGGGGGTTTGAAGGCCATCTCTTCATTATTCGACGCATGCCTTGGCTACGTCTTTCAGCCACGCAGCCTTAGAGTCCTAATATCTTAACCCAGCTCCCAGAAGACGAAGCCCGTGCTGGTGACAGCCTTCGCCTGGCTCCTTCATTTTCCCACCTGCATGACACGACACTTCATGCAGATCCGGATGAGGTAGAACTCGGTATAACGGCATGAAGGTGTAAGATTCAGTGTAAACCAGGGTATGATTGCTTAGGATCGAAGTAATCGACTTCTTTGTGTGTTCAGGTTACGTCGTGCGCAACACGCGGCTTCTACAGAGGAAGCTCGAGAGGCAGGACAGCAGCATGTGGGGGCACTGGAGCTCCAGTGCCAGAAGTATTTCGGGGATGGTGAGGACAGAAGGCCTAGAGTCTGAGAGCATCTTAGAGCATCTTCGGGCATCTCAACCTCAGTCGCAGAATCCCCGAAAGGCTTTGCAAAGCTGAGCGGGCGCTGGCAAAAGCCATCCTCAGGCTCGAAAGGGATGGAAAGGGGAAAACCAGACTGTCAGCCACTGCAAGGCTCAAGTGACATGAAGCCCCTTAATACCTTGTCAGACTGTCGACGGCATGTTGTCACAGTGTCAGAGACAGGAGCCAAGCAGAAGGTTTGGATCCGGCTTCCTCAGAGCTGGTCCAGCGTCTCTGCGGCAAGTCACCATACCATACTTCACATGTCGTTAGTCGTTTCGCTTGCTTGTGCTGTCTCGGACAATGGTTTCTGCCTTTGGAAGCCAACTTGAAACAATAAGCTGTGAGCTACGTGCGCAGGTGGCGTTTCAATAGGTGAGCTTGCAGTGGATGGTGCATGTTGTCCGGGTGGTTTGAGACATGTCGCCACGTGAACAAGATCTGACGCTGCCTGCTATCTTTGAATGCCACAGGACCAGATACGGACCGGCAGTCAAACGTAGACGTTTTGTCGATGTGTCTTACAGAGTGTTGGTTTTGTCCATTGTGATATTCTGTTACTTCCAAGGTTCCGGCGCGAGTCGGTTGCCGACATCAAGGAGCTTGCTGTGATCGGCTTGAGCTTGAGTTGAGCTGGGTGTTCGTCAATGGGGCCGCACTGGCCGTGGATGGCTGACATGTCCGCAAACAAAACTCACCCGTGCTTGAAGGAAGCGCAGTTCCGTGAGAGGAGTGGTGCTTTTTGTTGTTGAAATTCAAAGAGGGATAGACCTAGTCCGGTGCTTTTTTTGTCCGCTATGCAACGACAGCTGGAGTCGGCGGACCCCTTTGGTTGTGGAAGCAGGGGCGGCCACTCAAGAAATGAAACGAAGGGCCTTAGGTGAGCAGCTAGGCGCCGGCTCGCGCTGGGCCGAAGGGACGAAGTCAAGGAAACCCAGCGGCGAATCTGGCGCTCTCTGGTCATGCGAAGTCTTGGTCGGAGGAGCAGGCGACGACTCAGAGGCCAACCAAGCCACTGATGTAGATAGGTCCACATTTGTGTCAACTCGAACCGGTATGCCAATGCCGCGTTCCGGATGTTGTACTTTACGGACCAAGTGTGGAAGTTCTGGCCAGCTGGCCAGACTCTCCAAGAAGCCGCCCTGAAGGCGAAGCCTGCTGCGAGGATCCGTCACACAGCGAAACTGCATCCACTGGGAGGTCCAACCACACAGCGAGAACGAAGAAGGATGCAGCCAGTCTTGAGTGCAGTTTTCCGCAAACACATTTGTTTGGCATCAGATGTCGGGTGCCGTGTTTTTTTGATCAGCACAGCAAGCCATGTGGGAGTGTGTGTACGTACGCGCATGGGTGGGTGAACAGAATCGAACAGCAGGTCAAGAGTTGGCTTGCGCATTTCTGAGGAGGAGGTCGCTGCTGAGAGAATTCGGCTGGGACGGCTAAGCCATGCACTGGACCCTGATGCGCCGTGGCCAGCACATTCTGGAGCTGTGATGATGTCCAAAGAACAAGGCATGAATTTTGCTTTAGATTCTGGCGCAACTCTACCGATCGTTCCTAATCAAAGAGCGGGGACATGGGGTTTCTGTCGGGCATGTTTGCAATCGCGGGGCCACCGAGGGGCTCTAATTCATCTTGTAAGTCCTTGAAATCCCGTGACCCGAATACTTCCCCATGTTCACCAGGTTTGCACGACCACTGGATTCGTCACGTTTCGCACGCGACTGGACATGAGACTTGAACCTGGGCTGCGAAATCAAGTTGGTGCTTCATTTCTTCTGGTTCATATGACTCCGAATTGGTGGTGCAGATGATGATATGTATGTCCGGCCGTGTTTTGAGGCTGCACGCGAGCAACTGGGAACCGACACCTTTGCTCTCGTCTTGCAGCAGGCACGAGAAAGCGTGAGTGAGAGCGAGAGAGAGAGAGATGTATATTATAGATAGATAGATAGAGAGACAGAGAGACAGAGAGACAATGAGCCAAATCGCGGCTTGACTATGCCGAGCATTCTTCAGTCATGCTAGTCAACATGCAGGCGCCCTCGCCTATGGATGTGGCCTACGCGCCCCGGTATTGGTGTTTCGCTGATTTTGGTGGGTTCCATCATACAGATTTGCCAAGGCCTTCTTCCTAAGCCGAAGAAAAGTGAAGCTCAAGTGTAAAATCCCTGACAGCGTATGCTTCGCCAGAAGCAGGCAGCATGAGTCGGTGGCTGGAAGGTTTCAAAAAGCAAACAATGCATAGCTGCTGCATAGCACTGGTAGACATGCGGCAAGCATCCAAGCGTCAATCGTATGTCCAAAAAGTGGCCATAATCTAGATTGACCTCCCGCCCCTAGGCCAAACGCAAGCCCTTTCATGCAATTCATTGTGACATTGAAGGATGGAGCGTTGAGCGCTGGAATCCTTGGAATCCTACTGTACTTGCCGCCTAGGATGCGCTGATTGTGCGACCGAGCTTCACTCTCCAGCGCTTGGGCGCCCTCAGTGACCCGTGCCGAATCGGTTCTGCTTTGTTCTGAAGCTAGTTGACATGTCAATGGTCAAGACTCGTGGATACCGTGTGGACACCAGATGGTGCGAAATCTTAGGGATTTGTTGCCTGATGTTGTGTCATTCCGCATGCTAGCTATAGTTCCGACCTCGATGATCTGGAGCCCTGTCCGAAGTTGCATCAGGCACATTCGGCATTTTCCTGGCATTTGTCCCAGCGGTGCCTTGCCTTAAGAATGAACCGCAGGCACCTTCTTGTCAGCTGCTCGCATCCCCAGTGCTTGTCCCACCATCATGGACCGAAACAGCCGGCAAGGTGGTTTTCGTGTCTACCCTGCTGAGCCTTGGCAGCGTAGAGGAGATGCATTGTAGTCGGCTCACGGCACAGGAGTCACTTGGAGGTTCATGGGTGCTTATAAGTAAGGTTATAAGTAGGGCAACTATGGCTTCAACCGTATTGAAAGTACTTCTAACCCTACTATGCCCTACTTTTTGTACCAATGAACCTTGAAGTGACCGCAGCCGCTGATCATCACATCCGCAGCCGGCAAGCGCAGAGAAGCACTGCCCTGCTATCCCAGGAACTTGAACTCTTGGCAGCAGGTCTTTCCAGCCATCAGCAGGCCTACCACATTCAGTTTTCTTGAGAGGGCTCCAACAGGGCACATGTGATGCCAATGGCAGGTTGAAGCGCACTGTCCCCATCGTCATGGAGATGCGGCTTGGCTTCCAATTTCTTCTTGCCGGTGCAACACACCGAGCCCATGCTCGCATTCTTGCAAGTCTATTCATGTCTATCTGCTACTGAAGAAGAGCCTGAGATTGGAGACTTCTCAGGTTGGAGGGTGTGCTGGCAACGCTGAGTCTAAAGCTCATGCTCAGCTTCATTCCCGCGGTGCTACTGAAGCTTGGAGCAATGATGGCCACCGCGGTGTTTTTTGGGTCCCACACACAGTCACGTGGCGCTCTACGTGGAGCCAATTCTGAGGAGAGTGGTCAGGGGCTTCTCCAAACCAGCAGCTGGGCCAATTATCCCCAAAGATGCCCAAAACAGCAGCCCGGGGGAAGCGGCTTCTGTGGACCAGAGGTGTCCAACTCCTCGGCGCAACTAAAGCTCCAGAGCACCTACTTTGCCTTCCTGGTTGTCTTCGTCCTTCTGGTGACCTCCTTCGCGCAGGACTGGAGGGCTTTGCGTCCCGGTGGTGACATGCCTGAAGCCAACTAATGAGTGTAGTGCCTCTGATTCAAGATCTCTTAACTTTAGCTATGAATTCTTGAATGGTTTTGGTTTGGAGATCAATGACCAGCTTTCAGTCTACATGGTCTTTGGGTATCGCACGACACCTCAAGCGCTGCTGCGGGGCCGCCCAAGCCCAGTGATTTGTTGCTCTTCGGGCGTCAGCAGAAGAGAACAGAATGGCCATCCCTAAACCCCAAACCCTGAACCCTAAACCCTACAATGGGTGGGAGTTTCCACTTCGGGGTGACTTGAGGTGGGTGGCAGTGAATCTGGATCCTAGCGAGCAAGGCCCATTGGCCCTGGATCTCTCTGCTCTTTAGTTGTTGTTCGAATCGTTTCAGGGCCTGATCACCACGCTTCTCTTCGTGGCGCAACAGCCGACTGCCATTGTTCCACTGCTGGCAAAATCGCTGCCCTTGACATCCCGCTTCTACGCAAGCCGGACGCAGGAAGGGTAAAGAGTCAAAAATGGTTCAGTGGTTTCAGTGACTTCAGCATTCAGCCTTCAGAGCTCGGGATCTCCCAAAGTTGGTTGAACGTCATGCCTCTTCGGGGCTGGGGCCGGGATGCCACCAGACGATCCGTCGTCGCGCTATCTCATCACTGAATTACCTGTTGCAGCGGAGCTTTGAGGTGAACTATGTGGTGCTGGGGCAGGGGCCCTAGGGGTGAGATTTGCTCGTCTCTCGCAGATTTTGGAAAAGGAAGCTGCTCGAATTCTGAGGTGGGGCTCCTGCATGTGCGAGCTCCTGCGACCCGCACCCCTTGTTCGGAGCCGAGGGCATGTGCTCTGCACATGGTGTGCTCTGTGGCAACTCGATGGCTACCACTGGGGGAACTTGGCCACTCAGCACAGGTCCTCTTCTTGAGCCTTCGGGAGTTCATGAGCCAGGATGAGGCCAGGATCCGAGCAGAGGAGGCCTGAACGGATCTGAACGGCATCATTGCGATAGCTTGCCGTGTACAGAATCCGGACATCTTATGGGTATGTATTATGCAACAATAAATAAGTTTCAAAGCATTTTTTACATACATACATACATACATACATACATACATACATACATATGCACGCATGTAAGAATGACTAGACTCGCTCGTGCCTTGAGTGCGGATTCCAGTGAGCTGCAGTAATGGTTGTGCTGCCAGCTATATTGAGTGACATCCAAGACCCAACAAGTGTCCTGTACAGACATGTGAGCTCTCCATGAGTTTTGTGGAGGATTCAGTGCTGATGGGAACGCGAGCAGCAAGATCAACCTTCATGCTGGTCATTGTGCTAGCCGCGAGCCCAAGACTAAACGTACAGAACGGCCATGAGCATCCTTCTCCGAAAACGACCACGCAGACCACGCAGACGCGCAGGTCTTTTGCTCGATTTGCCCCCTCGTCCTACTTGTTGCGTTTGCCTACTTCCTCGTGGAGCGCCGGGAGCCTACTGGGAGCCAACAGATGTAGAGCTCGCCTTAAATGCTTTCGTATGACGCTCAATGCAGGTCTGGCACACGGATACCTCTTCATGGCTGCAGAGCCACGCCAAGGGGATACAGGCTCGCGCGTCGGAAGTGCAACACTTTCTGGGGACTTCTTCTATCTTTCGAAAAACGGCGTCTTCTTTGCCAGGAGGTGAGATCTTCGTGCAGGCGCTGAAGCAGGCTCGAGGTGTGCAAGTCGAACTGCCCTGACCTCCGCTCCGGCGTTTGGCAGGTACATGTCGGACTGATGATCTATGTTCTGCTCATGGTCGGGGTTCTGGGTGCACGCGGTGCTGAATTTGGCCTGCCCCTGGTGCCTTTGCTGCTTCTTGGCCAGCTTCGACTTCAGAGGTCTCTGTGCCACGCTTCATGATCACGCAGTTAAGGCATGCAGCATGCAGGTGTACCTCGCAGTTTGCCGTGTTGCAGCCTCTTCAGTCACTTCGCTATCAGGTTTGCAGTGGTGTGGTCCCTGCATGGCATGGAGGGCTATCTTTGGGCCAACTTGCCCCTGGACCGGGCGCTAGCCTCATTCAGAATTTTTCGCAGCAACATGCTGATCAGAAGAAGTTTGCCAGGGCGTGGGGGGTCGGGGTGGGGTGGAGGTTGTAGATTTATTGCTGCGAAAGAGATGAGTGGGCCGGTCTGGTGTGATGGCGACGAGGTCTTTGACCTGGATGATGCAGATCCGCCATATGACGAAAGCCTTCAGCACGAGGCGGATGACGTCATGACGTACGGTAGCAGGTTGAGCACTGTCTGAACGCCCACAGTTCTTGGCTGAAGGATTTGTTTAAGCAATGGCAATCGCCCAGGACAACATCAAAAGATAAAGCAGAAGATGCAGCTTAAGATACCGCAAGCCGCAAGGCTAAAGCGCCAGTTGACTTTGGCCAGTTGAGACAGGTGTACGAGCAGAGCGAATGCCGCGCCTCGGAGCCGTCACCGGCGCCGCCACAGATCGTTGTGTCCAGGAGCCCTTGGTGCAGGGAAGCAGATAATGAAGCACTGCTGCTCTTGCTGTCATGACTGGGGTCCCCAAGTCACAGTTCACCAATGTCCCTGATACAACTCCAGCTGCAGCTGGAACCTAAGGGCGTCTCTCAGCACACCTCCGGCGCCAGTGGCCGTTCCTGCTGCCCCTTCTGTGGCGCCGCCGGCACGACCAGCGCGCCCCGGCTCACCCAGCTCTCCTACCCTACGCCGACATCGGGGGGCAGGCGGGCAGGATTGCCTGAATATTCCAGACCCATGACGACTGTGCGTGAAATTCCACTTTTGTGGATGTTGCTTGTGCGCAGGGAAGCCCCCAGAAGAGACCGGCGCAGAGAGACCAACCAACCAGGACCCTTTCGAGCAGCCAAGTGCTCATCGTTTCACTCTCTTGCAGCTCCGCATCAGTATCAGTGTCAGTACAACTTGGTACTGCGCCTAGCTCTTGGTCAAGTCGATAAGTACATATGAACATGCCATGAGGATGGCCAGTGCAAGGGTCTGTCACCCGGCATCGATCTGCAGGAGCAAGAAGACCATGAGTTCTGAGATGCTCTGAGCTATGGCAGTTTCGGATCTGCGCCGGAACTCGAAAGCATCTTGCTCAGGATGCAGACAAAACACCTGGCAGCTGCCAAGCGACAAGAATGCCGTAATACCTAGCGAACCTAGTACCCATGCGATTGCTGGCGTGCCCCCTTGGAAGCCCACAGGTCCGCTATTCGGGTGAGGCCTGATGCAGCATGAGCCTGCGCACAGCAAATTGCACAAAAGCTAACTGCACACCCTTCAGCTTCAACGCCAGCAAGCAACAACGACTTTGATGCATTTGCCTCCAGGGCATCACGCGCCCCTCCTAAACATCAATAGGGCCATAGGGCCAGTCGGGATGGACGCCTGGCACTGGACATCGTCAGCGCCGACATGGAGTCTGAGGAGGAGCAGGATTGTGCCGGGTCCACAGTCGGTCCACAGTCCGCCCAGAGTTGGGTGATCGATTTTAATCGTTGCACCAGTTTGCGTCCCATGTTACGTTCCCCATCCGTCCTCTACTGTATGATGGCGATCGTTATTATGGTGTCATTTTTATATACTTCCGATCCGATCACCGAGGACTGGTTCTGCGCTTTGCAGCCGGTGCTGGTGCGCGCGGCACCGCGGGAGAGCGCGGCCAGGCGTGGAGTGCTGGTCGCCGGACAAAGGATCCAGGCGCCTAACATCGCGAAGCTGGGTTCTGCATTTCGTTATCCCTTCAGCTCAGACAGAGTCAGCTCTGGCCGATTCTGGCCGTCCCTAAACCCTATACTACTTCTCCTTGTGGTCTTGCGTGATGTGGAGGTGCGGCCAGGACAAGTACAGGATTCCGAGGGCAAGTCCTGGATCAGGCTCACACTGCAGGAGCTCTGGAGGTCCTGCCGCGCCGAATCCTCATTGTTGGAGTGAGGGTTTTAGGGTGTAGGGTATAAGGGTTTACGGTTTAGGGGATGTGGGGGCTCGCATGGAAGGGTGGGCGCTTCAATTTATTTCCCGCGCCGAGGCCACGTCCAGAAGTGCTCGGGGCTTCGTGGCCCTGGCCGACGCAGGACCCCAACCAAGAAGCAGTGCTTACCAAAGCGGTCAGAGACGGTGCAACTATTCAAAGCGGGCGAGAAGAGCCGGGCTTGAATGCAAGCATGCACGTATGCATGTGACATAAACATGTACATGCAAAGGGAGTGGGCGCTCATATGTTTTGCATGTATCTATATATGTATGTATATATATATATAAATGCACGTTTACATCCATGCCACTAGATTGCGCGGAGTAGTGCACGGCACGGTCTGCAGCCTGACTTTCCTTTAGTCTTTGGCATCTCCTGAGGAGGCTTCCCTCTTTTCCGCAGGCTCTCAGCAGGAGAGTGCCCACGGGACTCAGAGCAGGCCTGTCCACCACATCTCTTCTGAGATGGCGTGGGGGCACTTGCTGACAGTGGCATCTTTGTTAACTACGCAGGATTTCCAGGGCTTGAGATTTTGGAAGAATTCTGGGCTGCATGTTCTATCCCCCATGGGATGTGGCAGTTTGAACATTGAGTATGTTCATATTCGAACGAGACCGTCTACTTTGATACGGTGCCAGTGGTGCCTCAATCCCAAACATGATATTCCACGACAGGCCTTTGTTTTTGCAGTTCTTTTGTTAGGATCCCCCTGTTCTCTCTCTTTCTCTATCACCCCCTCTCTCTCTCTCTCTCTCTCTCTCGCTTTCTCCATTTCAAGTCTGGAACGGCGAACTACTGTAGGCCCGCTCATGAAGATGCCACACTCCCCCACTTGCCCAATACTAGTAGCCTAAATTGATCTACAAGCCTACTTGTAGTGTCCTGAAGTCGTTCAGCCCTCAAATGCCTTCTGAAGACAAGCCAGCGGACCAAGCTCCGAGTTAAATCGCCTTTTCAATCGTACTGTACATGTAAATTGAAATGTGTAACGCTATATAGTTATCTATATATATATATATGTAATATGTATGAAATACTGGAGAAAATACATGCTTGTAACATGTTGTATATTACATAGTGGGAATCCCGTGGGCTCCCTACGCATCCTTGTGTTCAGCTGGTTGGCTTCCTGCGCTGGTGGCCGTTGGACCCACTGCCGCCCGTCCAGCCTGCCACGTATCTCGGACGGTTCATGGCAGGCTTGGTGCGCGGTTGGGCTCATTCGGGGGTTCAAGGTTAGGGGGTACCTTGTTGGGGTCCTTATTTGAAGGAGATCCTACTATTTGGGGGTCTATCTTGGGGGTCCCTGATTTTCGTAAACCCCCCATTCTGCAAAGGTGCTCGATGACTTGCATCACCTGTCCCGAGTCTGGAAAACTGTAAACTCAACAAGGCATTTGCTTCGTGATGTGTGGGCTGAGGTTTGGTGGTGCATGGCTCTGTCGCTGGCAAGCATCTCCACAAGAGAGTATCAAGGCTGTATCCCCGTGGACGATAAGCCTACTTCTGTTTTGGCGAGTTTGGTGTGTGTGTGTGTGTGTGTGTGTGTGTGTGTGAGTGTGTGTGCGCGCTTTGGGTTGCGACAGTTGGTTCCAGTGCTTCTGGCGATGCCTTTCATAATTTCAGATGTCGGGGCTTCTGGCATCTTGGCGTCCTGTGAGATTGTACGACAAAAGACTCAAAAGACTTAAGTAGGTAAGCATCTGAGCTTTACGCAGTTGAGCCGGTTCTGAAGGCGTACAAGAAATGCTGCAACACATGTCTGAGACCAGCGCAACATGTACTCACTTGGCTGCCTTGGCCTTCGCACTTGACAACATGCACCAATTCAGTACCGTACGTCCGAGAGGCCTGGCAGCTACAGGTGAGGCCAGATTGTGTTTGGGGCGGGCTGAGTGTGTCAGCTTCACTAGGCCAAGTGGCTTGCTGCCGGAGAGCTTCAGCTGGAGTGGGCCTTGATACCGGGCATGCTGGGCATGCTGCAGCATAGCATGCTGTTGCTTCGTAGTTTTGCCCATCTGCGCTGAATCCTGAGCGGTGCTACGTGTCTGTCTGTCTGTCTGTCTGTCTGTCTGTCTGTCTGTCTGTCTGTCTGTGCGTCAACGTGTGTGTGAGAAACTATGCCAGACTGGTGAGGTTGGTCCAGCAGAGACGAAGGCTGAACTTCGTTCCGATGTTTTCTATGCCTGCAAAGTATCTGAGAGCTTTGTGCATGGCTTGCCAGCCGCAGGCGGGTGAGGTGTGCCAGTGGCTTGAGGACGACATCGGTTTTGGAGCGGACTTTTCGGCGACTGGGCTGCCACATGCAATTCTGTGAAGTTTCGTAAGGTCGCAAAGCAAGACCGGTTTCGGGGAGTGCGAATGTGACACCACATGGCCCACCGCATCCTGCAGACTTTTAGTGAGTCTAAGCGGGGCAGCTCACGTTCTTGAACAGCAGTGACTGTCATCCAGGTGCTCCTGATCCAGGAGCCTCTATCAGAGCTTTGCAGTGTGCTGTTTGAAATGAGGGAATGCCAGTATGGACGATCTTCTTTTGAGCCAGGATCTGCCGGGCCTCTGCCGCTGTGCACCCCTCACCTCGAACGCAGCGATGCGCGGTGCGAGGGGCCCCAGTCTTCACATGCCTTTCGCATCGCAGGAGTTGTCTTGCCTCAGGCATTTAAGTTGAGGAGCTATGTGCCTGTGTGATCCTGTGTGCCTACATTCCTTTGGTGCAACACTTGTCTTCGTGATGCTTACTCAAGATACGTGACAAGTGTATTGTGTTTCGACACCGATTTTTTCTCCGTCTCGCCAGAGAAAGGATACCCTGACAGCCTCAGTACAACCTGAAGGAGCATATACCACGGAGGCACTAGGTAGCACAGCAAACAGTCTTCACAGATCCAATGTCTCCTGTGTCGGGAGCCATGCCGGCCGATGACGAGGCCGGCCCGGTTTCAAACAGTTTCAACAGCAAGGATAAGATTTGACCTGATGGCGGTATTGAATATTGCTTGCGGAAGCGCTGTTGGGACCATGTGTGTGTGTGTGTGTGTGCGGCAGGAGCAAGCCAGATCCCAAAAGGCGGGCTACCCAAACGCAGCTCCCGTAGATCCAGGCCGCTTCACGTGTGCGTTCATAGCACATCGCTTGCTTTGTCACAGCTGCTGCTTTAGATATTTTTAACGTACGTTAGCAAGTTGCCCAGTCGCTCATGAACCCTCCGTGAGGGGTGGGGATATCTGTGGATTGCCAAGGTATTCCCCGAATCACACCGGAAGTCCTGCTGAAATCCTGCGTGGAGAACCGTGGCTATGAGACGCCGGAGCTCAATGAGGTTCTAATTCTTCACTACAAAGGTGTCTCGGTGCCTGCCCACAACTGCGGTTGATGACATGATAGATGATCTTAACGTGCAAAGTTTTTCGTTGAACTCTGGGAGTTGAGTTGTGGTCCGTGGAGGCTTTCGCAAGATTGAGGGCTTGGATGCCTACTGGAACGTCCGCTCGCTCTTTCTCGAATGCAATGGGATCAGGAAGCTCGAGAATTTGCAATGCATGCCAGAGCTGGTCTCACTGCAGCTCGGATGTCTATCGCCTGGTAACTTTCGTTCATTATATGGCCGTATGGTTGGCATCCTGTTTCGAAGGTATGTGCAGTCCAACTGCATCGCTGAGATCGAGGGCCTCGATACTTTACAGAACCTGCAGTACCTGAACCTGGCGCACAATAGCCTCAGCCGAGTGCAGGGATTGCAGAACCTGCGCCGACTGGAAACCTTGAACCTTTCTGCACCTTGGTCGCAAGGGCCAGGCAGCCAGATCGTCTTGAGTCAGTTTCTTTCTGAGGCCAACAAGTTGGAGGATGTCGCCGCGCTTGCGCCTTGCTCGAGAATGAATACTTCCCATGAAGTCTGCAGGATGGAAAGCGTCTAAATGCCAAAAGAGCAGCAAACACCTGCCCCAAGCTTGAAGCAAGCAGAAACCAGAATCCCATAACCCCACGTGCTTGAGGATTGAGCAGTATTGACTGTGCAAGGCTTCGATCGTTCTGAGGCTGGGATAGCCGAAAGGCCAACCTTGAAGAGCGTGGACGTCAGCTGCCCCTCGGACAGATGCTGGTCGGGCGAATGGGGAGGGGCAAGCGTGGTGCACTTAGCTGCAAGTCCCAGCGTTTGAGAAGTATCAAGGCTCAAGGCAGTTGTTCTCTAAGTGTTCATAACTTCTTGGTAGAGCTTGTTGGTTAGCTCATCACCTCAACCTTGTATGCTGTCATGGAGGGATGTTTCGAGTCTAGGGTATGCTCCCGGAAAACACCCGCCCTCCGCTTGGGTTCTTTGTTTCCTCAATTGCTTTTTTCGGGCAGGGTGTGGCTTCAAGAAAATGTGTTCTCGTTTGGGGTAAACCGGACCAACCGTGTGACTCAGACTGCGCCTTGATGTGCTCAAGTTGTGTTACACCCGGCTTTGCGAGGCAACTACTTCGAGGAAGGTGAGCCACTCCTCAACTTCTGGAGCGAACATCTCCCACAGGTCAGCTTACATATATATATATATGTATAGGTATAGATAGAAGTGCATCATTTGTGTTTTCTGTTGGTTGTGGGGGTGGGGGTGGGGACTGAGAGGGGTTTGGGGCGGTTGCCTCGTTCTCTCCGGTGTTGCTTCTTGGCAATTCCGAGCCACCACACTGGTCAGGAGAGACAGTCTCAGTGAGTGCTCTGCAGTAGTCGGAGTGCGGCGCTGCATATCTCAGTATGGTTAGCCATGATTGATCTCAGCTGCCCTTCAGGTGGAATGTCTGTACATACATCACAACCCGTGCTCGAGGGCACTCAAAGATGCCAGAAGAAGCTCGGTTTGAACCAAGACTTGTAGCTTCTCTTCATGGATGACAATTTGCCAAGATTTCTATTCAGCTGAGTCTTGCTTGCGAAGCCCTAGGCTTAGCAGCAGGATGTGTACTGTAGCTCACGGCAGCTGCTCAAGGACGCTTGGTGTCCACCCTGCCCAAGCTACGCTGGATCGACGAGCGCCCCGTCACCGCCATGGCCGCTGGGGCATTGGGCACGGGGTGCAAGATTTTCGGGGTATGTTTGCATCTCCTGAAGTCCGTTTGCACATCTGTGAACTCAGGAAAGAGCCGGCTGCGAAGCCTGGGCGCAGGGAGGAAAGGAAGCGGAGCTCACTGCCAAGAAGGACCACTGATGTCGTTGCACCACGTCCCCGAAAAGCTCTTGTTTCCTGCGCGTTGGCGCTTGCCTGCCTTTGCGACCTTCTGAGAAGCAACCTGAAGGAGTTCTGGCAGAAGGAGAAGGACGAAAAGCAGCGCAGTTTTGATAACTTCCGCCGCGTCCAGCAGGCCACCTGAAGCACTGCTCTGTCTTGGACCGATGTTCTAGGGGGTCGGTTCGGTTGCGCAGGTGCTAGAATTCTGCTCCGTTCATGATTAGCGTGTTGGCTGGCTGCCGTACGGACACCGGGGAGTCCGAAATTTTGGGGTCGAAATAGATCGCGGAAAATTCAACTAGATTGTTGGGGGTGCCTTTGACGAGTGGGGGGAGTCAAGATTTTCTAAACGAATTCTACGCGGTGGTGGGGAGGCGGGGGAGAAGGGGCGAGGAGTCTAGGTCTAGGATGGCCTAGGGTTCGTTCGCATAGCATAGCTTCGTGTGGCCTTCCTAGTTTTGCCTGAGGCGTACGCAGAGCGCGCCAAGGCACAGCGGCAGGCTGAGGAGGCGCGCAGCGCGGCGCGTCAGCAGGCCGAGGCGGACTTGGAGAAGACAGGCTCCTCCACCCTGGAATTGAATAAATAAACTGAGTTCCATGCGTTGCCTGATCACCCGCCTCCACGTGCAGACACTTACAAGTAGCTCGGATGAAGCTTCGTTCCGTCCGGTTGCTGTGGTCGTGTGGAGGCGTTTTGGCCGACGGCTTCGTGCTAATGCCAGACAAGACGAGACCTGCCACAGCTCCTGCCGGTGGATATCCATCTCATGCGGAGCAGAACAAGGAGGTCCTGGCCAAAGTCCAAGCGATCTTGATCAGCCGCAAGGAGCAGGCGAAACAGGCAGCCAAGGATGCGGAGATGTCGGAGATGGTCTCTGAGGCCCATGAGGCCCATGAGGCCCATGAGGCCCATGAGGCTGATAAGGACAGCCCAGCAAGGGGAGCCAAGCTGGAGCCCTGTGAGCTGGCTGACAAGGAACATCAGCCCCTGGAGCAAAATGCCACGGACTCGCATGCGGAAGGGAAGTCGGAGAAGCTGGAGCCAGAGGCCACCTCAGTAGACTCAGTGGTGACTGTGAAGGCCGCGAAGGGTGAATACCATCCTGTGCGGCAGCCGACAGGCGAACTTGGAGATCTCGACTGATCGTGCTCGTGAAAATAATGCTCCGGTCTGCAAGTACTGAGAGGATGGAAGCTGGATGCAAGGGTTACTGTATTTACACCGCAAGCTGACTCCAGGTCGCACAGCCATTCTGTGCCATATCCCAACGGCGGCCTCGATTGTGCTTGGCGAGAGAGGTGCCTGGTAGAAGCCGTCGTTGTTCCGGTGTTTTGGGCCAACGAAGACCCTGGCATCAAGTTGTAATTAAGGTGGGCGGCTTTCGGTTCCTTCATCCCCTTTTCAGCTCATCTAAGCTCTCTTTAGGTCTCTGTGTCGCTCTGGCAGGGTCCTCTGCGCGAGATCCTAGGCTGGGCGCCTGAGGGTGCTCCGCCAGCGTGCTGCGCCTTCGATGCAGAGAGTCAGGCCCATCGCCACGGGCAATCGTTCGATGCCATTGTCTGAATCTGTTTATTCTGTGTAAGCAGAGTTGCCCTTGGCTCAGCAAGGACCATCAGCAGTGAGCTTCGATAGCCAGTCAGCCGTTGCAGCGCAAGCACGTCTGTAGAAAGCTGGCGACAGCTAGCCTTTCACTCTCATTGTTAGCAGGTACGGGCTGCAGCTTCTCTTCCGGGGCTTATTGTGGGGTGGGCCGAGGAGGGGCTGTGTGAAGTGGGAACTGTCGTGCAAACAGGCTCAGGCAGATCTCGAGGTAAATTGAAGTTCGCAGGCACATGCAAGCACCAACACCGCCAACAAAGCCAGCCGTCCAAACATGTGGGGGGAGGCGTAGGAACAATGGCGACGACGACAACAAACAACAGCCGCAGTAGGGCTCAGAAGCAGCTGGCGCCATTCATCAGTCGGGGCGGGCTCCACTTCCCGCCTGTAATGGCAGTAGCCGAATTTTCTGTTGCTTTCGTTGGCTCTGGCCGTGTCAATTGCTGTCGCAGCATGCGTAACGGCTAGCAGTTCAGTGCCAGGTCTCGGAGCACGTGCTCGCGAGTTTCGAGGCTTGCAGCTGCTGGGCCTGGGTCATTACGGGTCAATACCAAGTGCAGCTTATGTAGATGCGCAGACAGTGTCGCGGATGGGAAACAGCAAATTGAGTCTGGGGAGACAGTGATGAGACAGGGCAAAGCCCATAGCGTAAGCTAGTCGAGTACGGTTGTTCAGTCTTGCATAACTAGGATCCATACGGATCTGCAGTGAAGAGTATTGTGCGCATGGCGGCCTGTTTCATGGCACGCCTGAGGCATTGAGCCAGTTGATGGAGGCCCTCGGCAAATCTCGATCCATGTTAGCGTCTGTTCGGGATTCTGTTGCCGGGGGGTTGGGGGAGGGCCAGGGGGGCATGGGGAGAGTGTGGGAGTGTGGGAGGGGTATTTGTGTCACATCTGTGCCACACGAGGAGCTCTGTCTGCCAGACCACATGGCTCCGGGTGTAGTCTTCACGGTCACGCCTGGAGAGCTCCCGCTTCCAGAGGCCAGCATGGGAAGTCAAAACAGAGCTGGAGCTGAGATCAGCCTCGGCAAAGAGTGCTACATTGCAGATGGCGCCTTTCTCTTGATGCTCACAGGTCATTGCCCACGCTTTCGGATTCAGTGCTGCCGAGAGGCCAGAAATTTGATTGTCCACATCTGCCCACTCAAGTCCTCAATCAGCATGGTTTTTGCTCCGCAGATCCAGTGCCTGAGGGAGACATGCCGGCTGAAGCCTTGCACCACGCATTCGTGCTTTGACTGGGCCGAGAAGGCCAGGACGTGAGCGAAACCCAGAATGTCCTCGAATGCAGTCTGACTTCGGGGATCCTGAGTGTATGTGATCATAGTGTTGTCCAGCCCGCCTCTTAGATGCCTCGGTGCTACCTAGCTCTCAACACGCTGATGATTGTCAACGTTTGACAACATACTAGTACTCCTAGTGTGGGGCTTGCTCACAGCTTCGCAATGCACCTTCTGTGAAGCCATCATGTCTACAGGATCTACAGGTTTCTGGAGGCAAATCTAGTCTCTGACATATCTGGGGTGCGCTAGATCATGAATCTGGGCAGGAAGGGAAGGCAGGTAAGTGCCTTCGATTCAATGTGCAAGCGTCGTGTTCTCTGACTTAATGGTCAGGATGCGGGCGTCCACGGCGAGAGCAACACGCTCAGCCAGAAGGCTGAAGTAGCATGGCGGAGTGAATGAGACATCTTGACGGGTGTCTGTGTCCGCTGAGGAGTAATTGGAAGATCAACATTATGTTGTCTCGGTTATTGGCCCCGATGTGTCTTATGACATATGAACTATGACCGTCTCGCAGCCGACGTCTGCAAGTTGTCGAGCCTGACGAGATAGCCATTCCATGCGCTTCCCCTATTTTAGCACAAAGCCGTCATGCAGTTTAGGTAGCAGGATCCAGGAAGAGGAGTGGTGTTACACGGTTTAAACCACGGAACAGGCTGCCGTCGCTTCTGCTCGGCGCCGTGCTGATGCAGGGGCCCTGCTTGCGGACTTCGGGCGCCTTGGACAGCAAGGCTGCGGCTAAAAGCCCGGCGCAGGATCCCACGCGAGATAGACTCAAAATCTCAACATCTGCTGCCATCTGGCTGTCACAGCTGCAAGGACCCTGTGCAGCTTTGAAGTGGAGATCGCCCGTGTCGGCTGTCCGGTCCTGCAATTGGACTTAAACTCTGAAACCCCGAGGTGTAAGAAGCTTGCACTGAGTGGCACACTTGTGAGGCAACAAGCCCTTGCACTCGTATTTCGTGCTTGCCAGCCAAGGTACTGCGCTCGCAACGATGCCTTGCTGGGAAAACCGGTGCTCGGCATTGCTGCAGTACGATGCTATCGTCAGCCAGACCCTGAGCCAGGCAGGAACATGCAGGAAGTGCAAGAATGTAAATCATACAACATGTGTAGCGACGATGCTGCCGTTCTGTGAGACGAGCCGCCGCCCTTGGCGCCTGGTCTGGCCATCACGTTGCTGCAAGGCGGTGCATGGACGCGCTGTGTCAAGTTGGTAGTATATGTGGTAGCATGGACTGTTCTTCCGGGCAGCTACAGGCTTGTCAGGCGACTCATCCCAGATTTCGGCTAGTCGCAGCTGGACCGTGGCTTGTCCGGCAGACATTCGAAAGCTGATGCTTGTGTGTTTCATCTTGCATCTCATGTCCCCCGACATGGCTCATCCGCTATCATCGGTCTAGGTGCGCGAGCTCAAAGAAGTCATCAAGAAAGAGACTGGGATCCCTGAACACCAGCAGAGGCGTGCCTACAAGCCAATCTTCGAAACATTGCACGGTGCAGCTGAGATTATGCTTCCCACTGTCCACACTGTCGAACATGTCGGTGTCGTGTTGCGCATCTTTCGATGTTGCACAGGTTGGTCCTGGCCTCTTCGCAAGATGCTGTTGAGGAGCCAACAATGTGCACGCTGTGCCCCCACTCTACGGTCCTTCAGTGAAGCACACACTAAGTACACCGTACGAGCCCCTGACTAGCCGTCGTTTAATGCGAGGAGAGTAGGGATGGAGTCATATTCCCATAGTGGTCCTGTATTGAAAGCTATGCACCCTATAAGGGGTATATGAGATATACGTGATTTACTATACCGCAGTACAAGATCTTCAAGATGTACGGCACTAATGTTTTCTGAAGGTGATGCCGCTCCTTCTCTCTTATGCGTTTACCATGTTGCCATCCTATGATGTACGGCTCGATCTTGTAGATACTCGTACCATACAGAAAGAACTCCCTTGTCATGGTGCTTCGCCCTTGTTTTCGGAGTGTAAACTGAGCTGCTCAGCACACGAAACTATGCCAGCTTCGAAGTTCTGAGGACCATCACATCCTCGGGGATTTGTCACCTGAGGCAGGGGGCTCCCGTTTGGAGACTGCACCATTGGAAGCTGACCTGCTTGTGCCGCAGGCCGGACTTTCGTTGCAATTGCTTTGCTTGGAGCCACGCTGGGCAGCGGCCTGGCAGTGCGTGGGTGAGGCGATTCTGCAAAGATTGCTATAGAAGCACCCTGCACAGCATCCTGCCGCGTCTTCGGGTTGATTTGCGCCTTTTTTCTGGCAGGAGCCAGAAGCATGGGAAGACCTGGAAGAGGCTCTGTGCCCCGTTCCAGACAACTCCATTTAGAAGATAGCTGTGGTGGGGGAGGAAGGGGCATTGGAAGGACCTTCAGCGCGATCGAGACCTGATATTGCTGGCAGTCTCGCAGCGTCCCGCCTTGCTGCGAGGAAGCGGCTTCACAGGCCCCGGCAGTGCTGTTGTGAACTTTCGGCTGTGTTCAGTTGGTGCACGGCGCATTGGCATGCCGCGATGTAGTGAGTTGCATCATTTCAGAAATGCTGTGGCCTTAGTCAGTGAGGAGATGCAGAAGTGGTTTTGGCGGCTGCAAGCAAGGTCCACAGAAGGGGTCTGTGAGCTTCTTGAGTTCTTCACTGTATTTACCTTCAGAGACAAACGTGTGATTCTTGCAGGACTCATCTCTGTTGGATGACGTAGCTTGGTTGAATCTAGAAGGCACAAGATGCCGCAATGCTGAAGCTGATGCAGAGAAGGCAAGGCCCACCTAAGGCCACCTGCCCATGCAAGCAACGAAGAACTGCGTGACTAAGGCTGACCATCACCTCTGGCTTGACGACTTTTTTGCAGAAGCTGCCTCTGCCGCTTGTCAGGTTCAGGTGTTGGCTGAGCTGAGCTACGTCGAGCTGCTAGCAGAATGAGCTCTAAAGAATCGAGCATATTGAGACGCGATTATTGGAAGTCGACCACGTGGCATGTTGCTACATGCCCTGATCTGCGTAGGGTCCTCGTAGGCACTGTGTCTATGTCGTCTAGGCGCGCAGGTCCGCGTAGGTTGTCGGTATATAGTAATGTGTGGCAGATACCGCAGATTAGAAACACCTTTGCGGATAGGTGTGGTATGGTGTGGTACAAGGTTTCAGAGCATGTTTACGAAGGGTTCGGTAGGAATTGCGCGGGTTAGGAAGTCCCTTAAACATCTCTGGTTTCATATAGGGAGTTCCGCGTAGGAAAGCTTGTGCGAAGACATAGATCTCATTTTCAATGTCGGAGCCCTGTGCATGTTCCCCGTGTGGGCACAGAACCGATCAAACCCATGGCGTTTGGGGAGAACGCGGCACACCTAGCAGAACGCCCCGGTACCCTGCTAGTCAAAACAGTTGCGCGTGGCTTGTGTGAGGGCTTGGCGCGCAGGTCTGCGCAGCCAACCAATCATTGAATCATCAACCACATACTCAGCGCGTAGGCCGCGTGGCTACAAAACATGAGTTCGCGCGTAGGCACGCGTAGGATGTCAATATGCAATGACAAGAGCATACACAATGAAACAAAAACATGCTCAATTCCTTGCCCTCTGCCCGAGATTATGAGACGTTTGAGTGAGCGCGTTGCTCTCTTGTAAAAGGTTGTTTTCCGTTGTTCCCGATGTTCTTGGATGTTCATAAGAACCCCCCCCCCCGTTTCTGAGCACCCTGGCATCAAGACGACATTGCTGGCACAAGGCAAGAGTCATGCCAGGTGCACGGAGGTGCCGAGGTGTGTGTATGCAGGTTCAGGTGCCCAGCCATGGCCAGCTGAAAGAAGCGGCTTCAGATGCAGCAATCTCAAAATAGGGACTCTCGCCCCCTTTACGGCCTTTTTCCGTTCAAGATGTTGCCATCTGAACGATCTTTGCCCTAGTGTGGTATTTTGTGCAAGCCGCCATGTACCGACTAATTGTGGTTTGTGATATTCACTGCGGGACACAGCACATCTTCGGCATAAATTCGTGGCTTGCAGAGGTCTATGGCGCTGCAGCTTTGCGAAGCGCTGGGGCGGCCCAGCGCGCGCTGCGCGGCGAGGAGGCAAAGTCACTGATCCTGCTGTAGACACGTCTGCCAAGCGTTCAGCACCATGACCAGGTGAACAGCAGTGGACCAGGCCAGCGCCTCATCCGTTTTCATCCTTTTCTGGTCGGTGCTGATTTGTCCCCACACCTAGATCGCCTGCACACTAAATCGAGTCTGCTCCTGACACAAAAAAGACTCGCCCGAGCCAGAATGGAAGCAGCTCGCAGCAAAGCACCGCGAGTTGGCGAAAGCAGCGCTGAGCCAGGAGCTCCCGTGCGTGCCAAAGAAGCGCAGAGAGCGGGTCTACAATACTTACAACTCGTGCGATTGGCTATGGATGATATGGGCACCCTCAGCCTCAGTGGAGTGAAACATCCAAGAAAGCGGGTACCAGTACTACTAGTAAGTTACTAGTACTACAGTTAAAGAAGTGACCACTTCGCAGGATGGCAGGGCACTGGAAGCCTTGGACGTGGAGCTCCGTGCAGATGCCGAGTTGGCCGGGCTCTTGGACGCTCGGTCTTCCACTTTGTAGGCCTCTTCTGACCGCAATTCTGCAGCTTCAACTTTTCAATGAGAATGCTGACGCATCCAGTCACATTCAGCTGGTAACTTGGATGCCCAGTCCGAGGTTCGCATCGCCACTGAGAATGATGCCAGAGCGCTGCAGTTTGCAACTGAGGCACTCCGGCCGGTGGTTCTGTGCGCAGCCCCCAACGTGCCGTTGTCGTCGCACACCTGCTCTTGCCGCCCGTTCCAGGACTTGCGCGACGATGCTGACTTGGTTCTCGCCGCCATCCAGCGACGGGGGCAGGCACGAGTAATGTTGGTGGAATGTCGTGGCCCGCAGGTGGGGAGAGGTACGTGACTTGTTACTTCTGTCCTTTGGGTCACTTGCGACTTCGTCGCTCTTGAGACTTCTCGCTCTTGGCGCCTTTTGGGGGCCGGCTTCCCGTTGAAAGCACAGCATTTTATCTTTCTGCAGGCCTCTGGACATCTGCAAATGGGTAGGGCATATCATTCCAACAGACTATGCCATGGGTTCCGTCTCTAAAGAAAGTCAAATTAGAAAAGTTGCAAGTGACCCTCGGAGATGTTTCTAGAGCAAATGATCGAGAAGTCGAGACTGAAACGAAAAGTCAGAAGTGGCCCACCTCTCCTGGTGCTAGAGTCTCAGCTGCATTCAAAGGTTCACGTTCGGGCGTGTGTCGGGGAGGTCTTGCGCTGGGCCTCGGCGCGGCTGCGAGCGGACAGGCTCCAACAGTGCGCACAGCTTTCCAGCCGGGTAGTAAGGGTAGTACGGGTAGGAAGTTTAGCTGCAAACTTCTGCAGGGACATCGTGCTGGCGGCCATAGAGCAGGCCGCTATGGTGGTTTGACATGGAGTGAGGCAGCAAAGCTTCCGTACGTGCTTGCTCAGGTGTTTGTTAAAATAGGCCTAGGCCTAGGCATGCCCAGGCCCAAATGCCACTTCGTATGCACGCAGCCCCAGGATCCACGTGCCGTGCTGTTTGCTTCGGAGGAGTTGGCTCGGGACAAAGAGGCCGACCGCAACATGTCCACCTTTAAAGGTCTTTACTGGCGACTTCCGGTTCTACTCGCATCTGTACACCGCGTCTATACTGTTGCATCCTAACTTGATGGAAAGCTGCCGCACAAACTTGTTAGTGATTTTGCTGCTGCAGCAGCACCAACAGCAACAGCAACAGCAACAGGAACTCCAGGTTTGATCAAGCCTGATGCTTGGAACTGTTTTGCCGGAAAAAAAGTTTTCAACACAGGCCCGAGGCATTCGTTTATGATCAGAATTGAATTCCGGTTTCTGTACTTGTCTATTCAATTGTTTTCTGCCCTCTTCAAGAACACTTATTGAAGTGTAGGAAGCCGTAACAAGCATTGCGAAACACCATGCACTTGTTTTCATTCAACTACATGCATCCATTTCATAGATACTGCAAAAGAATGCTAAGCAAGTCCCGCTTCCTCATATGGTACCCCCCCCCCCCCCATTCATGCACTTCAAGAAGAGTTGTTTGAGGGGGGGTTGCCGCCGGAGATTTGCGAAAGCCCCTGAATTCCCAACTTGAAGGTGAGGCCTCTTGCCGAGGGCCTGTCATTAGATATACCATGGTTGGTAGCTACAAGTTCCAATGGGAACCTGCAACAGTTGGGCTGGCGTCGTCGTCCATTCTGGTGTCGTTGAGATCAGACCCTAAACCCTAAACCCTAAACCCTAAACCCTAAACCCTAAACCCTAAACCCTAAACCCTAAACCCTAAACCCTAAAGGTGTTGCTGGCGGCGATGTCCAAAGACCCCTGCCTTGCCGTCCACCTGGCCAATGTCGCCAGAGGGACCGGCCGACCAGGTTTGAGCGTTCCCTCTCTCTCCTTCTCCCGCTCTCTCCCTTTCTCTCCTTCTCTCTCCCTCTCTCCCTCTCTCTCCCTCTCTCTCCTTCTCTCTCCTTCTCTCTCCTTCTCTCTCCTTCTCTCTCCTTCTCTCTCCTTCTCTCTCCTTCTCTCTCCTTCCCTCGCTCCCTCGCTCCCTCGATCCCTCTCCCTCTGAACTCTGCGTGTGGGCACCGCCCATGTCAGATTTTTGCAGCGTTTGTGCCGAGATTCACCGGCCGCCCTTCACCATCTGGCCTTGCACTCCATGCCAGTACTGCCAGTACTTGCAGCAGAGGATTGAAGCTTCTCAGAAAACACCACGCTGCAGGATTGCCTGAGCTCACTCGCAGCATTCGCCGGCTCGGCGAAAAGTGTCGGTGCAGATGTCGGACCGGTAGACTATGAGTAGGCTGCAGTTCCTCAACAGTCGCACAGAGCAAACAGTCCATAAATTTCCTGCAGTTAGAGTGCCTTTCAATGCCGTCAAGCGCAGGCAACTGCGCTGCAGCATAGGCGACATGGCCAGCTCCTCAGCGTTTGTTCACGCAGCTTGAGCGCATGCGCCACGCCGGGCGGCATCTTTGAGGTTGTTCGCCTGCACTCTGCAACTGTACTTAGACTTAGACATTCCGAAAACGTAACCAAACCGAATGTCACGCGGAAGGAGATGATTTGAGATGCTCCACTAGTTTATTGATCTGCAGGCATTCTGCGAGATGCCCTTTGGACAGCTTTGGAGGCAACATGGGTCAAAAGAAAGCTGAAAGGCTCTACGGAGAAGAACAGGTGCTGGCAACATAAGGGGCCAATATGCGAATACTCTCACATCATAATAATATCGCCTGTGTGCCAGGATGCCGGGCTTTACATGGAGCGAGTAGCACTTGTTTCTGGCACGCCGGGCTCTGAGTCTGCAGTCATTGTAGAGTCATTGTAGACTCTGAACAGAGATAAGCTCAAGGTAGGTCTCAACTTGAGTAGCAGGCTCAAGTCAAGCACGCGGATTGTTTGTGTTTGAACGTCTAGTGCGGGTCCCCGCGACAGCATCGCAAGAAGGTGTGTTGCGATCATTGCTTGGATGTTCACTGCCACCTTTCCTGGTCCGGGGGAGCGGACTCAACAGTTTACTTTGCACATGCCACTGTGCCAGGAATCTGTATGTAACACCAGCCAAGTCGCCGCAAAAGGAGGGCAAGGCTTCGAGTAGGTGCGACAGAGTTGGGTGAGTCCACGACGCGGCAAAGGCCGGGCGAGTCCAACAGCAACCCGGTGATCCAAGCAGACGCTTTGCAGCGGGGCGTCCAAGGGTGAATGAAGCAAGGAATGACGGAAAGCAGATCAAGCGAGGTGCAGCGAGACGGACGGCGCTGTCGACGAGGCATAGACTAATAGAGACTGCTGCGGACCCACAGTTGGACCGTTTGGACCCCTGCACAGCACCGCTTCGCAATGTTTTGCTTTCAGGCGTGGGTCTTGGGCTTCACGCCGAGTGCGGTTAGGCGAGAAGCAGAAGAGCAGAGGCCAGCTATTGAATGGTACAGTTACTGTAGCTCAAGGGACAAAAGCAAGTGCCAGTGCAGCCTTCAGACGATCGGATCCTAGAAGCGAAACACAGCAACTCAGCTCAACTTCGCTCTCAGACGCCCTCTTCCCCGCCATTCTGGAATCTTCTCTGTGCAACATACAAGCCTCTTCGCAGGCTTGCCACGCGTAGAGCCTGCAACTGAGCGATGCTGTGCCATCAGCACAGAACTTCGCAATGTTGTGCTGATGTGCTTCGCAGGTCTTCAGGTTGAAGACCCCAGAAGGTTTGATCAAGACCTTCATACGGTGGAAGCCTTTCAGGTGCAAGCGCAGAGTCTCAGAGAGTCTCTCAGAATCTCTCAGAGTCTCAGACTTCCTCAGAAACCTCAGATTGAGACCGTTCAGCACCAGGCGCTCGCCTGGTCTTACTGATGGAGAGGCGGCCGGCGCCCTAGAAAGCAGGGAAGATGCCAGGAGGATACTGTGGAGTGGAGTTTCGATAAGGTTGAAGCAGACTCGGAGTTCAACTCCGCGCAGGCGCCGGCTAAGACGTCAAATCTCAGCGTTCTGCAATGTTCTGGACGCTTTCCTGTTGCCTCAAGCTAAGCAGCTACCCAATGCCACTCTTTTACTCTCCGGTGCAATGACTGGGCACAGCTGCGGTCCAGCATCTTAGAGATGATGAGCCAACGGAAGCCAGTGGCGTCTAGTGAGTCTGCTGGATCCCAGTATACTTGTCCACTCTTGCGCGTGCCGCCCCAAGCCACGGGACGCGCACGTCGACGCTGCACTTCGGAGTTGCCAGGGGTTGCAGACATGCATTGCAACCGCGGGTTGAGGAAAGAAGACGCCGGAGTGCAACGACCTGTAGACCCGAACAGAGAAGGTGTCCCAAAGGTGGGGACCCAACACTCCCAAAGAGGGTGCTAGGGCGCCCAGGAAAGTCTAGGCGGGTCCCCTAAGGGCGGGGAGGTCAGAGTTTTTGCTCCACCCTCTGTAGGAACGGCCCACGCAGGCGGCAGGCCTCCCACAGCCTCGGATTGCACAGAGCTTGAGGGGGGTGTGTGGGTGTGTGCTCGTTCCAGACGCCTCTCAACCAAATCTTTTGTTTTTTTAAAGGTGATTGGGTTGGGCCATGAAAACTTTGAAAGCATTCTTCCTTACTTCTCTGGCGCCGATTTCGCCATCGACTGTTGCCAGCACATCCAAAGCTTGGCCTCGAAAGTCGAAAAGCCCAACAGAGCTCTGAAGAATTCAATGCTCGATGTTCCGAGAAGAAAGTCACGCCGACGTCATGTTCTTTGATCATGTGGCTTTCAGCTGGGGGCGCACTTGCTTCTGAGAGTTGCCTTTCGTGTCTCATTGCGTTTTCCAGAGCTTCTCTCGTGCACAGCTGGGCCCACCTGACAGGTTCTTTCACTGCTCTACCGCTGCGCTTACCAAGCGGTCCTACCCAGGCAGCCGCTGTGGATGTTTGGGCGGATTGCGCTGCCTGCCGCAGCTTTTTCTTCGGGCACAAGTGCAGAGGTATAGCGGACTTTGTTGAATGCCTTCGAGCGCAGTTCATATAATCACGTGCAGTGGAATAGGGTTTCGGCAAGAACCCCGGAGTTGTCGGTAGGGGAGAAGGGCTTGCTGCGAAAGGATGTCAGGCAAGAAATGGTCTCCCCGTGAGTTAGCAGCATCAAACACAGCCATTGGGCATCACTAACTTTGCAGTCCGCGGATTTTCAAGGATGCGTGCAACTGCATGAAGGAATTACGGAGCCTACACAGTACCAAACCTCTCCTTTGTAGTGTATACTATATACTGACCGGAGACGGTTGTTCGGATACTTCTCTCTCTCTCTCTTTCTTTGCTGGCCGGGGAACTTTTGGGATCTGCCAAGCGCAAGCCCAACGAGCAGGCCTGCGCTTGCGAGAAGCCTGTTGACTCATTGGTAGTCGGGCTTCAAATTTCGAGGACGAGCGTCGACCTGGCAGAGGAGTTTAGAGTGCGGGACTCGAGACTCACGTGCTAAATCTGCTAAATGCTGCTAAGTTCGCTTTCTGTATGACTTGTGCACGGCAGATGCATACGGCCAGTAGCCAGTATCCTGTGACGAGGACTTGGACCTCTTGTGCCAGAGACATTCGGCCGGAGGCTGAGCTGCCTGCAGGGACACCCCCCATCTGATTTCACAGAGAGACCTCTCCCGGACTTTTCTGAGGTGCTGTCATTGTCTCTTCACGGTGGAGTTGTGGAAAAGGCCCGGTCAGCCCAAAAGTCGAGAGGTTGAAAGCGAACGCTGCCACTTTGACGCTGGCCTTCGTCACCTGTGTCACCTTGTTTTCAGAGGTTCTGTTAGCTTAGCAGTCTCGGTGTATCATGCCGTTGTGGAGCAGCGAGTCAGCCGCCCCTGACTGGAGGGCGTTAGAGACTTGGCTTCAGGTTACCGCCCTCCATGATCCATCGAAAAGTTGGGCCCTCGGCAACGTTTTGCACAGAACGTCAGCGCGCTATAGACATCGACTGACATGCATTGATCCCGGACATCGCACAAAACAGCTGCCTTGACAAGGGCTCAGCTGTCGCTTTGACATGGTCACCTAATCGTGCCGGATTCGGCCTCTCGCAAACATCATTTTTAACATCTTCAGCAACAAAGTCTCATTGCAAGCGTGAGGCCATCGCCTCTACGAGGTTTGGCCACAATTGACAGGAGGGTTGGCTCCAGCTGCAGCCTCAAAGGGGAACGGTCTCCATGAGGAAAGGAAGGTTGAAACTGAAGCCTTGCCATTCTTTGCCCATGAGTGTCTACAACCTCGCTTGCGCTGAAAACGGGCGTCTACTCTCGTGATGCTCCATTAGAGATGTGCAGTCAAAGCGCCCGAAACAGCCTCCAATCGTTTCCAAACCACGTGCTCAGATTCCCATCGAGAGCATTGTCACCTACTTCGGCATCCATACTGCCGAGGCATTTCCCCACTTGATGGGAGTGAGGCTGACAGATTGACAGAACGACCACATATCCCACTCGCAGGAATCACAAGGGTTCCGTTAGGAAGTACATTGGCGCTCGAGTACTGCAGCACACACTTGTGAACCTGTGTAGAAATGTGCAGGCGCCTGGGCACTGCTTCTTCTCACATATGATTGAGAGATGCTGCGATCGCACGAGAAACCTCGTGGGGCGTGCACACGTGATAGAGTCGACTAAGAGGAAGACATCACTCGTCGTGTTCTGTTGGGTTAAGGTCCCACCGCCATTTACCCCCCGCCCATCCCCTACGGTCTGAGAGTGGAATGTCGAAACTGACAGCCCCGAGATTGAGCAGCTGCCAAACTGAAGAGGATTGGACAGCCCTCCTGAGCAAAGCCTTGTGACCTTGTGTTCTGCCTTCTAGTGATTCTAGTTAGCATCCTCGATGAGCAGTGGCCCTGCGCGAGTATTTCGCCTTCCTGCACGAGTACGCGACGTGGCTACTGCTGCCTGCCGTTCTGGGCATTGCAGTGCAGGCTCCGCGGGGGGGTCGGGCACAATGCTGCTGTCAATGAATGTCCATGACAAAATTCTTTGAGGAATCTCACGGCCGAGCCGCAAATCTCAAGCGGCCCAGCGCAGGTCGCACTGAGCTTCGGACACGACGAGCTCAATGAGGTCCGCTCAAAACCTCTTGCGAGTTGAAATGCATCGTCGTACCCTCCTCGGCGAAAAACTGCCGGAACAGTACGGGGGGTACTGCCCTTGAGGCAATTAAGTTTCGGCAGGCATGGTTTGTCACCGTGATTTGCGCTTGTGCAGGGTCTGTGCTGGATCTCGATGGGGGGGTCGAGAAATGCCTGCGGCATTTTCCAATCCCCCCTACCCTTAATCCAAGGGGGATATCGTCGTCAGTGCGCGTTCGCATAGTTGCGTGGCTTTTTGGTAGAAGAGGTTCTGCATGAGAACTTTAATTTCCAGATGCTGATCTTGGGCATTGCTCTGCAGGTCACGGAGCCGGGGCCCTGCAAGAAGCTGTTCACGATTTTAGTTGCCTTTTGCGAATGTTTCATTGTGACATTTGCTGGAAGTTACCAAGCCAGCTGTGCAAATTGTCTTGTTTGCTCCGAGGCGCCACATCTCTCAGGCGTTCATGGTCTTCATGTCGGCCTGGAGCTTGCCGTGTGCTGGAGCACCTTCAGCGGAGTAGCTATCAATTAAGGGCTTGTGCAGCCCGTGTACCTGTTAATGAAAACTACTGCCTGCAGGTCACTAGTTCATTGCAGTATTCTCATGAAAGGGAGGATGTGATAGGGCTTTGGGACACGATTGGGTCCAAGGTGTGGACGACGGCCTTCATCGAGCACTGGAAGCGCTGCCGTGCAGGGCTTCACTACCAGTATGGTGCCAGGCGACATTCCTGTCATGTGTCAATGGATGCTTAAAGCGAGCTAGGTACAGTAAGCAGTAGGTCCCAGTAGGTACAGTTTACCAGACTCTGTATAAACATGTATACACACTTGTGCTTACGTATGTCACACGCATGTATAGATGAACGTATGTATGTAACATGTAGGTATGCATGTACACATCCATACATGTATCAGTCTCTGTGTGTGTGTGTGTGTGTGGGTAGGAAGGAGTTGTCAGGGGCGCAACCTTTCCTGGCATTTTGAACCCTTCACCTTTCATGGTAGACTATTGGACCACGAACTTTGAGTGGAGCGTGACTACGTCCTAGCGGCGATAGGAGTTCAGACTCATGTCAGCCCTGCATGAGTTGTGGATTTTTGTTGAAGACTTCTGAAGATCTGATACTGAAGAGCCCTATCTGAAGGTTGCTTGACTTTTCATGTCGATGCTAAGCAGCTAGAGCCCTTGGGCAAATCTGCCCTTTGTGATGCAGGCAGGAGGACCGCCAAGCGGAAGCAGAGTGTGAGGCAGGAGCCGGGACTGGTACTTGGACAGACTGGTCCCCCGCAACTGGTGGTGACCGCTGTGTAGCAACTTGAGGCATCGTTTAGCATCATTTTGTGTCCGTGTGTGCCTTTGTGTGGCCTTGTCTGACTCTGTGTGTGAGTGCGCGCGATGCAAGCTCGCTGCTGCGGCTTACGCTTGGTTTATGCTTCATTGCACACTTGCTTCGGATCGCAGTTTTGATGCGTGCCAGCTGCAAGATGTTGCTTGTACTTGTACGAGCCTATGTGTCCTTGAACTCGTGCCGTTTTGGCTCTAGCGCCAAAATTTTCAGGGCCAAAATTTCTGTGACTCTCAACTGCTGGCGCAAGAATGGCCGGCTTCGACTTCGACGAACTATCCCGGGCCGAGCAGGCGGTGGAACATTCAGTGCCCGTGGTGAAGTCCGGGAGCCAGGCTCCACAGGAGGTGCAGACCCCTCATCCAGTAGCCAAGAAGTCTGGTTCGCCAGGCGTGTCAGGAGCCAGGTGTGGCAATTCCTGGAGCCACACCTACTGTGGGCCCGCCACCAGTTTCAGAGAGTCAACTTCGTGCGGCGCGAAGTGGTCTGCAGTCCATGCTTCAGCAGAGCGACGCAGCGGTGAGTCAGGCTTTGGCAGGCGCCAGTAGCCTGGATAGAGCCCGCTTGCGGCTGGTCCTGGCTAAACTCCAGATTGCTGAGCTGTCCGGGCAATTAGGCTACTCCATGCAGCTTCAGCCGCATGTGGCTTCGAAGGCGCCTCCAGTGAAGCCCGTGACATCCTCAGGGGCTACGTCCGTTACGTCCGCTGCACCAACTGCTCCTTCGGGCGTGCCAGGCGGACCAGTTAGCAAGGCGTTGGTGGCCGCGTCTAAAGCCAGTCAGGGCACAGTCGGTGACACCGGCAGCTCAGGGACTCAGCCGCCGCAAGGCACCCAGAGTGCCTCTCCTGGTCAGGCCGTACCAACTTCTGCTGGTCAGGCCATTCAGGCTTCTCAGGGACCCGCCAAGGCGCAGGGGCCCCAGTCCAAGGCCCCCCCTCCTCCTTTGGTTTCTCAGAACACGCAGACCGCCCCACAGAGCAGCCAGTTGGCAGTGCCGGCCGCCTCAGCGCGGGCCTCTCAGCCCCCCTTTGTGGACCCGTATAGCATGGGGCCGCACAGGCCTGGCAGGACCTGTCCACTTACAAGTGTGCCAGGTTTCGCCAACTTGGCACAGCGCCATGGGCTTCATGCTCCAGGACAGCCGCCCAGTCAGGTAGGCGTGTATCAGGGGTGGCTCTTCGCCCCCCTTGAGGTTGTCGGATTTGATGGGCAGTACGCCCCAGGCTCTCCAGAGAGCCGCGTCTTTCTGCCTCTTTGCAATAACAGGCACCGAGATCTTCCAAAGTCCCTGAGGTTGCAGGGCTTCAGGCTCTCAGGGTATTGCTTAGAACCCTGCGAGCGTCGCTGTGGCAAATCCTGTAGCCGCACAGTGTGCACCCAAGGCAGACGTGGCCATGACAGCCATGAATGCCTGGAGTGTCATGCAGATTAGGGCCCTAGGCCTCTCTCAGGCGCCGCAGCTCCTTAGGTGCGCAGGTCAGATACTTGGCCTCAGGGATTCCAGGTTGGGCCCAGAAGCCCGCAGTCATAACTCTAGCATGGCCCTCGGTGTCGGTGTGAACGTTCAGTTTTTTCAGGAAAACCAGGAGTGGCGCTTAGTTTTTCCCAGGTGGATCGTACAGCTTCGGCTCCTTTTCAGGTCACCTGACGACGTAGTTTGAGCAAGTCCGGCTTGTGCCAAAATCGTGTGTCAGCATCGCTGCTTTGGTTGTGCCAATTGTGCTTTGACCGGGCTTCGGCTTCAGGCCTCTCGTTTGCCGCTGCCTTGTGGCTCGAGCCGTTTGCTCGCGCAGCCCGTTTTCCAGGCTTGGCTGTCTTGCCGCCTTTCCCGCCCACGCTTGTGCGTGTTGGCTGGCCAGGTCCATCTGCTGGAGACCAGGTCCCACAGGCGCTGTGCGTGCTGCTTTTGTTCTTCGCGGTCGGGCTTGTGCCTGCCGCAGGCCGCGCCTGCGCTGGCCGTGCCCTGTTGTCTTCAGGCACGTCTGACCCTTGTGGGTTCTTGTTTTCGTTTTTGTTTTTGTTTTTTCTCTTGTTTCGGCTTGTGCCCTGTCGCAGGATGTCCCTGGCCGACAGCGAACCAACCTTTGCAGCCCGAGCTCTTCAATACGGTCTGCCTCAGTCATGCATAGACGTCCTGCAGGCGTCCAGGTTGGCGACATTCAGTGCACTTCTTTTTCATGTCGCCTCGGCCCCCAACAAAGTTGAGCAAGACAAAGTTGAGAAGGTCATTCAGTCCTTTCCAGTTGCCGACAGGACGGACAGTACGAAGTCTGCAGTCAACAGGTTGTTATTCGAAGCAGGAACGTTGGTTGTTGCAGAGCTTAAGAGCATGGTCGAGACGCCTGAAGACGCTCCGCGGAAGTTGAGCCCGGAAGAAAGGGCAAGCAGGCTGGACTCAGTCAGGACCAGGCTCGGTAGCTGGCCCGTTGGGGGGCAATTCGAACCAAGCCACGCTCTCGTTGACTCATGTGCTGCCATGATCAGAGACCAGGCAATCAGGTATATTCCGCCAAGCAGGTGTAGCAGTCGTGACGCTGAAGTCACCAGTGTGCGCAGGGATGACTCCCTGATCAGGCTGGAGAACAATGCCCTTAAGGTTGGGGGCAAAACTCCCACTGTGCGCGTGGACCTTACCAGTGACCTCAGGGTCTACCAGGCTGTCTGTCGCAGAGGAGTGGCGCTCGAGGTCGCGGGTGTGTGCAAGTATGAGGCGCACGAGACAAGTGTGCGTACATTGTTTGATCACATCCATCGTCACCCCCCAGCAGGGTATGTGTCGCCCGGCCTAGATCAGTTTTTGCTAGCCGACAGGGAGCTCTGGCGCTTAGTAAGCGAGCAGGTCCAGCACAAGTTTGCCCAGACAGGGGGCAGCACTCAGGTTGACGCAGCCCTGCAGTCTGCATGCACGGCTCCCTCTGTTGTTTTTCACTTGTTCCCCCTCCCCAAGCCCCCCCCCCCGCCCAAGCGAACGTGGGATCAGATGCAGGACAAAGGAGGGGGCAAGGGTCCCAAAGGGGGAAGAAAAGGGGGGCGCGGTTTTGGGGGTAAGGGGCCAGAGAAGAAAGGTGCCCGCTCAGCCAGCAATGTGCCAGCCGCCCTCAAGGGGCTCAGTGGCACTCGGGAGGGCATCAGGTTGTGCTTTAACTTCAACCTGGCCCACGGCTGCACTTTGGAATGCAAGGACGTCAACAACAATCCAACCTGCGCTAGGGGTGCCCACTTGTGCATGAAGTGTGGGGGCAAGCACAGCGCTGCAGTCTGCGAGAATTGACTAGGGCGACCAGGGTCCCCAGGTCCAGTGCTGGACAGCGCCGGGCCATCCAAGAGTAACTCAGGTGCTGTCACGCTGCCCCAAGGGCCTGTGCCTCTGTGCACTCGCCAAGCCTCGTGTCGGGGACTCCCGGCGATTGAGGACCGCAAAGACGTCTCAGTTCCTCTGCAGAATTGTTCGCAAGCAAATCAGGAACCAGGTCCGCAGTTTTCAGCGCCAGGACATTCGTCTTGTGCTCGCCTAGCAGTCCCAGAGGGACAGGCAAAGTTGAGACCGTCAGTAACTAAGGCTTTTTCAGGCGTAGCCAGTAATCACGAAAAGGAGGTTTTGGAGCCACCGGCCGCTTTTTTGAGCCCTGCTTCAGCAACAGTGAGCCATTCCACCACGTGCCATGAGCCCTCCCAGGTTGCTAGTCCGTCCCGGCGATCCGTGGACTCACTCGTGTGCCTGGAGGTTTTTGCAGGGACAGCCAGGCTCAGTTCTGCCTTGGCAGCTGTAGGTTTTCAGGCTTTGGCAGTGGACAGTAAGGTCGGCGGCGAGATGCGAGTCCTGCAAGTCAATTTGTTGCAAGAGTCTGGGCGTCAGTTGGTCCTGGACATGATTAGGTCTGGGAAAATTTGGTCAGTGCATTTGGCCCCCCCCTGCAGCACAAGCAGTCAGGCTAGGAGCATTCCTGCCAGGGGCAGGAAGGCGCCAGTGCCTCTCAGGTCTTTCACTCACCCCGATGGGTTGCCAGGTTTGAACATGGGGGACAAAGTCCGAATCAGCCATGCAAATATATTATATGAGTTTTGCGCCGACGCAATTCTAGCAGCTGCAGCAGCAGGCTGCATGTGGAGCATAGAAAACCCTGCAGGTAGCCTTTTCTGGACTACATCCCCAATGAAGCGTGTAGCAAATCAGTTGTCTGAGCAGCTTTGTTTTGTCCAGTTCCATCACTGCTGTTTCGGAGGTGTGTTAAACATTCCAGCCTAGTAGGAACACACTGTTGTATGTGTAGAAGAATGCACAGATTGAGCCAGGAACCAACTTTGTGGCCCAGGCTCAAAGGAGTGACAGGACAGAAACCACAGCAGAGCGGTGAAGCGAAAAGTGAGCCGCAGTGGTGGTTTAGGAAACCCTTTTAGGAAAGCCCGTTCTTTAACATGGTAGCGGAGCTGTCTGAACCAGGAACCTTGACAGGAACCTTGACAGCGATGATGCTACTCCTAGCAGTAGGAACGACCTTCATAGCCATGGTGGCTTCTCTCGTCTGTGGGCTGAGACACATGTGGAAGCAGGAAAAGAGAACCGAGATCCGAGAGTTCTTCGAGTACCTCCCCACGGTCAGGATCGCATACAGAAGAGGAACCAAGTACCACAGGAGAAACTGTGGAATCATCAGGAATCAGTCGATTGCTGGTGCAGCAGCAGTGAGGGACTTTGCCCCTTGCTTTCAGTGCTTCCCGGAGCGCTATGTGGTTCAGGAAACGAAGAAGGTGAACATGCGGTGCTACGGCATGGCAGCAGGAATCGTCTTGCTGATTGGTTTTCTCCTGGGATGCCTCGCAACTTACTGCGGGATGACAAGGAACCTGGGAATGATGGACGCAGATGTGGAGCCGTGGCGTGCCCTTGACTACGTGCAGG